GTTTCTTCTTTCCCAACCGTTAGCTGATTGTGCTAGATCCATTTTTCTGGTGATTGATGCAACTTTTGGAGCTCGATTCTTCGTTATAGGATTTGATTATAGTAAGATCAGTACTCTCTTGGAATTCTGATGGTTTTGTTTGGTTTGTTTGTTTTGTTGTAATTAGTCGAGATTCGGTTTTTAAGTTTTTGATGATTCTTTAAAAATTTACTTGATTGGGTTGGTTTTTTGAAAATTAGTGGTATTGAACTCTTTGTTCTGTTAATCTGAGATATGGTTCGAGTCTAACTCCTTTAGCTATTGCAATCATCGAAATTAGGGTTGTGTTTTTAGTTGAAAAGTGTTTTGATGTTTTGATCATTTGAATTCAGCGAAGCAGAGTTGGTGTGATGAATGTTAACGAGGAGGGGGAGGAGGGTTCACGTTACCCAATCACTGATCGAAAAACCGGAGAGACGAAATTCGATAGGGTTGAGAGTCGGACAGAGAAGCATAGTGAAGAAGAGAAAGTCAATGGAATCACTATGGATGTGAGAAATGGGAGTTCAGGAGCTGGGCAAGGCTCAGGTGGACTTCAAATTCCGTTGTCGCAACAAACAGCGGCAACTGTCTGTTGGGAAAGGTTTCTTCATGTGCGAACAATTAGAGTTCTGCTTGTGGAAAATGATGACTGCACTCGTTATATTGTTACTGCACTTCTTCGCAATTGTAGCTATGAAGGTCAGTTTTGAAGCCTAGAACTCAATCCGATCTACAATCTATAGCGCATACCTGTACCAGTTTCAGTTTTTTGTGTTCCCCTCGTTGCATTCACTGATCGATAATGAATAGCAACTTTTTTTTGCCATGGGTTTTGTTGGTTGATTGATTATTAACTGTGTCATGGCAGTTGTTGAGGCTTCAAATGGGATACAAGCTTGGAAGGTGTTAGAAGATCTAAACAATCATATTGATATTGTGCTAACAGAGGTGATCATGCCTTACTTATCTGGTATCAGTCTCTTGAGCAAGATTTTGAACCACAAATCTCGTCGGAACATCCCTGTCATCAGTGAGTTCTTTGTCCTTAGTCGTAGTTCTTTTTCCCTGGTCGTTGTGAATAACATTGAGCTCTTTCTTTTGAAGTTACACAATTTGTTGAGTCTTCTCTAGCTTATGTTGGAAGTAGATGCTTTTAACTACATTCCCCTGTGAGATTTGTGTTGCAGTGATGTCATCTCATGACTCAATGGGGCTGGTCTTTAAGTGCTTATCGAAAGGAGCAGTTGACTTTCTTGTTAAGCCAATAAGAAAAAACGAGCTTAAGATCCTTTGGCAGCATGTTTGGAGAAGATGCCAAAGTGTATGTCCTTGCTCATATATGATTAGTCTGAAAAACTGTTGGTCTTTGTTTTTATCCATTTGATGTACAACTGGTGATAAGTAGTAAACTAGAAAGTCATGGTCTAATTGTGGATTAGTATCTACTTTTTGGTTTCTCATGGTTTTCCATGTTTCTTGTTCACAGTCTAGCGGTAGTGGAAGTGAGAGCGGAACGCATCAAACTCAAAAGTCTGTGAAATCAAAGAGTATTAGAAAATCTGATCACGATTCGAGAAGCAGTGGTGAGAATGAAAATGGGAGCATTGGCCTGAATGCTAGTGATGGAAGTAGTGATGGGAGTGGCGCTCAGGTAAGACGAATGTGCAATACCGAACATCTGGGTTTTGTTGGTTGATTGATATACTCCTTTTTATTCAGAGCTCTTGGACGAAAAAAGCTGTGGAGGTTGATGACAGTCCACGAGCGGTATCTCTATGGGATCGAGTCGATAGCACTTGCGCCCAAGTGGTACATTCTAACCCTGAGTTCCCAAGTAATCAGTTGGTTGCACCACCTGCTGAGAAGGAGACTCAAGAACAGGATGATAAATTTGGTAATGAAAGGAAACTGTGATCTCCTAGTTTCTTCCATACTTTTCTCTAAACTGAAACTTAAAAACATGATATTGAATGTTTTTTCTTCAATTTTGCAGAAGATGTCACAATGGATAGAGACTTGGAGATTAGCATTCGTAGAAATTGTGATCTGGCACTGGAGCCAAAAGATGAACCCCTATCTAAAACTACTGGCATTATGAGACAGGATAATTCATTTGAAAAGAGCTCTAGTAAATGGAAAATGAAAGTTGGAAAAGGACCAGTGGACCTCAGCAGCGAAAGTCCTTCAAGTAAACAAATGCATGAAGATGGAGGCTCGGGTTTTAAAGCCATGTCTAGCCACCTTCAAGATAACAGAGAACCCGAGGCGCTTAACACTCACTTGAAAACTTTAGATTCAAATGAAACTTCTGTCAAAAATTCCGAAGAGCTAATTCACATGGAACATAGTTCAAAGAGGCATAGAGGAACTAAAGATGATGGGACACTAGTTAGGGATGACCGGAATGTGCTGAGGCGTTCAGAGGGCTCAGCTTTCTCAAGGTACTTTCTTAGAATCAAAGGTCTGCTTTTTCTTCCGTATACAACCTTTTGAATGCCTTATTGAAGAAGTATGGGATTGATTGTTGGACTTGTGCAGGTATAATCCAGCCTCAAATGCCAATAAGCTTTCTGGCGGGAACTTAGGAAGCAATTCGCTTCATGATAATAATAGCCAGGATCTTATAAAAAAGACTGAAGCTGCATGTGATTGTCACTCAAACATGAATGAGAGTCTCCCCAATAATCACCGCTCACATGTCGGTAGCAATAACTTTGATATGAGTTCCACGACTGAGAACAACGCTTTCACAAAACCAGGAGCTCCAAAAGTAAGCTCAGCAGGATCTTCATCAGTCAAGCATTCATCGTTTCAGCCTTTACCATGTGATCATCATAATAATCATGCCTCCTATAATCTTGTCCATGTCGCTGAGAGGAAGCTACCGCCACAATGTGGATCCTCAAATGTGTACAACGAAACGATTGAAGGTAACAACAACACAGTGAATTACAGTGTGAATGGTAGTGTATCAGGTAGTGGTCATGGGAGCAATGGGCCATATGGAAGCAGCAATGGTATGAATACTGGAGGAATGAATATGGGAAGTGATAATGGTGCTGGCAAAAATGGAAATGGTGATGGTAGTGGAAGCGGAAGTGGAAGTGGTAGCGGAAACTTGGCGGACGAAAATAAGATCTCTCAAAGGGAAGCTGCTTTGACAAAGTTCCGTCAGAAGAGAAAAGAAAGGTGCTTTAGAAAGAAGGTAAATTCTTGATCAAACCTCTGATTGTTTCAATATTAGAATATTCTAGTGTCTTTTTACGAAGAAAGAAAAAAAGTATTCATGTAAATTGTGAAAGCAAATGCAAACCGCAAATGGAACCTTTTCTTCGATTTGTGTTATGCATTTGGTGTTACAGTTTACAAGAAAAAATGTGGTTCAACATACTAATTTTAACATGTAAACAGAAACGCAAACACTGATAAATTATCAAGGTCTTAATAGCTTATATGCATGCATACATATGTGTTTTTGCTTCCACGACGGTTACAACTCTAGAACCGATATAAATCCATGGTTGAACAAAACCAGTATTTGAAAATTTTGTTAAATGTGTCCGAACGTTTAATGATGATTTGGTTTTTGTTTATGAAAAATGTTTCTCTTCTTCTCAGGTACGATACCAAAGCCGGAAAAAACTAGCGGAACAACGACCTCGTGTCCGTGGCCAATTCGTCCGTAAAATAGCCGCTGCAACGGATGATAATGACATAAAAAACATTGAGGATAGCTAACGGAAAATCTACAAAATCAACTCTATCTCAGCCCAAAAACATGAGTAATGTGCTCATCATCTATCTTATCTATGTATCACATGTTTAACAATTCCCCTTCAAAGTCTGATTCTTTGATAATACTACTATTCAACGAAACGAAGACACTAGGACATTTGATTGTTTGTTATTGTCGTTGTGTGGTCTGGTTTGTGAATTTAGGACGAAGGGTTTGCTTTCATGAGTATACCAGGAGGATATATAGTGAAATCTTTGTAGATGTTGTAAACTTGTAAAACAATAACCCTTGTTTGTATATTTTTGTAGCCGAGCACAATACGGTGTCGTATTTGTATGAAAATTATCTCTTTCAATATCATTAGAGCTTATTAGCGTAAATAAATAGAGATTTTACAAGAATAAAACTGTTAGTTTCATTAGTTAAAAATATTCTCTCTTTTTTAAACAACATTTGAAAAAGGAATAATCTCTTATGTTCAAATGATTGGAAACTATCATGCTGACCACGATTGTTGCTGATAGGCCTGGACAAAAAACCCGTACCCGAGTACCCGAACCGGACTCGACCCGAAAAAACCGGTTCGGGGCGGGTACGGGTATGTGAGTTTTACACTGTTGGGTTCTATAATTGCTTACCTGTGGGTATTGGGTCGGGTTCGGGTTTTACCCGATACCCGATGGTGTAAACCGAAAACCCGATCCGCTTAAATGCCCTTAGGTTTAGTCTCTAACCCGATTAACCTTTTGACTATTTAGCTTCTTCCCTTTGCTCGATTCTAGAACCCTAAACCCGATACCCGATGGTGTAGAAAATGTATTCCACAGTGTAAACGAGTAGAAAATACCCGAACCCGACCCGAAACAAGCAAGAACCGATATTTTCGGGTTTTTACCGGTTCTCAAATCTGATACCCGAACCGACCCGAACCCGACCATACCCGAACCGAAACCGAACCGATGTTTCGAGTTTACCCTATTGGGTCCTATATTACCATACCCGACATACCCGAACCCGATCGGGTTTTACCCGAACCCGACCCGCGGACCCGAATGCCCAGGCCTAGTTGCTGATTTAAATTTTGTGTTGTTGAAAAGAAAATAAAATTTCATGGGGTAGTTGGTTTGGTTGATACCAATCTGCTTCGATAAAAGTATAAATTTTTGTTTTCTTTTTTTCTTTGACATTAATTTTAATTTGATTTGTCAAAGTCAAACCGTAACACATTAATTTGCATCACAAAAATTAATTTATTTTTTAAATTGATATTTTATGATAAAAAGAAAAATCGGAAAATCCAGCGATTGGAGCCGAGATTGGCTTGGCGTGCTCTTTTCTACATTTCAAAGTTCTCTCAGCTTCTTTCTCTCTCTCTCTCTCTCGCTTTCGAGATCATCGAACACAATCAAAACGAAGAATCACTTGAAGAGGAAGGAGGAAGAAGAAGAAGAAGATCGAGAAGCTTAATGGGTTGGATCCCGTGTTCTGGGAAATCGAGCGGGAGGACTAAGACAAGGAGGAACGGTGACCAAAAACTCAACAGGAAGTCTTCTGATTGTTCTGTCTCTACTTCAGGTAATTGCTCTTTAGAGTCTTTCTCAATTTCCATCCTTTGATTCTGTTTTGAGGCTTCTCTAACCAAAATTTCGAAATTTGTAAGCTTTCTGATTCATGTGAGCCATCGTTTGCTAATGCTGATTAGGGTTTTTGACTTTTTGTTATAAAGATTGCTTTTTTTTTTTTTCTTCCATTTCACTAGCTTTAGAACTTCTCCGATTTTACTCTTTGTAGTATATTTTGACCTAAATGATGTGTTATTTGCATGTCTCTTTCGGGTTACTTGTTGCTTGAGAGATTGTTCTCCAGTGGAAGTTGTGGATTAATCTAATTCTGATTCACATTAATTGATTGAAATCTAAACTTTGATTTGTTGATCATTGATCTTGAGACACTTCTGCTCAGCTTGTGTTGATTAATTATTTCTTTTTTTTTGTAGAGAAATCTAAGGCCAAGTCGTCCTTGAGTCTATCCAAAAGTAAAGGCTCTGATCACATTGTGGCACAAACGTTTACATTCTCTGAGCTAGCTACTGCCACTAGAAACTTCAGAAAAGAATGTCTTATAGGAGAAGGTGGATTTGGTAGAGTTTACAAAGGATATTTAGCCAGCACTGGCCAGGTTTGTTCCTTTTTTTTTTTTTGCTTGCTTCTCTGTTTTTAACCTTTTGAATGTTCTTGTTAGTGAAAGCTCACTGACATTATTCTTCCTTTGTAGACAGCGGCTATCAAGCAACTTGATCATAATGGTTTACAAGGAAACAGGGAGTTCCTCGTCGAGGTTCTCATGTTGAGTCTTCTTCATCACCCCAATCTTGTTAACTTAATAGGATATTGTGCTGATGGAGATCAAAGGCTTCTAGTGTACGAGTACATGCCTTTAGGTTCACTTGAAGATCATTTGCACGGTATGCACTTCTAAGATCACACGCCTATGAATAATTTTCTATTACCAATTAATGTAGGGGAAAAGTTTTTAAATGTCACTCGAGTGATGCTTTTTTTTTTCCAGACATTTCACCTGGTAAGCAGCCACTTGACTGGAACACCAGAATGAAAATAGCTGCAGGTGCTGCAAAAGGATTAGAGTATCTGCATGACAAAACCATGCCTCCAGTGATCTATCGAGATTTGAAATGCTCAAATATTTTGCTTGACGATGATTACTATCCAAAGCTATCCGACTTCGGATTGGCTAAACTTGGCCCAGTGGGTGACAAGTCTCATGTGTCGACTCGAGTTATGGGAACATACGGATACTGTGCTCCCGAGTATGCAATGACAGGCCAACTAACACTCAAATCAGACGTTTACAGCTTCGGTGTTGTTCTGTTGGAGATTATAACCGGTAGGAAAGCAATAGACAGTTCAAGATCCACTGGAGAACAGAATCTAGTTGCATGGGTAAGAAAAAAACTAACTCGGAAGAAACTTTGTTTTCTCTATAGATTCTTCTCTCTAATTGTATTTTTTGAAATGCTCTATCTCAGGCTAGGCCTTTGTTTAAAGACAGGAGGAAATTCTCTCAAATGGCTGATCCAATGCTTCAAGGTCAATACCCTCCGCGAGGGTTGTACCAAGCACTCGCTGTAGCAGCGATGTGCGTACAAGAGCAGCCAAATCTTAGACCTCTCATTGCTGACGTGGTCACTGCACTTTCTTACCTCGCCTCCCAGAAGTTCGATCCTCTGGCTCAGCCAGTCCAAGGCTCCCTTTTCGCTCCCGGGACTCCACCTAGATCAAAGAGGGTCTGAAGATAATCCCGAGAACCGCAATGCTGTGTAAGTTATTTAGCTTAAACCCATACCGGGCTGTCTTTCTTGAGGAGGAAAGGTGGATGATTTTCAGACTAAGTGTGGAAAGTATGGCTTAAGAGCTGCTTGTAGATATGTGTAAGAAGAGATAGATTCATATAGAGGCCGGTTTATAATGTTGTTATAGGTAATGTTGTTTGATGTAATGTTTATTGAGCACTTGCTCTGAAATGTGACAGTTTCTCATTATTGTATTGAGGATGTCTGTTTTGATTCCAAAGTTATTGTATAACTATTAAAATACTATAGTTTTCAAAACGTTTTATGTTTGAGATTTTGATTGTATTACTATCAATATCATATTACAATGTCAACGATTGATTATTGGTGAACAGTAAAATGTAGATCAAGCTGTTGCTGCTAGTAAAGTACACACCTTATTGCATCATCTGGTTCTTATTACTCATATCCAAAGATACAAATATTAAGACTAAATATAGCAATGATGCAAATATTTTTAGCAATTGCTTCGTTTGAGCAAAATGGAGACATTATTGTCGTGAGAAAGTGTTGCAACCATCTGAAGCAGCTGTTGGAACCATTGTGCATCATCATTGAAGTAACTACCTCCCAACCATACAACCATCATCTCTAGTGTCTTTGCGTTTCTCAACACCAATTCGGAGAACGAAGCCACGAGTTTCGACGTTGCATCATTACAACCCAACATCTCATAGATCTCCTTTGAGGTAGGAAACATCTCACATTTTGATCTCCAACATTGATCCGGATAGAAACCTTTTAAAGGATGCATATCCTGTAGAGCATAAAAAGTTATCCCAAGCAAATTAACACTAGTGGTTTAACAATAATATCAATCCTATATCCCACCCAATAAAAGTGATAGACATGGTTCGAGGAATGTTTCTAGTAAATTATTAGTTTTTGCAAGGAAAGAACAGAGGTTTGTGGTAAAGATACCATTATGACGTGGCTTTGCTGCATCGTGTGTAATGTTAGCTTCTTTAATCCAGGTGAATTCTGTAGTAGCCTTGATATACCAGGGATTACAGATCGAACGAACTCCGTTTTAACAATCAAAGTTTGGACCTTGAGTGTTGGGAAAGGAACACCACGGAGCTCGGCAAGCGATAAAATCTAACAAAACAAGATGAAATTAGTGAAACATTTGCTAGAAAACCTTAACCATCAAAAAAACATTAACCGTGCAACCAAATAATAATTGTAAGTTTTTAGGCTTTAGATCAGTATGCAAGAATTGCTTAACATACCTGAAGAAGGGTTTCTCCAACAGTAAGCCTCTCTACGTTGTGCGAGTTTGCTAGCATCTTTAGTGCCATAGTTTGATAACGATCAGCAGTCAAGGGACAGAGTCGGCTACTGATAATGTTAAGGTTAGCTTCGATCAAAGAGGATACATCCAGTAAAGTAGATGGTGTACTAGAGTATGTCAGTCTCAAATAATGGATGTGTGGCGCTACAATCGCAATTGGTCCTGTGTCGCAATATTGCCGATTTATATCCAATCTCCTCAGACTCGGTGATTTACTCAGATCAAGACGCTCAAGTAATCTGCATGTACCCAATGTCAAGCTTTCGAGAATTGGACAGCCAGAGAGAATATTATCAATGGATCCATCTGGAAGTTTACAACGACGCAGTGCCAAGTTCCTTAGGGATTTCCAAGACACTTTGCATGTGGGAGTCATATAAAAAAAGTCTAACGTCACGGTGAGTTGCTTTAAGGAGGAACTGAGATAAAAGGAAACTGGGAAACTGTAAGTCTTGCGGTATTTGAAATCCCTAACGAACACAGACAGATTTTGCACATTGCGGGAGATAGGGAACTCGATCCAGCTATCAATCTCGGGTGCAGTGTTGTGATCCAAGCTCGTAAGAAGTTTGAAACTAGTGATTTTGGGAGCCGTGTAGGAAGGTAGGGTTTGGTTCACCGTTCCGCCGTTGAGTCTACACACATTGATGTCGAGACAAGGTGTCTCGCACCATACATGCCTCCATCGTCTGGATAAGACGGAAGTTTTCATGGCCAAATCGGTGGGAATAAGGGAGAGAATATGGTGAAGGATCTCATCTGGCATAGAGTTGATGAAATCTGCACCGTCGATTATTCGTTTGATTTTGCGGTGGCTAGGCTTTCTACGACGTTTTCGCCGGCCCCGTTTCTCTCGCCTATTCGCCATGGTAACACAGATGATTTTAGGTTTTCTTTTGTTTGCACAACACGTTTCTTTTAAAATACTGCCTTTAATCGACTTCCTTAGAAATTATTGCCTTTTCTGAGACTTTAATCATGTGCTTATATATTAACAATGTCAATGGTTGATAATTTGATTCACACTAAAATACAGATCAAGCTGTTGCTGCATCATGTAAAGTACAAATCTTATTTTGCATCATCTGGTTCAAATACACATCTTATTGCATCGTCGGGTTCTTACTTCATAGTTCATATCCAAAGAAAGGTGGTTTGGTCCGGTACACTTTACTTTACTTCTTACTGCTTCCTTACTGCAAGAATATAACCAGAATTAGACTCAGACTTCGTATAGACCATTAACCGAGAAAGTATTTAACAAGTAGTTTGGCCATAATAATCAATAGCTGATGATTAGTGCATGGCCTCTGCGTTCAAAACGTTTTTAAGACGCAAAACGCTCGTTGAAGAAAGATGAGCTTGTCTCTAAGCCAGATGCTAAACCGACTCGGTTTTCATTCCCAAAACTGAAAACTAACCCAAAGCAACAAACATTCACACCTAGACAAGATGAACCAACTCACCTTTGGATCCATCAAAATCATGTGGTAGTTTCAGTTAATAGAGTATATGCTAATTATATGACTTACCATGAATTTTTTCTTGAAAATCTCCACATTCTCCTTAGGATCGATTTTCGTCTGTGCATAGCCATCAATCTTGTTCATTTCCTGCAAACATAACACCGATCCTTAATACGAATCCCCAATGAGGATAAGTGTAATCTTTTCTGACTTAATGGAGATTGCATATATACCTCGATCCATGCCGATAGTTTGGGACGTTCTGCAGTAATGTCGCACTTAAATAGTTCATTGAGTACAGTTTGAAACCTTTCAATGAACGGGATATAGGCGATATCAACCTTGAAAAACAAAGTAATCAAACAGTTCATTAAAGACAAACAAAGGAAATATAAAGGATCTAAAAGGGCCAGTGAGGCTTATACCAAGCTTAACTGACCAAGGAAGAATGGCCCGTCATCAAACTTATACAGAGCGTTTTCCAGATAATCTAACACAGGTGCTGAAACAAGAACATAAAAATTGCTGGTTATATATTTTTTGCTTTCACCCCGGCAAAAAAAGTGTCGAAACTTTGAAGAGTTTAAAATCTCACCGGTTTCTTTAGAGGGGTCTCCTTTGAGTGACCCATACATGGTTTTAACGAAAGTATCAGTATACTTGAGCAACTCGTCGCCAAACTCTCTTTTTGCATGATCCTAGAGAGGGAAATGAATTGTGGAATCAGAGAATCATGAAGGGAAACAACACCCGGTATGGTATAATGTTATACCTCAGGGTAAAGCGAAGGCCCTTCAAAAGTGTTATCAAGATATTTGATCAAATCAAGACTCTCCCCAATGATCTTTCCATTGTGCTCAAGCGCTGGGACCTGCAAAAGATAACGAGAAGTTTCCACTAAGTTATAACCAAAAGTGAAATGAATTTCGTGAGTTATTAATAATAGATAAGCTTTTATTAACCTTGTTCTCTGGATAGACTTTCTCCTTGTACCAAGCAGGCCTATTCCCAAGATCCAAAGGAACAAGTTTAATCCTTTCTTGCAAACCCTACAATCACCAGAAACCAACCAAATCTTGTTTTCAGAATCCAACTACTTTAAAAATCCCTAATATAACCAAACCAGCTTCCAAAATCCCTAATATCTAATGTTGTTGAAGGTGAGACTAGTACAAAGGAGAAGCTGAGTTAAACCTTGAAGTTTCTGGTGATCCAAACTCGTTGAGCAAATGGGCAAACGTAGCTTGTGTACAATCTTTGGTAACACAAAAAAATAAGAGGTTTTAAGATACAAGGGAAATACAAAAAAAAGAACAGAACAAAGCTAAAACCAAAAACATAAGGACGCAAAATGAAGATTAACCTAGTGGTTCCGTCGAACAGAGCCGGTGGATCAGCTGTAGCATCGAGCGGAGCTGGAAGATCTTCTACAACACTGTCTCAATATAATCAAGCCACAAAAAAACTTAAATTCCCAAAATTCCAATAGCTGATAATCGAGTAAACTTAATGTAAAAACATGAATTTGCGGGAAGTTATAATCCCAAAAATCGATCAAACACAATAAAAACTCCGAATTTCGAGATAAGAACACAGATCCTTACATAGGAGAAGCCATTGACGATATGTATCAAGGAGCAAAACTCTTTCAAAGATCTGATTCTGTAAAAAAAGTAAGGCTCTTTTTTGATCACACACTAAAGAAAACAAAGCTAAGAACAGAGAGTGGAAGCGTTTTTCCATACGTTTCTCGAAATTACAGTCATCATCGTACACGTGGCAGTTTTGAGATCTTTGTCGGTAACTCAATTATCTCATAGTGGGCCGTAATCATTTCAATAAGGTATTTAAACCCATTAGTTTAAATTTTCATCCGAGCCCATTTTATTATTGACAATGTATTAACCCAGCAAACCATGCCTTTTTGATGAAAGTTAAAAAAAAAAAAAAAAAAAGTAAAACAATACCAAATTTTTCTTATTTAACAAACTACAATACCAAATCCAGTAATTTTATAACACTCTCAAGCAGTAGTAATCTTTCTTCTTCGTAAGCCCTGTTGGCATCGATACAAACGACTCAGTCCAAGAGATTTGTTATTTTTACTGCAAAAAAACAAGAAAAACCGGAATCGTCGGTTAGTTTTGTTATAGAACGACGTTAACCCGAATTGAGGAAGACAAAATAGCTTAGCCTAACATTAAAGTAAAAAGGGCATTTGTGTCCAATCAAACAAAAATTAAAACGTTTAGAAAAGAGAATTTGGTACTGTCGAGATTTAGAAATTCTTACCATGAACTTCTTAAAATAATTGACGATATAGTCTGAGTCGGTTTTTGTCTGCGTATATGCAACCATCTTGTTCATGTTCTGCGCAACATACATTGAGGTTAAAGCAATCAAGCAGCTAAATCATATAAAAGCATTGTCATGTTCATGTGCATAGATCACATGTGTACCTCAATCCAAGCAGCTAGATTTGGACGTCCGATTATAATTTCATATTTAAAAACTTCGTCGAGGAAGATTTGAAATCGTTCGATAAATGGGATATATGCGATATCAACCTAGAAAACAAAATCGAGTAATTTTTTAACCGTAGTGAAACATTAAAAAAAGATTCATGATCACACTTAATTATTAGTTTAATAAGACGATTATACCAAACTAAGCTCGCCGAGGAAGAAAGGACCATCATCAAACTTCTTCAAAGCATTTTCCACGTGATCGAAGACCGATGCTGCGTCAAAACCACACAACTTTCAGCGTCAAAAACACACAAGTTTCAGGTCCAATACAATTAACAAGACACACGAAAATCAGCTTTACCTGTTTCTTTAACCGGGTCACCTTTAAAAGAGCCAAACACGGTTTTTACAAATGTTGCATCAACATATTTCAACAAGTCTTCACCAAACTCTCTCTTTGCAGAATCCTAGACCAAAAATAAATAAATAAAGTCCTCATTGAAAGATTACTACATATACATGACAAGAACTAGCTCTATAACATCCGAACAAGGTCTTACCTCGGGGTAAAGTGAAGGTCCATCGAAATTGATATCGACATATTTGATTAAATCAAGACTTTCCCCGATGATTTTTCCATTGTGTTCAAGGGCAGGAACCTACGTACATCATTATCACAATCTTAGACTCTTCTATATATTGTCACTATTGAAATTAAGAACCATAGTTTATAAGGATTCGTATATTGTTTTTCACAAAAATAAACGGCACCTTGTTTGCAGGATTAACTTTCTCCTTTAACCAAGCTGGCCTATTAGGAAGGTCTATAGGAACCAATTTGATCTCCTCTTGCAGACCCTAAAATTCCCCAATACCAAATAATAAACAAAACTTGCTTTTAAATTTTCATGTCAATCTCAATTTACATACATACCACAAAAAGAAAAAGAATAAAACAAGTACCTTGAGGTTTCTGGTAATCCAAACACGTTGTGCAAATGGGCAGGTGTAACTTATGTACAACCTTTTTTTTGTTTAAAATTAACAAACAAAAGTTAATTTAATACATCAAAATCTCATTAACAAATGTTTTTGAAGCTTAGAGTACTATTATTAAAATACTAAAGAAAACACGATAAAACCTTGTGGTTCCGTCGAACAGAGCAGGTGGATCAGAGGTAGCATCGAGCGGAACTTGACGATCTTCTACGAAACATTTTCTTGATCAAGAAATAAAAGTCAAGGAGATAAAATTAGATTTAATATGATAAAAAAATCAGCTTTATAATAATCAAGTAACCTCATAAAGTAAACAAAAAGGATCTTACTGAGGAGATAGAGCCATGGGGAGGATTAATATATAAGAGTTGTTTCTTCAGGGGATTGTTATTACAGAGATGATGTTTTGCAGGAACTATGTGATCATCAAACACAAAACTCCGCGTATATATATATACTCATATGGAAATTGGAATTTGGATTTGGAAGAGGCTTGGTTCATGCTTATCCAACGGTGACTATCAATAGAAAAAAGGTTAAACGTCAGCGTTTGATTAATTTCTGTCGTTGAACTTTCTAATTTTTATGTGACGGTCAAAGATTTTGAAAAAGGTTTCTAGTAATTTTGTTTGCTAGAATACTAATCACATCACGTACGTGAATACTAATCAGTTCAATTTTTTTTTTTTTTTTATTGTTGCATTTTCTCTATATCGAATGAAAACAAGTTTAAAAGAACGAATAAATGATTTAATATTTCAATAGGAAGAACTACATTTGTTGTCGGCGAAACCTTCATTATGAGAATATTATAATGGTGGTCAAAAAGCTCATGCTGTTATCCACGCCATTGGACGCTACCTCACCGAATCATCTATGCTCAATTGTCGTATAGATGAGAATATTATAAGCTGTTGGTTACTGATATTTTTTTTTATCCGAGATACAATCAAAATTTTATGTTTTCTTTGAACGTATCTAACTTTAAAATTTTGAACATGCCATTTGCTATACAGATTTCTTTTTGAAATATGAGCTGAAATTAATGAACCAAAGGATCCCTTTTTTTCTCTTCTATTATAATTGTATTCATTTTCCGATCTTAAGAAGACTTTTTATATATATTCACATGCGTTGTTCAGTTCACACAGTCACACAATATATCCAGCGGTCAAACAAAGAAGCAAAACACATAAGTAATAACACATAAACACATACTCCCTCCGTATTTTAATAAGTGTCGTTTTAGAATTTTTACTTTTTTGCATAGAAATTTGAAAACGACATCTAATTTTAAAAAAATAGAAAATCCTAAAACGACACTTATTAAAATACGGAGGGAGTAATAGATTAAGAAGATCTTTATGTTCTTTTGCAGCATTTAACGACCAAACAAAAGTAAAAGAGGTCTGCAAAACATTGTCTCATCTACACTAAAACACATCTACTAAATCCTTTGATGAGCAATACCTCGAAGTGCTTAAATATTGATGACCATAAACTTCTTTCTCAGTCCTTAGGAATGCTAACAAAGTTCCAATCCGATATCGCCGGTCGATAATTCGTGGACGTGGTCACGTTATAGCGTAAAAAATGTAAACTACGAAACGTTGCCGTTTTACTTTTATTTGGGCCGGGCTATTTAGATCCTACCCGGCAAGTAAGAGTCAAGTGTTAAATAGACGATATTGCCCCTTATTTCGGATGCTTAATGGTAGAGTCCGATCCGGTCCACAATAATTAAAATTTAATTTGACGATCTTACCCTTCGTGTGAGGGCTTTAAAAGTCCCCGAGACTCGACGGTTCGACTCTAACCCTTCACACTCGGCTAAATCGCGAAAGAAATCTCTCACGAATCTCTATCTATCTCCCCTAAGTGCGTATTTCGAACGGAGCTGCGATTCCATGGCGACCAACGGAGATAAGGTCACGGCTACGGTGGTGAATGGTGGAGGGCTTTCTACTGGTGAAAACCCTAAGAAAATCGTAGACCTCAACACTACGGAGTTAGATCGTACTGATGACATTCTCCACGGAGAAGTTAAGGGATTTTCAGATTCTGGTGAAAAAAAGGACGAAACTGACTCTAATGGTATTGGATCGACGGCTGGTGTTGATTCTGGTGATATCTCTCCGGTCGATGATATCCAGAAGAAGATTCGACGTGCTGAGAGGTTTGGTGTTTCGGTGAAACTAACCGAAGAAGAGAAGCGCAATTCTCGTGCTGAGAGGTAAAGATTTGAAATTTATTCGTTTAGATTCCGACGTATTTTGGGATTTCGATGATTAGGGTTCCGGATTTTGTTATTCTTTGTGAACCATTAGTATGCATAGGGATAATGTTATTTGCTTTGTTCACTTATTGTCAAACCTGTGTTGTAACGAATTTCACCCTCGATGCAGGTTTGGTACTGTAGCAGCAGCAGTGGTGAATGGCTCAGAGGGAACGAAGAAAGCAGAGGAATTGAAGCGAAAGGCTAGAGCTGATAGGTATTTCACAATGCTTACTTTGTGCTTGAGTTGTTTATTGTTTGGTTTTTATAGGATAAGGAGTTTCTTACTCTCTATGTATTTTATACAGATTTGGGGTTCCTGCTGCGACCACTAGTACTGATAACACTGAGGAAGAAGCAAAGAAGAAAGCCAGGCTCGCTCGTTTTGGGAAAGAGACTAAAGTTGATTCTGCTGAAGAAGATAAGCGCAAAGCTAGAGCATTGAGGTACTTTTTCCCATGCAACCTAAATTTTACTTGTTCCTGAGAACTGAAGAGGTGTGTGCGGTGTTTTTTCAATTATTGATTTCTGTGGTTTGTGTTTTACCCATCATTAGGTTTTCAAAAGGGGCTTCAGCAGATGCATCTTCAGATTTACCTGGGAAGCAAAATATTGGCAAGGTAAACAGTCTTTAACTTCTCTTGTTTCTTCCATCTGCTAGAATGAGAGAATTAATAGAAAAGCTAATGATATCTCTTGTTTAACTCTTTGTTTCATCAGGAGGCAGCTGTATCTGGAAACGCTGCCTAAGGTTTCTCAATAAGTTTTTCCGTCTTTGTAGTTAGGTGAGTTCTTACTGATAATTCTTATTGCATTGCAAACTCTTGTTGATACCTGTTTTTTTTCTCGTTTCTGACTCCACAATCTTTGATTTTGGCAGGTAGTGTGCTAGCGTTTTATGATTCCCTCTCTGGCTGCTTCATTCTCTCTTTATTTCTGAATTAGAAGTCCCCGTGTGTAGTATCTTTATTAAGTTCGAAGTTCGGTCGTGGCAAGCTTTTGCGGTCATGCAAAGATTCTCTCAGATGGACGGAAGATAAGCTGTCACCAGATGAGATCTTGGGAAACCAATAAGTAACCTATAGTTCTGATTGTCTTAAATGGCGATTATCAAAGTGTTAGGACCTAGGAATTCTGAAGTGGCTGGTATTGATGTTTTCCATGTTGCAGGTTCTTGAAGTGGTAAGTACGGCTTGAGTAATACCTTTATTTCGTTTTAATATATGGGAATGTGGATGGTCCTTTAGTATTGCATGTTCGTATCAAGCACAGGCAGCAGCAACCGAAAATGTGTACGGCATGCAGCAAATATTTAAGGAAGAGATATAAAATTTGCTGTTTTGAAGGCTAGTTAGAAATAAGAAGTGTTGATTACTTTTGAATTGTGCCTATTTTGCTAGTTTATCTATCTAGGTCTGTAGTTTTTCTTAGTCATGGTTACGAAATTAAGCTGGTCTACTGGTGTTCTGTGCTTGATTGCGAATATTGCTTGCAAAATGGACCCCATAAACATGTGTCGTTCTTTGGTTACTTATTTTCATATGACCTCTCAAGCCGCTACTTCAGAATTTCTTTGTCATGTAAGACATCATTAGAACTATAGAGGTACTTGTTGGTTTCTATATCTCTGGTCTCTATGGCAGCTGAAGGAAAGAGAGCCTCAGATTCTTAATCTCTGTTCGTGGGACTGGGACTTTGCTGGCTTTCTGATGCTACACAATTTCTTTGTTTCTGTAATAGATTTTAGATACTCTTGTTGATACTTGCTTTCTGTTAATTTTGAATGAAGCGCCAGAAAACTTTTATAAAGGGAATGTAATGTTAAGTTTGCTACTTATGTTTAATTGTTGTCTTTGTTCTTCTTATTCAACACATTTTTTGGCTATCTATTGTTTTGTGCCTAAACTCCAATATGTTGCAACGCTTTCGAATTTTACCAGCATTGACATTGATGATATTGCATGCAAGTACCCTCGTGTATAATTTTGCATACAGGGGTACATGAGAATTCATGTTTTCTTGTGAACATATCAAAGATCTCATAATTTAATATTGTTCTAGCTATACTATTAGTTCTTTCTTGACCCTGGCTCCAATTTATTGCCCTTGACACAGGAAGAGTTTTTGCTGTAAGATCTGTTCATGATGTTGAATGCATTGGGTATCCCCCTCTAATTGACAGAGGAGAAGCCCAAGAATTGGTTTTGACCGGTTGGGGGTTGAGATAGATCACAATAACGGTTATATCGTCGTGGAAATGCCTTCTTACACCAGGGTGGATCTCTTGTAGGTCTGAGTATCTCATCTCTCTTTTCTTTGCTGCTTCCTTCAATGCAGCTTTAAGTAGTCTCCTTGCTATTCCCTGGGATTGAGACGGTATTAACAAATAGTTCTTGGTATGTAACCTATTTGATGAAATGGCTTAGGCATTGAACTTACTTGGCGCGGGGAATTATGTACAATGTCAACAGCTTCCTGGTTGCTAAGATGCTCCCAAAGCCCATCTGAAGCAAGGATCATAAACTCGTCTTGTGGGCTAAGCCGGGTAATGGTGACTGATGGATCAGCACTAAGGATTGGCTTAGTGAAATGTTCTGGTACTCTGAATTTGGGCAGCAAAGGTTCTCTGTTAAACTCTGCTCTTTTGAGGTATGCATCACCTATGGATCTTGTGACCTGATTAAAGGTCATAACACATTTGCTAGTCAGTTTTACATCCTTACACAAGATATGGCTTCGATAGATGATTTTCTTAAGCTTTTGTATTTCATAGAAACTTATGAAACAAAACTCTGCAGGTTTTCAGATGTGTAAACAGGTATGAATGTTTACCTGGATGACGCCTTTCACTCGCCACATGCGGTGCTTCATCACAAGAATATTGGGGTCATTAGGATGCATTGACCATAGCTCTTGCCTCGCAGACTCTAGATTGGCATTGTGCTCTATAGATAACTGAACAGCTCTCACTCCACCTCTCTCAGATCTGCCCAACACAGCTCTGGAATCTCCCGCGTTTGCAATATACACCAATCCGTTGCATATCACTCCTGCCAAGCAACAGGACCCAACTGATGCCATCTGTGGGTTCGTGGGCCATTGCTTCTTCACTGCGTTGAGAAAATCTTTGTCTGTCTCTGCAAATGCTTTGCTGATCACTTGCTCTGAAATCTCCCTACCCTCAGACGCAAACTCTGTTCATGTGAGACATGAGTGTTAGTACTTAGTATGCTCGACATATTCAAGAATGACGAGATAAAGAATGAGAATGGTGGTATCTTACTCTTTAACTTGGGGAAGATGTTGTCTGCAATGAATCTGGAAGCGTCTGGACCTCCATGACCATCGTAAACTCCAACAAACGTGCCTTGAACTGTCGGATTGTTGAATGTAAGTGGCCCTGATTCGATCTGGCACTGATCCTCCATCACACTGTTGGCTTGGATCATTGCCATGGAAAACTCTCCGAAGGCGTGAAGGCCGAGATCTTTATACCATGTCAAGCCATCAACCTTTGTGGGATTGATCTTACTTCTCTCCATACCGGCACCTATTCTCCAACAGGGTTTAACCATCTTCTCAGGTATGTAATATTCGAGCAATATCGTAATATAGGCAGATAAGAGACTATATAGATTAAATTGATGGAAGAATGAGAACTAGTAGTAGCAGTGCTAGTTGTGAATTATGAGTTACAAGTTTAAGGAAGGGACCATATATATATAGCCGTGGAAGCCCTAGAGTTAGTGTGAAGGTGTTGGAAACCAAGGAATGAGGCCAAAAAGGGTATGGGTCAAAATAACTGAAAAATTAAATGGTTCTGAGAGTTAAGACAAGAGGGCAGTAGTTTAAAGTGGATATTCAGAGATTCTCCTCTTTACTGTTCGATGATGATTCTCTGTCTTAGTAGGGTTAAGTAAAAGCTGTCATATTCTTTTCTACCCTCTGCTATATTTATACCATCATGTAGTATTTTTTCCGGTAAAAGTATACTCCTTTCTTAGAGGTTAATCTTGTAAACTTAGGAAGCAAGAATGCTCACAGCCAAAACAGTCAGTTTTGGTTAAAGTCTCATTATATGATTGATGACTTCTTCTTAGAAGTAATAATATCTCATGTAAATGTCTGTTTTCACATTAGTTGTGTTAGTGTCTTTATTACCTCATCTTGTAAAATGTGTTTTTGGCTTTTGTGTGTTTGCAAATTGGTAATTTGTGGGAAGAAAATGGATAGAAAAGGAAAGGTCATAGGATGCATGTGTGGGCGTGGGTTTTGGGAGCATTGAACTTGGAACCATTTAAAAGATTTGAGAGCTGAGAAAGACTGAAGAGAGAGGAGAGAAGACATTTGTGGGGCGACTGAGGAACACTCTTAGCTGTCTTAACCCCTACAGGTTTTGCCCTTTTCTCAGTCTCTTGTCTTCTTTTTTTGTTTTTACTTTTTCTGGTTCTTTAATGTTATCAAAAGCTGATCTCTTACTTGTGAGATTCAGATCGAAATTCATTTCATGGATTATTATTATGGGGTTGAAATGAATTTCCAAAGAGGATGGATCTTTTTGGTACTTTTCCTAAGTTCCATTTTGCATGACCCCTCATTGGCCTTCCTCTGTCCCTCCTCGTTTTTCTGTTCATATGGATCCACAGATTTGAGATGTTACGGTAGAGAGAACCACTGTCGTGTGTTGATAGACCAATTACATTAAAGAGATGTTTCAATTTCTAGATTATCTAATGCATATGTCGAAGTTAGATTGAGTTTTCGTTTTTCGTCCTCTATACCTTTTTGTTGTGAGCTTCGAAATTAAGAATTCAACAAGTGGGTTACACAACTTCCACTTCCACTTGTTTTGTTTTTTTAATGATAGTAATCTTTTCGACAAAAACATGTTAGGGTCCCTAATCCGATCTTTTGTTAACAAGAAAAAGAAAAACACATAATTTTTAGTGGTTCACTTTCAATATCAAAAGTACGTTCTCTTTCCATCACAACGAAATTTACTACTACTATATAACGAATGAACATCGGGAGTACAAAATTTTGTTCTCTTTTCGTTTTTTTCTAGCTCACAAATAAGGAATACAAGTGGATCCGCAAGATTAGGCTCCACAACTCTTAACACAAGAATTTTGATATGTAAAGGTATTCGAAATTAATAAACGGACTATAAGCTACAAAAAAAAAAAGAAGAGGTTTTAGGTTTAACCAATTGGGATATATATTTTGTATTGGATTCACTTCTACTCGCTAATCAATTTTGTTGAAGGAAGGGGCTCTCATTCATTGCTGTTATTTAGTTCCACTAGTTCGATAAGGCCAACAATCTCATCAATTGGTGTCGGCTAGATCGTGTGACTTGACGCATAATTTGGTTAAAAGTTTGATAATATAGATCTAAAGTCAAATCAAAAGAGTAAGATAGTCTAATAGAATTAGAACGAATGGTCCAGGTACATTTTCTCATAGCATATTCACAAATAACTTTCATATATGGACCGATTAAATATTGAACCATTTTGTGAGAAACACATGTGGCCTTGGAACGTATTGAAGCTCCTTGAATGCACCATTACAGTACATACACTGTATTTTCATGTGCTCTCTATCCCTAATTAATTTCTTATCTTATTACGAAAAGTGGACAACTTCACTCTCGTTTTGATTATATAAAGATAAGAAACAAGAATAATATAAATTATGAAATAGAAACTAAAACAAGTTCCTATATTTATTATAAAAAAAAAAAAAAAAGAGTTGTGGTGACAGCTGGGCCATTGATGCACTGAGTTTTGTCTTTTGGTTGAGGGAGCATGGATGTCAGCCTATCTCTTTAGCTCTTCTTACTTCTTACTTAGCTTTGTTTTCTATCGTATTGTTTAATATTTTAGCTTGCCATATTGGTGTTGTTATTCAACATTCATTAACTTACTTCTTTAGTAACTTTTATCAACTATATTTCTAAGGTTTAGTCTTCGATAGAATGTGCAATTTGGTACACTGTAATCTGAAGTTATAATGTCTCGGTTTGTCTTGGTTTTTCATATAAAGAGACAACAATATCAAACCATACTTTAAATACTAATGGGCATGAATAAGCTAATAATAGATGTACTATATAAGTGATTATCATGGAGTTACTTCGATTTCTGCGATATCCATGGATGGAATTGCGCTTCTACAGAATTTACATCGCATGCATCGGTACAAGTATAAGACAACGTCCATAGAAAGAAAGAAAAATAAATCGAGTTATTTTGGTTTAATCAATTATTAAGAAAATTGAATGCACTCGCATCGACACTGTCTCTAATTTGAAAACTTTTACCACAGTATTTAATTTGGAGTATAATAACAAACGAGCATTTAAGAACATCTCATCTTTCGAGAAACCTATGTTACAAGTAAACTGAACCTACCGTCTAAAAAAGGAATCTTAAACGCTAATTATATATGATTAATCGTACCCAGCCCCGGCTCAATATATTTGAGAGCCTTAGAGCAAAAAAAATTTTTTTGGCCTATTATTATATACAAAGAGAAAATTTACTTAATTTTTAAAAATTTTGCGGAGTTTTTATAGTAAAAATTGTTATTTTAAAAATTTTGGGCTTTTTTATACATTTTCTTATAAATAATTAGGTCTCTTAAAATATAATTCTCATATTAATAATATTTTTAAAAAATATTTGCGCCTTTTTTATATGTAAAATTTTTTTATAAAAAAAAAAAGTCCCGGGCCGTCGCACCTCCGCCCTACCCATCTGAGCCGGGGCTGATCGTACCAATATATATATATATAAGAAAACAGATCCAAATTAGTCGACACACTAACATTTTTCTTTAGGTTTGATTAATCATAAATAAGAAAATGAATAAAAAGTGGAGACGTGGGCACGTAGAGAAGACGAGAGTAAATAGAATGCATGGCATGCAGGAAACATGAGACAGACATCGTGAAGGTCCCATATTGTCTGGTCGAACCAAACCTTGACATATTATCACAACACTATCTATCTAGTAACTAGTGTTCTTCGTATTGTCGTAGTACTTTATCAATTATCATCTCATCACATTACAATTAACTTAGTTATATAATATTAGATTTTGATTTTGTTATCTAGTTGCAATTGTATCTGGACGTACTATTATCACTTTGATTTTGTACCTTTTATTAGATCTCTCATCTTAGCTTGCAACTTAGTATCCATCATCATTGTTTTCTACAATTTTTAAAAATATTTTATGTACATTTAGTATATAGTTAAATACATTAGAATTTTTCTTTCCACGAAAAAAAAATATACATTAGAATTTTATCGATCATACCTAAAAAAACTCTGCACATATTACATATATGTATATAATATTTTAGTTTAAAAAAAAAAATAAGCTACATAAAATTTGTGGATTTGTGAATTAGACCACGTTAATAAACATTTTTTTCAAAACAAGAGAAGATATCATCGAATCCACTGTCAAAACATACAAATTATAGCTACTTTCGACAGTTTGATCTTCTCACCAGGAATCACTTATTATTACTTATTTATTTTGGTATCAAGCTTATTTTCTTCTTTCTTTTTTTGATAAATAGAATCGCTTATTTTATTTTCTTTGACAAAAAAAAAAAAAAAAAGAATCGCTTATTTTCATTTTGACTGGCATAACTTTTACGTGCAAGTGTGCAAATATTAGTTGGTTCTCATCAAGAGATTTCCCTTGATCTTAAAACCTTTGATGGTAGGTTTTCTTTTGATAACATAAGTTTTATAGTTTTATTGATGATTTGTGTATTTAAATTATTTGTGAAGAATAATACACTTCGAATCTTATATAATATTAGAATATTTATCATTTTTTATTTTCTACGTGACTTTTCACGATAGAATAGATGCACATGACTTTTTGATCAAAATTGATTGATTTGATCAAAATAAACTTTACGGCTATATAATAGATATTTTCGTTACATTATCTTATCATAGTCCCAGTGTAATCGGCCCAGCTTTGAGAAGCTCAGCAAAGCCCCTGAAAATGAAAAGACAGCAAAACAAGCTTCCATTAAATGATCTAACTTGTATTAGCTACGTAAGGCCCAAATATAGCAAGCTCAAAAATGTACTGTATTTAGGCCCATTAGTCCCTTAAAGAGACTCAAATCTAGGGCTGGGCTTTTAAACCGAGCCAAATGTACCGAACCAAAACCGAAGCAAAAAAAACCGAACCGAACCGAACCGAAAATTTGAAAATAATCGAATGGATACTAAATTTGATAACCGAAATAACCGTAACCGAATCGGTACCGAACCGAAATATTTCGGGTAACCGAAATACCTGAAATACAATTATATTTTCGAAATAATTAGTTATTTATTGACCAAATAATCAAAAATACTTGAAAGATCTATAAAAATAGTAAAAATACTCAAAAATAACCGAAAAATATCCAAAAATATTCGAAAATACTCAAAAATAACCGAAATATCCGAAAATATCCTAAAGAAAATAACTGAATGGATACTAAATTTTAAAACCGAAAGAACCGAAACCAAACCGAAACCGAACCAAAATTTCAAAATATCCGAATGGATACTAAATTTTAAAACCGAAAGAACCGAAAACCGAATGGACCCAACCGATAACCGAACGGATAACCGAAAGCCCAGGCCTACTCAAATCATAGAGCAACGTGAAATCATCGATGGGGACATGGAAAAGAACTAAAGAAGATTAACGATTAAATTTAAAATCCGAGATTCGCTTTTCCGAGTTACTTCATGGAAATACTCTAGCCATACGATCGAAACCAATACACGAAACAATTAAATTGTTTTTGTTACTATTAGTTTCATTTCCATTACAACATAATATACGAAGTTCATCGTACTAATAACTTATTTTAATAACAAAATCCGCTAAAAAAATAAGTGCTCATGAGTTTTAGAACCACATGTGTGTCTTTGTCAAAAGAAAACTATACAAAATTCTATATATCAAAACGGTCCAAACATTCCTATCTCAACAATACTTGATATATTATTCTACATAGAATAGATGCACATGACTTTTTGATCAAAATTGATTGATTTGATCAAAATAAACTTTATTGACGGCTATATAATAGATATTTTCGTTACATTATTTTATCATAGTCCCAGTGTAATCGGCCCAGCTTTGAGAAGCTCAGCAAAGCCCCTGAAAATGAAAAGACAGCAAAACAAGCTTCCATTAAATGATCTAACTTGTATTAGCTACGTAAGGCCCAAATATAGCAAGCTCAAAAATGTACTGTATTTAGGCCCATTAGTCCCTTAGAGACTCAAATCATAGAGCAACGTGAAATCATCGATGGGGACATGGAAAAGAACTAAAGAAGATTAACGATTAAATTTGAAATCCGAGATTCGCTTTTTCGAGTTACTTCATGGAAATACTCTAGCCATACGATCGAAACCAATACACGAAACAATTAAATTGTTTTTGTCACTATTAGTTTCATTTTCATTACAACATAATATACGAAGTTCATCGTACTATTAACTTATTTTAATAACAAAATCCGCTAAAAAAATAAGTGCTCATGAGTTTTAGAACCACATGTGTGTCTTTGTCAAAAGAAAACTATACAAAATTCTATATATCAAAACGGTCCAAACATTCCTATCTCAACAGTACTTGATATATTATTCTACATAGATATTATTACTAGATTACGATGAACACGCTTCTATAGTTCTTCTTACACATGTATTCATCACCGCAAGCTGAGATTAAGCCACGTGTAACTCGCTGGTCTTGACGAGGATCTCCCACAGCCGTTGGATCTCCGAGAAGACATCGTCGGTGGGAAGTTGAAACCTGCAGAAAGGACACGTGTTCTTCTTGCTTAGCCACGGCAAGATACACTTCCAGTGAAACACATGCTGACATGGCATTTCACAAACATCTCTTCCTTCGCTCATCTCTTCCTTGCATATCACGCATTCTACTTCTCCGGCGTTTGAAGCTGCGGCGTTGAAAACCTCAACCGCTCGTAACGCCACAACAGCCGCTCTAGCAGCCGGAACTTCGTAGCCTTCTTTTTGATCTCTTCGGCGAAGATGGTTGTAGCCTCCCATTATGTCAACAAATCTTTTGCATCTAACTAGGGTTTCTATGTACGGCATCAAGATTCCGGCATCGCAAGTCCAAAGACCGGAATTATTAGTTAACATGGTATTAGAGTACGTATTACCGAGAATTTCCCGCCAATTATCGGCGGAAGCTTCTAAAACATCTGGATGAAGCTGGTGGGTTTCGCAGAGAAAGAGGAGGAGGACCACCGCGTCGAGGTCCCGGAGCTTCATGGTGACGGTGGAGGAGGAGTGATGTTTACGGTGGATGAGAAGAGGGTGAAGGAGAGAAAGGAGATGGTTGGCGATGAGGTGGGTTTTGTCGGGAAGAGATAGAGAGAGGAGGTGGCGGAGAGTGAGGGAGAAAAGGGTCGGAGATGAGAGGACGGTGGCGAGGCGGCGGCGATGGTGGTGGGAGATTGAGAGAATGGAATGAGTGAGATTTGTGAGGTGTGAAGGAGAAAGAGTAGAGAGTGACGCCATGATGATTGTGATGTTTCCTTCCTCCATATTGGATCTTGTGTGTGCTCGTTTCTCACTTCTCTTCACTTTTTGATGAATCTTTGCTTTATATACATGTATTAAGTCATTAGGAATTTGGTGGAAGTAATAATAAAATATTGTGATTTTTTTAATTAGGAAAAAACAAATGGGTGTGGTACAAAAGAGATTATTGTCGGCTTTGCTTGTTTGGGTTTTGATTTAATTGATAGATGTAAATTTGGGATTGGAGAATAAAGGTGAAGAAGCAATGAATGGAGAAAGTTGGCAAAAGTTTAACACTTTAGCAACTGTTGGTGACAGACATAATTTGCTTGCAAACTTTATGCAATTAAAAAGTGTTTCGTTACGCTTTAACTATAAATCTTGGAAATTGGAAATGTCGAAGAAATTATTTGGAAGATTGTGTTGAAACTTAACAAACTATATCTTTTGTTAATGTTACTAGCTCCACAATCTAAACAAAACTGTAAATTTAGTAACATTTACCAAAATTCATCAAAGAGTTTGATAATGTGAAGCTAGTTAGTGGGACCAGAGAAGAGTCTGTGGAGTAGAGTAATAATTTGGATCGGCTTGTTTATATAAATCTATTTGTCAACTTTCACAACACAAATCACACAAAGCACAAACCTATCATTCATACCTAATGATCAGATAAGATTATTTACCAAACTCATGTTGTTGTTCAGGACAAAGAGATCTTTCTCTTGTTAGTCCACATGACCAAACAAAAACAACAAAACAAGAGGAAAATGATCAAAAGTCAAAACTATGAAAAGAGATCTAAAAGTTTGGCTAAATCCATTGCTTCTTCTACTTTTCAACTGTTGTCTTCAAGAAACAGTATTGAAAGATAATAATTCACATGACCACACCATTCTATAACTCTAGTCTCTATGCATTTGTCCCCGTGTGTTGTCCATACTAGCACAAACTCTCATGTCTCCCAAATCCCTAAACAAGATTTCGGTGGATATCAATGACTTTTTGACATTATTACCCCCTCACTCCAAAGAAAACTTACCACTATAGCAAAAATAAGCTCACCAATTTGATTGATCCATATCTCAGTGAAGAGCATCTTGATTATAAGCATATCCAAAGGACGTACAGTTTCACTAGTCATAAAATTTACGAATTTAATAAAGCATCAAATCTTCTACACAATCAAATGGACTCATGAAGAAAGATTGGATACCGTGAGAACTGCGAAGATATGATATCAAGATGCTTCAATTACAAGTAAAGATGACCCACTTGAGAAAAGCAAGTGAACAATAAAAAACTCATAATATTATTCTACTGTGCTCGATTTCTATTGCACTAGTGAAGAGTGAGCCCCCACCAAACTCTTATAGTACAAACTACAAAGTCATTCACTTTCTAAAAGCAAGACGGATCACTTCACCCACATGGGCATCCAAAGATAACAGCTTTAGTCAAAATACACGAAAGAAAAAAAGATCACATAGTTAACAATTTAGCATCTGCTTATCTGAAACTTTCTGCTCCTACTAAGACACATTTATTTGTTATTCATCAACTTCATATTGAACCACAGGGAAGAGAGACAACAATAGTTTTTCTAGCATCATGAAGTTTTCAGATGGAATTTTTTGATAATCAAATCGACCTAAAACATCCCAACAGTAGAGAAAAAAAAAAGTGCTTTGGATCTCTTACCACTGGAATACACCACGAGAATGGAATGGGAAACTGAGAAATTACTGCAGAACTTGCAATGTGATTCGTTGGTTGAGAAGGAAGTTCCTGTTCTTTGTAATGTATGCATTCATTGCCTGGGTCTGTGATGTGAAACGCACCAACGCCACCCTCTTCGAAGTTCCAAGTCCTTGGCTGCAAGGTAAGAGAAGGCATTAAAATAGTTTCATGTCCTTAATTTATCAGTAGATCATAATTACTGCACAGTACAGAAAGATCATTGTAACTGATTAATTAAACAGGAGAGCACCGGATTTGCAAGACTGCAGGTCCAACTAACGACTAATCAAAAGCGGATCGAGTAAAACCCAAAACATGGTACTTATAACATAAGAATTAGTAAACCAATAATTACTCACACTGTGAGGAATTGGATGGATCCAGGATAATAGAGACAGCCAGATAAGAACCTATCTATGTCCTCTGTTATAGCATTCACCGGAAGCCCATGTAGTGCAACCTAAACAATATAAAATCTCATCAAATATTAATTGGACCAGTCGTCAGAGAACAAGACCTTGATAATACAATGAGATATGACAGAAAATATAGCTTACCACTTTCCCCTCATAAGGAACAATGGGATCCCACTGAGCACGAGCAGCCTAATCATCGAAAAGGAATCAACTACGGATTAAATAGCCATTCTATCATATGAGGATTCTTCGTCTGTAAAACGGAAATTAATATGTACTCTGTAGTTTGTTAAAGGATTACCCTTTCTAATCTATATAGCTTTCCTTTCTTTGCGATATTCCGCAGTGCTTTATCATATGCGGAAAGGGAAGGGAACTGCACAAAACTGATATACCAACATTGTCGAGAATGAAGGACAGAAATTCGTTAGTTAGGATTAGAATTCCCCGCTTCCAAAAATAAAACTTGTAATATTCTGGAGCATTGATAAAGCTTAACACTTACACTGCCGCAGGAGTTAAGTTTCCACCACGCGGATAGTTGAATTTGAGATCATCTGATGTCACACTGCAGCCCTCGAGTATGTTCATAACATCAGTCTTCAGAGCATGTTTTGAAAAGCCTGAAAATTTCCCATAAAACCTCTCTGGAAAAATAAAAACACGATCAAGGAACATCCTTCATTATTGCGCGTTCCAAAGATAAAGAAGACAAGCATAGTGCATACTTCATAATGAGCTAAAGTCCCAAAACCATAACAATCCAGAAACCTACTATGCTCTATATCAATCAAAATAACAAATAGTTCCCTTTTTGGATAAAAATTTCGATAATAGCCTCTGTTGTTAAACTCAGAAACCAACATTTTCCATTTCAATATCTTCAGATATACTTACTCCAAGCAAATCAAAACCCTGCAATCTGTGATCTAGGATCTTTGCCCTCAAAGAAACACTAGAGACATGGAAGGAAATAAAGAAAAAACCTTCTCCTGGAGAACCTCCCGGAGGCGGTGGTAACGGAGAGGCAGGAGGAGGCTGCTCCGTGGCGGTAGATAGGCATTTCCTCCACTCTTGAAGAAACGGAAGCGAACTACGACTGATTGCCGGATCCAACTGCCGGAGACACAAGCTCGATCTGATCGCGCTACGAATGATACTCATTTCTCACCGGAAAATCTTAGGGTTTTTCTCTACAGAGAGAGTCTCAGTGACGATGACGAAGATTCGAAATTACCCAAATTCGCTAGCTAAACGACAGTGTTTCACATAATAAAATAATCAAAAGCCCACATAATAATTAAAACAGGCCCAAGCCCATAACTTCGAACATCAATACGGTCCATATTACATAAGAGGATTAACGAAAAAAACTTGACCATTAAAGGAAAAAAATGTTTCAAGAATTGAAGTACCAATATTTGATTAAATCTTGTATAATTTCAATGTTATTTAAGTATATCAAAAGGACTTTCGCCTTCGTAATTTCCCGAAGGTGAGTACTCGCAAATCACTAGGAATCCACGGTCGTTATCACACTTAGAACGAGCGCATCCAACGGCTGTGGTTGTACGCCAAATGATCTGCGTATAATGACCGCACATCGCACCAGACTTACACGTATTAGTCAGCCGATCGTAGTTTAAACTTTCATCCATCCATTTTTCAACAACTCTCCTCGGCGACCAATTCTCACTTCTTTGGTACCAAAAAATATTCTCTCCGTAAGGCCCACCTGAATGGGTCATTTTACAATCCGATTTACGTTGTTTGGCCCATTTAGATGCGAAACGGGCCAGGCCTTGATCCCATTTTAGATTCGACGCGCCTGAAGCTCCACGCGCTGCGTTGTGAGCGAGTAAGAACTCCGCCGATTGCTTATTCCTCCTTCCTCTGTTAATAGCACGTGCGGCTGCGGCTTTGGTGTCCGGCGAGAAAGTTCCGGCGGTGGAGGGAAATTCGCCGGAGAAGATTAATATGAGGAGGAGAAGAGAGGAGACGGAGAGACAAAACGGATTATATAACGAAGACGACGACATATCTCTTAGTCGTCGTCGTCTTCGTGTCTCTCATCCTCAATCTTCTCCGTCTCTCAGGTTTTGTTTTTACTTTTCAAAACATTCATTATTCGGTTAGTGATTTGCCATTTTCTGACAAGATTTGACAGATTGTGTCTCATCTGTTTGTTTTCAGTTTTCTTTTTGTTTTTCTTAATTTGTTGACAAGAGAACGTTCATACCATAACCAATGTAAGCTGACTTTGTTGGTTTTTTAATATTCAAAGATTAATAACATAATAAATTCGGTAAAGTATGGGATTTTGTGATGTTTGAATGTAAAAGTATGATAATTATAAATGTAAATATTCTATACGAACGTTACAAATGTAATGTGTTACTGAATGTGCAATTGAAGAGGGAGAGTGTTTAGAGGGTAAGCGTGAGACGCACGTGTCATCGTGGATCTCTGTCCCTCTGTTTTTTTTTTCTTTCTTCTTCCTCTGTTTCATTTGTAGAAGAAAGAAAAGAGAGAGAGAACCATACGAAATAATAATATCCTGAAAATTAAATTTTAAAAAATGACGATTCGGAAGAATCCGATGATCTGGAGAAATCTTCTTTTCTGGTACATCATCCACATGTGGATTCCAGGTAACAACAACAAATCTCCACGACTAATTTCCCCTGGAAACAAAACCAGCTTCTTTTGTTAACCAACAAACTTTATCCGTTTGCTCGATCGTAAATTATCGATCTCTTCATGTTGTTTTTTGTTTGTTTCCATAGATCGATTTGTATTGATTTGCATGAGGAATAGAGAACGTCCCAAAAAAAAAAAAAAAAAGATTCAAACAATTTCAGTTTACTCGAGGATTTTCTGTAAACTAAAACAAAATATCGTCGACAGCAGGATTCGAACCTGCGCGGGCAAAGCCCAATTGATTTCGAGTCAATCTCCTTAACCACTCGGACATACCGACTTACTTGTTTAGTCATCCAAATAAACGTTAAAATACTGGTTTTATCTTTAAAATTTCAGGACTTGTCAAAGCACAATTTATCACACTCAACTCTATTGAGATATTCACAAAGCACGACTGGTTCAAGCTCAAACACACTGTCTATTTTCAATGCAAAGGAGAGAACAAAACTGTTCTTCCAGATGTTACCAAAACCGGTGTCTTGTACACTTTCCGCGGTCAAGAATCATGGCAGGCTCGTCCCAATTCTCTTTTACAACCATCTATTACTACACTCTATTAATAAGATTGTTTAAATACATATATGTTTCTTCACTCTATCGCTTGGTACAGCCTATGACTGAAATCGGTGGCGAAAAGTGTAAGCGATGCGGAATCTATGAGCAAGGCAGCCTCGTTTCAGACAAAGAGTTCGATGTATGGGAAGTTTGTCCCACTGATTTCTCCGCTAGCCAAGTCTATATGCATTTTAAAGAAAAGGAGATTAATGCTACTTTTGTCTGCCACGGTTGCGCCAAGCTCGACTCCGGTGAGTAAAAACTAATTCCCGCATTTGTGTTTCCTGTTAAACGAAATGAAAATATATGATGACCATAAGTAACATATATGAATTGTGTGTAGTATCTTCTAAAGCAATGAATGCTTCAACTCCGCAAGAGGAAGGATATAACGGGTTAACAGTCACGATAGCAATTGTAGCAGGCATTTTGTGTACAACTCTTGTTGTGGTTGGAGGCGTTTTTATGTTCAAGCACTCACAAAGGATGAAGAAGCAGCGAGATCAAGCTCGGTTTATGCAGCTATTTGAGGAAAGTGATGAACCTGAAGATGAACTTGGACTTGAACCTGTGATATGATATGTTCTAAGCAGGTTCGTCCATAATTTTTTCTACACAAAGACTTTTGGTGTTTCATGAATTTTGCAGCTTATATTAGGGAAGAGGATTGACAGTAGGATCTCAGTTTTTGTCTTTTGGTATTTGCTTCTCTTCCACATAATTTAGTAATCAGTCAAAAATAATCCCAATATTTTCCAGTACTATAAGGCTATTGTACACATTCTAATCCAAAAATGCATTGAGGGAACTTTAAGGTATGTATTACCAAGAAAAGAACTGAATCAGTACCTGCCTTTGAGTTTATCTGACTATCAACTCGAGCTCGGACTACTTCTTATGGCACGGTTGAAGTTATCCAATTCTTTGGAACCAGGGCCATATATCGTCTTAATGGTGTCAATGCAGCAGCTGCAACGTAAAAAAACGTTAATCACTGTTTTCTCACATCTATGTCTTCCACATTTGTTCTATTCCGGGCCAGAAAATGAGTTGTAGGATCATCCCCTAATTAAGATTTAAATACACATTTGATTTGGCTTCCACACTCTCAGTGTAATAAGAGCTTGTGAAAAAGAATTACAACAACCAAAGAGAATCAGTGATGTTACCTGACAGCTTCCTTGTTGAATTTCTTTTCTTCAATCCCGTAGAGTGACTTGAAAACCTCGGGCTCAACCCGACAAAAGTATGGACGATCTGAACTCAGGAAAGGAAGAAAACGTTCAAAAAATAAGAATTGGTTTGTTTCAAAAGGAGATTTTGTATACAAATGTTCAACATATAAAGTTTCAATCCATAAACAGATGTATTAGAGAGAGACCAATCTGATAAGCTAATAAATACTGAATGTACCAGAATAAATCGAGCATTTGCGTGTAGATTTGTTGTAGTTTATGCACCATCCATCATCTCCAATCATGCTTCGATACAGCTGGATTAAGCATAAGATTATTAACGTCGAAAACATGATACATTAACAATTTGACACCGACTGAGGAATTTCGTCGAACAAGTAGTGGGTGAAAAACAAACAGACCTCCACATCATCAGGGTTGTCGAAGATTTCGTCAGGTGTTGCGAAAGCGAAGTCCTTTGCAATCTTACAGCAAGCTCCACAACCTTCGACGCACTTCCAAGTCAATTCCTTCGTTGTTCTGCCGGAAAAACCGCTCGTCGACGTCGTCGTTGGCCGCTTATTCTCCGGCTTGACTTTCTTAGCTTTAGGTTGTGAAACTTGGGACCGCCTCGTAGCAGAGATAATCGTCGTACTCATTGGTGCCGTCGATAACGCAAGCGAAATAACCATTTTTTTGGCGCAAATTAGAAGCAAGAAATGTTCTCAAGATAAGATTAAGAACCCAAATTGCGAAAGCCGGTTCAGTCGCAAATTGTGAAGTAGCATCCGATTCAGTCGCAAATTGCGAAGATGTATCCGGTTCAGTTAACTATATATTTCATCATAATAAACTGTTTTTTGGTTAAGAAATGTAGTTTTGCATGAGAAAATGTTTTATATTCCCTTTCAATCTTTCATGATGATGATGATTTAGGGAAATAATGAGTTAGTCTCAGAGAAATATTTAAAAGGAAAAAAAAACAAATCATGCCAATTTATTAAAATTATATTGAAGAATACTTATGATTGAATGAAAATTAAAATCAGAATAGAAAAAGTGCGTTTAATAGCATCTCTAACAGTAATGTCTTGAAGAATGTCTCAAGATTAAAAAAATAAAAAATAATAAAAAGGTAAGAGAGAGGGTAGACATAGTTTCTGGTAAAAATTTTGAGAAACTGTGTCTCCACTTGTCTTTATATTATTGGCCAAATTCTCTTTCTATAATTTATAATTTAAATAAATAATTTATTTTTTATAAAATAATTAAAATAATATTTTTGAGACATCCACATAGTATCTAATGGATGGAGCTGATCTTAGTTGGTCTACGTTAAATTCGGTTTTTAGTTTGATTAATTACTAGTTTTTTTCTCAGCGAACAAATAATATAATAATACTCTTTAAAAACCTCAATTTAGGATAAAATCAAAAGAGCAATTTAAAAAGAGACAACGCCATGAACAAAAGAGTTCGGAAACCCAAATGCCACGTGTCACTCTCTACGACGTGTAAGACCTTGGAGACCAAATATGCTAAGAGATTGACGTTACTAGGAATATAATGAACTAATGAAGCGTTTACCGAAGCAAGAGAATTGTGAGAAAATGAAGCATGAGGAATTGAAGATATTTGGATCTCTTCTATGCAAGCGATGTGAAAAGATTGACGTTCCCAGCATTTGATATACCTATGAGTTATTTTCTTCGACAAAAATTGGCAATGGGCCCTTGTGACTGGGCACTCTATATATATATGTTGAAATTATAAATCAGTTATTTTAGGACAAAGAGATCTTTCTCGTATTAGTGTATGACCAAACAAGAATCAACAATATTGATTAACAGTAAAATACAGATCACAAGCTATTGCTGCTTGTAAAATAGTAACATACACATCTTATTGCATCATCCTATTGCATCATCCGGTTCTTATTTTATATCCAATGAACACACCAGTTCGTACCGGATGCATCTTCACAATTAGCGATTGAACCGGATAAAGAAAGGTTTCCGTCTGAACCGGATGCATCTTTACTAAATTAAATATTAGTTGGATTACTGTTTATTGTTCAAAATTTAAATATCATCAACAAAAATTTATAATTATATCTTACACACCCGTGTATTTAGACGGACCTTATCTAGTGCAAAATAAAATATAGATTAATATAGCATATGATTTGATTTTTTTGACAAAAAGGTTACTCTTTCAAACATTTCATAACCCAATATATGTCTTATTACGTGTCATCTGTCATTGCGATTCCAATCCTCTCTTAAACGGTTTTTGTTGATTAGTTATTTAAGATGTCATATTCGGACTACAACCTCAACTTTATTTTCATATATGCATGCCTTAAATATTCGTAATTGGTTTAATGATGCAAATAATGTATTTATTTAATTTATTAATACAGTTTATTTGTGACAAAAAAAAATGTATGTTATACGAACAAAATAACAGTCATATAATTAAGAAGATGAGTAAATATCACATACACTAATGTCAAAGATAAGCAAATATTTGTTTTAAGATATGATAAATTTTCAATTTTCAGTGTAAAGCACATTAATTTAGATCGATGAAGCTCTCTTCAGCTCATCCTCAACTAAAAATGAGGTACCTTTAACCATTGGAGAGTGCAACCAACATATTGTATCATTCAAGTATGATGAGCCATTGGAAGTGCAAAAGAAGAACAATAATTGGTATCTTGATTCTATTGATTTCGAGTTTGAGAAATTTTCTGAAATATGAAAGGTAAGCTCCATCTTCATTTATATTAGCTAGGTAAACAAAAATGCATATTATATTAGACAAATCAATAAATTATTTTACCATCTTTTGGTTGAGCTTTTAGAAATTCGACCATATATGATTATGGTTATGAGTCATCTAAACATGTATGTTGGTCTTTTTCTATATTGCTAGTGTTTTTCTTTTTTTTACATGAAACGATTAGAAATGAAATAAGAACACATGCATTCTAAGAAAGAACAATGATACTAACAAAAGAAGAGTAGAAGACACACATTTGATCAAACAGTAGCAAAAGTCTGTTTTTCTTCATTCGGCTCCTTTTAACACAAATCTCTTGCTTCACGCAAAGCAGCAGCATATTCGCATACATGTAGTTTTTAAGCAAATTTGGCTTCCAAGATACAAACGGTAAACTGAACTGCTCGGAGTACGGCCACCCAAATCTCAAAATGGTTTGTGTCCACCAGTTTTGGAAACTCGAACCCGTCATCTTCTGGAAAGCAGTCCATTAACCATGTCAAAATAGCATCTCCATGTGGATAAACAGTGGCAATATGAATAGTGGGATCATAACATTTAATTTATCCTTCATTATCAAAATTAGTAACCTCCTATCCAAAAGCCGAAACGAGAAGTCACAATAAAAAATGAATTTGTGTATATCTTTTTAAAATACTAAAACAAACTAAGAATATTAAAACTATAAAAGTAATTTAATTTAATAGGTATATATCCTTTTTTAAGATAAACTAACATTTGTAAGTTTTTTTGCAATTCATTTTATCGAGTTAGAAGAATATGATTTATGATACAACAAAACCAAATATACCATTCATTCAGGCTACAAGATCTAGTTGATAATTATACTCATTCTATTTCAAAATATAAGATATTTTGCCTAAAAGCACAAAATTTAAGAAATTAATTAATTCTTTTAGATTAATAAATAGTTAAAGATAATTTAGCCAATAATATGATTTACTGCAGAATCTAAATAGTCACAAAATTATATAAATTTAATTTTTTTCAATAGAAATATGAATTGTTTTTCCAAAACATCATAAAACAAAATAAAATGTCTAAAACATCCTATAATATAAAACAAAGGGAGTATTAGTTTGTGTCAAACCAAAAAAAAAATGTCTAGACAATGAAAAAAATAAAAAAGTGTAATCCGTACCCAATACTTTTGTGTATTTTAGTTAAACATCCAAAACCACTTTGCCATGTTTAATTGTTTGTCAGTTGTACAAACTTAAATATTTATATCTGTATGAAGGAGGCGCCCCATACCATATACCGTGGGTCCGCCCTTGTTCATTAATTACAATTAATGACACCCTCCTTACCTTAATCATTTCTCCTTTAATTTCCACTTATCTTTTCTTCAAATTTAAGCTTCACTTATTCCTCCACGTTATTAAACCTTAAAATAAAATAAAAAAAATCCATATATATATTACACATATACGATACAGAATCACCGAGGGAAAAAATATTATCACAATTAAAAATATAAAACTTGAGGATGAACTCAGTGTGTATCTCTAGCTGCATCAACGATGCACATGATCCTCGCGTGCCGGTTCGTCCTGTTCGTGCCTCCTACGTGAATCTCTATAAGTGGCCGGAGTCCGACGCCGAGTTCGTCCGCTCCGTCCGTCGTGGAGGCGGCGTACCCGCGGCGCGTGTAGTTGATAGCATATCTTGTCGACAGATGTATCTTCGGAGCTACACTTTCTCTCGGGAAGACGATGAGAGTAAATCGGAGAAGGTGACAACGCAGACGTCGTGTCTAGGGAGGGTTAAGGAAACAGCGTCGTTTCGACGTAAGAGTAAGGAGGAAAATGGCATCATCGTAGAGAGTACAAAGCCGCGTCGTCGTGGTGAGAGGAGGAGGGTTAGTAGAAAGAAGAAACAAGAACAAGCTTGTTCTGTTATGTTCAGGTTTTTTCGAAGGTTATTGTCTTGTGCTGCTACAGTAGATGTTGTTGATCCAAACTAAATTACTTTTTTTTTTCTGTTCAAATTATAATTAATATTTGAAATTTTTGTTTCTTTGTTTTAATAGTTATCCTTAAATGCATGGTTTTTTAAATTATATCTACTTTTTTTTTTGGTTTTGTTTTGTATTTAAACTTGTAATATATAGAATTTTCATGGTATATTGTTTTTGTATGAAGATGTGTGATTATTTGTAGTTTAGATGATCTTTCGTACATGAGTAATTGTTTTTTGAAATAGTTAAGGATATCGGAAAATAAACAAATTCGCTGGTGTTGATTTAATCTTTAGCTGTTAAAAGTGTATATATATTGGGTACTTTAGTTATGTAGACAAACGTTATCTTTATAAAAAGAAAAAAACTCTTATATTGAAACTATGAGGCGGGCAATTCCAGCATCGGATGCCAACGGATTTACTAAAAAGGTTTAAAACAAAGTTGTTCAAAACTTGATAAAGAAGAGAGTAGCCAAAAACAATTTCTAATTTATTATATATATATCATATTAATTTTAACAAAAAAATCTTGAATCTCTCTCAAGATGATAAGGTACATCCATTCAATTAAAATTTGTCTCCCACTTTACGTGCATCGTCGTGTTTAGAATTGGAGGAGTCAACGCCGGTCGTTTTACAAACCGAATTACAAGATTTTAGCTAGCACAATCCTTTGACAAAAAAATGAAAAAGCTTGCACAATCAATAAATTATAATGATGGTCTGGTCGCATTAATAACAGACTAGATAACTAGTGATTCATGTAAAATTATTATAATTAAAATTATTATTGTCCGGGATCCAAGATCCGTTTGGGTAAACGAAACATGTAATACAAAACTTTTAATTTAAATTTAGAACTATTTCATATAAGAATACGTTTTACCCGTGAAATATTTGAACCTGGAATAAAGCTTCAACGTGATAAAAAAAGTATTGACGAAATGTTACCAATTATGGCAATATACATTTTTGTATGTTTTTAAGATGTCAAGATTTTGTAGTATAACAGGAAAATTTCTTTTTTATTTATTTAAGTATAAGAAATCCAAAAAATTAACAAAGATGAGATTTGATAGTTTCCAAGTTAAGATTTTGTAGTATTCTAAATCTAAGATTCTTAGATTATGAATGGATTATTTACGAAATGGTTATAATGTGGCCATATTTTGGTTTATATATAAATGTGGTTATAATATTTTTCTTCGAAAAGTTAGAATCCCTCTAAAAAAATCGGATTTTAAGTATTCGTAACATATAGAGAAAAGAGATTATCTTATTGATTTAAGTTCAATAGATATAAACAATTTATGAAAGATGTAGAGATTTTGTAGTTTTGAATTCTGGATTCTTAAACCAAATGTATATATATTATCATTCAAATACAAACATAAATATAAATAAAATATAAATATAAATAAAAAGATTGTTGACCCATCGGCAAGAGAAGATTTATATAAATATATATAAAGGAAAATATAAATATAAAGATTTATTAATATAAGATAAACATAAAGTGCATGTTTTTTAGTTATTAAAAATAGATTATTAATATATGTAAGAAAAGCTCTCGTGATTTGTTGTTAAATGTCAATATGAAGATTAGTTGCCTAATTATTTGCTTTTTAATTATAATTTTGTTATATATGTATGTATTAAGACTAATGACAAAATATGTAAATAGTCTAGTAAAATTTGGGTAATAATTTAAATGGGTGCAAAATCATTATGAAAACGATATGTCAGCATGGTAGTTTAGTTAATAACACGTCAATGTAAGATTTATTTTTTAAAGTGTTTCTCTATTAATATATAAGGGATATATGAAGAATGTTAATTGCGTGATAAACAGTTTAGTGGAACAATATTAGGATTAGAAAAACAAGGACTTACCAAACTTCATGTCACGCTCACGCATGTTATCATTAGTGGGGACTTATTAGTGAACCACACATAATCACGACTACAAAAGATAATAGATTAATATAGTTCACTTTTTCATGTGTCACGATATTTTATCTACAATACTATACGTGGAAGATACAATCATACAAACCTGAATTTATTTCGAAAAACTCGGAATACTTTAACGACTGAGTTAGTACATGAAGTTCCTGTTACTTCTATATAGTTGCTTCATTCATACAATTATACAAATTGTCAGAAATATTCAAAATTTCGATTATTAATTTCCGGATAAAATGTCGGATCAAAGATGGTAGCAAAAACAATTCTTGGATATAAGATTGAAAACAATAAATAAAAACCGTCATGCACCAAACAAGGCATGCTTTAATTCTGACGCTTAAGCTCCACGGCTCATCAAAGAGACAATTATGTCGGCCCATATTATTCAACTCTTTCTTCTTTGTTAATCTATTTCAGTATTTGCTTACAAATGTAATCATTATAATCATTGCATAAATTTCCACATACACTATAGTCCTTGATCACATTAAAAGAATTAGGCTACACAAAGTGTGAATATATATATCCCGAATTATGATGTTTTTTTTTCATTTTCATTTCTTTCAATGTTTTGGGGGGTCCATCATCATCAATAAGTTGTTTTTTTGTCAATCCATAGTGTTCGTCAGCACAAAGACAAGCTCGAAAATGTATAGTTTCAACTGAAAATTATGAGTTACACATATTCAGTTCCAAATGATAAACCAGCCTTCTTACTAACAAACAGGCCCATAAACTCTTTAGTACAAGTGTAGAACTTAATAAAACACACAAAGAAAAAACAGTTTGGTCTTAAATTGTTTCAGATCCCAAACTCTTGTTCCTTGAGGAAAGCTCTGCAGTTTCTTCTTCATTATCAACATCAAAATACTCACTCTTCTCCATTGGCCTAAACATATAAAACATCAAACTATAAAACGCAAGAGTTGCAATTTCCTCAGATGCATTGCTCAGCCACTGATACCTAAAATCTGTTAGAGGTTAATTGAGTTTGGTCGCTTGCTTTATTTAATTATGTTTGTTTGTTAAGTTTATACATTAAGAGGTGTGTCTTGTCTTAAGGGTAGTTATGTTAAGAGTTAGAAGTGAAGAGTCACAACCCTTGTTATTAGTGTTGTTTGGTCGTGTCTTTTGAATACTATAAGAACACGTTGTCTTTGTTTGTAACACAAATTCAGATTCTCAATTAATAAAGTTTCAGTTTTCCCAACTCTGTTTCTGCCTCTCTCGTCAAGTCTCTCTGTTTATTTATCAAAGTCCTTTGATAATCCAACATGGTATCAGAGCTCTATTGATTCGAGGGCCAATTCGAGTACAAAGACAAGAAAAATTCAGAAAAGAAGTTCTATCAAAAATCTGAGATCATGGAAGCAACAACGCTTCAAGTGATTCCCATATTTGATGGGAATAATTATGCTTTCTGGCGGATTAAGATGAAGACCATCTTAAGAACACGGAAGTTGTGGGAAGTGGTGGAGACTGGTGTTCCAACTATGCCGACGCAAGGAGATCACAGTCCAGAAGCCGTTCAATTGAAAACCAAATGGGAGAATTCATCATCAAAAGATCTGATGGCGTTGCAACTGTTGCAAACTGCTGTCACGGATCAGATTTTTCCTCGGATAGCACCAGCAGCCACATCAAAGGATGCTTGGGATGCATTGGTGTCAGAATTTGAAGGATCTCCACAAGTACGATTGATCAACTTGCAATCGTTGAGAAGGGAGTATGAAAACTTGAAGATGGATGAAGAAGACAACATCAAAGTTTTCACAGAAAAGTTAATTGATTTGGGAAATCAATTAAGGGTGCATGGAGAAGAGAAGACGGACTACCAAATTGTCCAGAAGATTCTCATATCTCTTCCCGCAAGGTTTGACAGCATAGTGGCTGTGATGGAGCAAACGAAGGATCTAACTTCGTTGCCGGTAACAGAGTTGATAGGTACTTTAAAAGCGCATGAGAAACGCGTAAATATCAGAGAAGACCGATCAACGGAAGGAGCATTCTATGGAGAAAAGTTTGTTTCAAAAGGAAGAAACAAACGTGGCGACAATAGTCAAAATAAGGCCGAGAAATGGTGTGACTTTTGTACGTGTGACAATCACAATGAGAGTGATTGTTGGAGAAAGCAACACAGGGATGTTAGCTTGCCTACGGGTGTAAGGTGCTTTGCGTGTAAGAAGCTAGGGCACGTGGTGAAGAACTGCAAGGTTAGGAAGGCCGAGAGAGCGTACCTAAGTCTAGAAGAAACAGACGAAGAGAGTGACAATGAAGGTCACATGCTGTTCAGTGCAGTTGAAGTAGCATCATCATCAAACGTGAATGATGAGAGAGGGTTTGAAGACTCAACGTATCAAGGGTTGAAGAACTGAGAAGCAAGTGTGGTGTGAGACCGAAACTCAATTAAGGGGGAGTGTTAGAGGTTAATTGAGTTTGGTCGCTTGCTTTATTTAATTATGTTTGTTTGTTAAGTTTATACATTAAGAGGTGTGTCTTGTCTTAAGGGTAGTTATGTTAAGAGTTAGAAGTGAAGAGTCACAACCCTTGTTATTAGTGTTGTTTGGTCGTGTCTTTTGAATACTATAAGAACACGTTGTCTTTGTTTGTAACACAAATTCAGATTCTCAATTAATAAAGTTTCAGTTTTCCCAACTCTGTTTCTGCCTCTCTCGTCAAGTCTCTCTGTTTATTTATCAAAGTCCTTTGATAATCCAACAAAATCTGCTTTCATCTTCACAACAACCACAACGATCCTTGTGAAGAACAAATATCCAATGACCAAAACGTAGAATTTCCTAAAAACTGGTAACTTGGCTAAGTTCTTCACCGCTTTCCCATCGGTTTTCGATGTCTCTCGTAGACAACACATCGACCAAACCATTGCGAATACAATCACAAAACAGCAAGTTATATCAGCAAGCAAGAAGATCTGGTTCCAAATCACCCAATCTTGAGTGTACGGTCCAGTTTCTCCAATCACAATCGAAGCAATGTTAGCTAAAACCTGAAGCGGAACAACAATCATCAACAACTTCTTCTCCTTACCATGTCGCTTCAGTTTCAAGAAAGACCAACCGTTTCCGATTAGAACAATCACCGTGAAAAGCAAAACGACACTAATGAATTGGAAAATGTAGAAAACAATGTTCCAGCCATGAGCTGTGCCTGTGACTTTCACGTAATGTTTATACACAGCAGCACAAATCAGAGTCAGAGATTTCACTAGAAGCAGAACCGTCATTAAAAGGTGAATCCTTTTAGCAATTTGCTTATTGTTCCAGCAGAAACAGAACCAGAAACAGAGGAAACTCAAGTAACAGAGAGAGAAGACGAGATACAAACCAGGTAACTGGGTTGACCCGGCTAGTAAGTAATCTTTTGAGTTTGACCCGTTTGGATCTAGATTGTGATAAATCTCTGCTCGGACCTTCATCGAAACCCTAGTTTCCGGTACGCAATTAGCGAAGAACAGAGAGTAATCGCTAGGAGACGTTATCAGATAAGATTTATTGAACTGAGAGCGAGGAGGAGGAGAGAGATCGATGAAGGTGAAGAAATGGAGTATGTAGTGTGAATCAAGAACGCAGAAGCTAAAGTTTTGCTGGAGCTCGAGGAGTACCTCAGGAAGAGATTCTTCTGATAGAACAAGGAACCCTAATTTCGACGAGTCTGGAACCGGAGAAGAAGAAGGAGACGATACTGAAACAGAGGAAACAGAGACGGTTACATGACCAATCTCAATAATACCGAATTTCTCCAAGAGAATTATTGGCCGAGAATCGTTGGAGATAGTCAGAGACTTAATCTCCGCCACCGTGAGACTAGAGAAGAACTGAAGGACGACGACGGCAGCGAAAAAGGGTAATATCGTCATTTTCAACGCCGGAGAAAGTTCAAGAGACAGTATTTCTCTACTCGTGCCTTGCTTGTTTTCTTTGTAGGGGAATCGTCGTTTTTGTGGACTCTAGTCATAGTCAACATTGATGATTCTAATCTTGAAAATTTGTAAAGACAAAAAATTGCAAAGTATAATGTCAAAGCTTATACAGATGATTTATACTATTTTCCATTTGTTACATATACAGAATCTATGAACACAAGAGATATCTCTTTTATTTCTGAATACAAAAATCTCTCTGTTCTTTAATGATATCTAAGTGCTCTGTTTTCACTTCAATCAAACCGCATAAAGTTTCCGGTTATGCTTGGAATCAGCTAACTCAGGATCTGACATCATTGACGCTGGAGATGATTTAGAGCCTTCAATTCGGTTAGCAATCACCCAATAACACATAGTACCAAGTGTTGAAACCATGATCAAAGCTCCAATGGCGGTTACACCAACCGCCAAAGGCATCTCTTTTTTTCCAACAACAACAAAAGACAGCGATACGAACGCTACTGAGATCATAATGCAAGCCATCCACATGAGTTTGTTGATTATAGCCATCATTTGCTTCTTTGCTCTCCTCTCTATAACTACCACTGATGTCTGAACCACAACCACGGCTAAAGAGATGAAAAGCGCGAAAGAATCAAACACGACGAAAATCAAGAACTCTGGTCTTGGAGCTGCTCTCGCTTCTCCGAGTGAATATCCTGGAGGAACTTGTTTCGGGTCATCCGTGTACTGGCCTGGAACGTTGAAAATCGCTGCGAAAGCAACGGTTGCTATGAGAATGGCAACTAGGGTAGTGGAGTTTATCGCGTTGTTGAGTCCTTCCGTGTGCATTTTGTTGACCCGTTTAGCGATTCCTTGGATCTCTCTTCTTGTTCTCCCGGTTTGTTCAAGCTGAGTATGCACCTCGTGGCCTATTTCGCTAACGGTTTCTTTCAATTTCTTTGAAGAGCCTGATGGTTTCACTTTTTCAGCTGGCTTGATGGATCTTGCGTTCTGCATACCGATCTTTTGCAGAAGCGGTACAATATCGTGCAGTCCAGTTTTCTCAGCGATATCAAGAGCTGTTTCTCCTGATTTATTAACCGCCACTCTACTGACTTCACAATACTTTAAAACTGTCTGAACAATCTGCAGAGAAGATAAGAAAGATTCTAACTTTAAACCAACACAATAAACTTTAAAAGATTGCAACCTGCAAGAAAACACAAGAAAAATTTGAAGTATGAAACAATAATAACTTAAAGATTGCAATCTCAAGTCAACAATCAATCAATTACCTCTACTCTGTTTTTTTGGACTGCGATATGCAAAGGAGTGTTTCCTTTATTATCCGCGGCATTGATCAACGAAGAATCCGCCTTCATCAACACATCCACAATCTCAGTGTTTTGTCCTTTAACCGCCATATGAAGCGCGGTTTGACCTTTCTTATCTACTCTTGTAACCATTCCAGCCTTCTTTTCAATCAACTCCTTCACAATCACCGTATGCCCATTCCTAGCCGCAGAGTGCAAAGCGGTCTTACCGTTGCTTCGCGCAATAGCAGCTAAGTCCACACCTTTATCCAACAAGAAACAAACAATCTCTCCATGGCCCTGTGAAGCCGCCGTGTGAAATGCCGTCGTTTTGGATGAATCAAATGTAAATGAGAGTTCTGGATTTGCCTCTATTAACACATCAAGAACCTCTACAACAAAAGCAAAATACAAATTCACATAAACATTTTCCTCTTTTGCTAGTCCATGATCTATAGGGATTTATGTGAATCTTTGTCAAGGAGCACACCAATAGCAATTTTCACATAATTAGAGAATGAAAGTGGATTATGTACTAGCAGATAATTAGCAATTTGCACACACAATTAGACTTAAAAGTGGATTTGATCTTCACCATAAATATGCAAAAAGGCTAATTCTTGAGCACAATGACTTTTGAGAACCAAGTCAACTCACGTAGATTCCCGTTTTTGGCGGCGATGTGAAAGGCATCGAAGCCGTTCTTGGCTTTGGTTCCGGCTAACACAGAGTCGGAGTGTTTCATCAGAATCCTAACCATGTCGGTGTGACCGGACTCCGCCGCAAGGTATAAAGCCGTTTCACCAGACTGGTTTTGCTCCGCCAACAACTCTTTAAGCTCCACGCCGTCGTGGTCTCCTATCATCTCCAAAAGAAGCTCCGTTTTGCCTTCTCTAACCGCCGTGTGTAACGGCGTGTCGTCACGTCTCGCCGTCATCTGCTTCGTCATCGTCTTCTTGATCTCTTTCATGATGATGATGATTCTGTTTAAAGAATCTTTGGAATTAAAAGATATTTGGTGGAAATTTAGATCGAGTTAGGGAGGTCTACATGAGTAGATTTGAGGAAGAAATTCGACAAGAGTAACATGAATTCTCTGGACAAGAAACAACAAAAAATATTATTACCTCGTGGTTTTGGCTTCTTGTGTTGTATGTTATTAATAGACATTATCTTAAATCATATCTTAATTATCTTATTACAAAACAAAATCAAACCTTAATGTCCACTCGAAGCATTATTTTGTGTTTTTTCTATTTCAAAACAAAATATCGTATTTAGGTCAACAAACAATAAAGGAGTATATTTGATTAATTAGAATTTATCATATGAATATCAGAACATTTTATCATAAGTCATATAACCAACAGAATCAACTTTAAATGTTCTCCGTGCCACTACTAATTCCACTAAATGAAATATTGGCGATGGAAAATGACATATGAAGAAAATAACAAATGAGCCTCCATTATTGGTGTTATCTGTGTGAACGTGGAAAAATATCCGACGATAATGATACCAATTACCAAACATTATGGAAATTTAACTCTTCAATTTCGGTTAAAACATGGAAAAGTGTTTTTTATTCATATTGTAAAATACTTTCCTCAATTCACAGCCAAAAAAGTGTAACAAATCCAACCAACCATGGAAAATAACTGCTCCAAAGTGAAAAAATGAAAAATAGATTTCACCACATTCACAAGCTCCTAATATGAAAAAGCTTCTAATAAGTTTTGAGACTCTCTGCCACGTCCTCACCGCATAGCGCAGTGGATTAGCGCGTTTGACTTCGGATCAAAATGTCGTGGGTTCGACACCCGCTGTGGTCGTTATTTAAGAACCTTAATTATACCTTCTTCCAGTTTTTTTCGTTGTGTAATGTTACGATTTTTTCATCATTTGCAACTGTCTCTTTTCCTGAATAAAGTTCAAAGATGACGCAAAGTTACGAAATACCAACTTTACAAATGCCAAATTGGATATCAAATTTTCGAAGATTCAAGATTTCGAAAGGACAGTTTACTAACTTATTACCGACCATATGATTTGATTTCATAGAATCTCGGTTTCTAATATGATACTACTACATCTGAGCATTTCTCTGTCTAAATAAACCATGTTCATTAACAATCCTTCAAATTAAATATTAACCCAACCAGACTTGATTTCATTCCATCTTAATCCTAAATTTTACCCAAGAGAAAACACAAAACCCAGAACTGGGTTCAATATATATATAAAATAATGGTTTGATAACAAAACTTCAGCAAAACTAAAATAGAAGGTTGGACAAAAAGAGAGGAGAATACATAAGCCGATGATAATCAAAAGCTGAATCATTTCTAGAAGCTAAAGGTGGTGAATGAAACTACACTTTGATAGCATACTTCCTCACTGGGAAATACATCTCCTTCTTCTTCTCACGCTCTGTCTTCAACGAAGCCTGTTACCACAAACAACCCATATACCAAAGTTACGATTACTATCCAACTGAAAAGAACATTATAAGATTCATCTACCAAGTGATAACTATGAAATTGGAAATGGTAATGCGGGTAAAGACCTGATGCTTGGTGAGACGTCTACGGATAGCACGTGTTTTCTTGGGACGGAGATCAAGAGGCAAGAACTTCTTGTTCTTGTATGCCTCTCTTAAAGCATATTTCTGCTTCTGGGAGATCACTGTCAACACCTGAGCAATGGATTTCCTCACAACCTTGCTGGATATCGAAAACACGCAACACTCAATCAATGACTTGCCAACCAAAATTCTAATAAAGAACACATACAAGTCCCGAATTCGATCGATTTACGAAACCAGTTCTAATCATAAGCATTGAGATATATATATATAAGCTTAATGCATATCTACACTACCCGTTGTATAACAGAAACAGACGTACATTTTAGAGAGCTTGTTAGGAGCACCTCCGGTGACTTTAGCGACACGGAGGAGAGCGAGCTCAGCCTTGAATTCCTTCAACTGATTCTGAAGATCAGTCTTTGATTTATCTCTAAGCTCATGAACCTTAATCCTCGCTAGACGACAAAATCAAACCAATATCATAACCCAATCAGAATCATGAAATTGAAAATCAAAAGAAACGAATACGAGCTAGATCAAGGATATTAAGGATCTGTTCTTCGTCATACCCATCGTGAGTGTTGAGAACTGATGTGCCGCTACTTGCTCGTTTCTGGCTCCAAACCCTAATTTTGATGAAGAAGATAATTTATACGATACCTTTGTGAAATAATCAATTGAGTTAGAAAACCCTCGAGATTCTTTTGGTAATTATAATGGGCCGTGTAATGGCCCAACAGTTATTTCATGAAACATGGGCTTTATTAATGGGTCGGAAGACGAAAAGAGAAAAAGGTGTGAATAGTGAAAGCAAAAGGAATAAATTCGTCAATAAAACCCAAAAGCATCAGATTCTGTTATTTTTTTTGAGTTTGGTGTTGTTTGTGAGAATTAGATTCGGAACTATCTTAAGATTTAAGGGTTGGCAAAAAGAATTGGCCTTCTATTTTCTTATCTTTAACCATTTTTTTCCCTTCCTTATGTTGTACAAAATTCAGAACATTTGACTCTATACATTTTTCTTATCGGAAACAAAAACATTAAACCAAAAATAAAAGAGTTGAAATATGCTTTTCTAACAAAATTATTTATTTTTTGCTATATATTTAAAACAGAGTTTAAAACCATACTGTATTTATTTGTAGATGGTCTACCTCACACACATTGGTTTGATAAGAATACGAATAAACTTACTTTTTATAAAGTCGATCCCATCAACCAAAAAAAATATCTTTAACAGGAACCTAAAAATATATACATTTTTTTAAGATTAATTTATATGTTACTACAGAAACCTCTCCACATTTTTATTGCAAAGACTATAGACATAAGCAAAAGAGATACAAAACATGTTGTGTGCTTCTCAAGCATCAACAACGACCCTTTGCTCAACCATGGACCAAACCTCACAACCTTCATCTTCCTCTTCATCCGCAATCCGGCTTGGTGGTCGAGCCATCGATCGTCATAACCCAATCATACGTGACGGACGGAGACTGACTCCTCCACCTTCTCCAAGCCTTAATCCATCTTCTTCGTCTTCTTCTACTTATCATACTCCTCTTATGACTAGATTAGGTCTTGAGAGTAGTGAGCAAAAACGTGTAGCGAAGAGGAAGAGCAAGAAAAGTGACAGTGACGTTGGTAAGTCACCGGTTATTTGTTTTAGCAGTGACACTCCTCAGGGTTCTTCAAGGTACTTATTGAGTAACCCGGTTTTCTTTGACGGGTTTGTGGATTCCGAACCGATTCCACTACCTATTGATGAACCGGGGATAACCAAAGCTGATGATTTGGATAATCTTCATGAAGAGCAACTGATTATAAACGCCTCAAAGTATCTATCAACTTCGGCGTCTTTCTTGGAGAAGAAGCAACCCGATTTCTTCGAGGGGTTCTTGGATTATGAACCGGTTCTGTCTCCGGATAATCCTTTCTCTGAACCCACAAAAGCTTCTCCTACAGCATCTCTGAGCTCTCTTGAAGATAAAGACGTTACATCCCCGGATTTCAAATTCTCTCCTCCTCCTCCACCACCTCCTTCTCCTCCTCCGTCTTCGCCGCCACCATCACCAGTGAAAAACTCGTCTTCCGATCAAGTAAGTTATCGAAGAAAACCATAATATTTAATCATGACTTAATGTTTTGAGGTCAAACTTAACAATCTTTCCTTCGTTACTTAAAAAGGTGGTTGTTTTGAGAGTGTCACTTCATTGCAAAGGCTGTGCAGGGAAAGTTAAGAAACATCTATCGAAATTGAAAGGTAACACTAACTACGAAAGTATTTATTTTCATGAATTTATATTCTTGATATACTTTCTGTAAATTAGAGATCATAATCTTGATTTGTAAAAAATACTCTGTTTTTGATCATTGTTGAATGCAGGAGTGACGTCGTATAACATAGACTTCGCAGCAAAGAAGGTTACCGTGACGGGAGACGTGACGCCGTTAACTGTGTTGGCGAGTATTTCCAAAGTTAAAAACGCACAGTTTTGGCCTGAGATTATTCAGAAGTAGTTCCTTTTTTTTTTCTCTGTTTTCTTCTATGTTCTTATCTTTACTTTGGAAGACAAAACTTGTGAAAATGTTACTTTCCTTTGTGCGTTTATTTGTGTTGGTTATGGCATGGGAATTTTTAAAAATTCTTAAGAAATTAGTATTGAGAAATGTTTCTATTGCTATTCAATGCATATGGATTTACACCATACCAAATATGTTTTTTTAATCCAAAAATATATTGTTATTCAATGCATATGGATTCACACCAAAAATATATTGTTATTCAATCCATATAGATTTACATCAAAGATTTATTTACACCAAAAATCTAATCTTATTCAATCCATATAGATGTACATCAAAGATTAAAATTTTATTTATTTATCTGTCCTCAAAAAAGGGGAAAAAATCAAAAGTTTGTTAATTATAGTATCTTGCATATCTTTATTCTTTGATGACAAGACAAATTTGTATCATGCATATCTAAAAATATATTCAAATGGATAAAATAAACCAATATATTACTTACAACAACAAAGAAAAAAACAAATTCCCTGCATCGTGGTTAAAAATTTGAATAGCTTTTATGGCATAAATTGGAACGTGTCTCCTCTGCTTGGTTCCTATGGCGAAATTGGAACGTTTTGGTGGAATTGGATCATTTCTAATTTTCTAGTCAACACAGCTTTTATGAACAAGAAAAATATAGAATCAAATTACGAAATAATTTTGTTCTACTACTAGAGAAAAATATTTATTGACAAGATAAAGATATCCAAAAGCTTATATAAACCCTCCAAACCATCTCAACTTGTGTAAGTGTATACAACAAAGTAATATTGTTATGGCAAAATCAACTTTTGTTCTTGTGGTAATTTCTTTTGGTCTCCTCTTCGCTTGTGTCATTGGAAACACTGAGAAGAACCTTCATCGTGAGACAAACAGTTTGCTCTGGTCTAGACCATCGGCTAGAGGACTGGATGATTCACCACCACAAGGTCCACATAAACCAACCATGTTCGGCTTAAAACCATGGTCACCATCACAACGCGTGGTTTTCAGAATGTTACCAAAAAACGTTCCGATCCCGCCATCCGGACCGAGCCGTAAAGAAACTCCTCCATCGCCTCCTAGATCCGTGTGATAATCGTTTCGTCTTGCATATCTAATAAGGATCGCTTATTTAAAATTCAATTCTACATGTTGTGAAATTTGGTATTGGAATCTGATGGAAAGCTTGTAAAATAGTAGTAGAACAATTTCGCAAGATTAGTAGTGATCAAAAATAAAAGTCCAAACACAAACACAAGATTTCTAAGCATATTCAAACAAAACTCAAAAACTCAAATTTTCACGTATTCTTAGCTCAAAGCTTGTTAGTATTGAGGACATTAGCATCAAAATAGTCTTTATAAGGATGATTCTCAGGAACCAATCTTCTAAACTCTTCAAATTGCTTCTCTGCTTCATCTTTCTTCTTCATCAATGTATATATCAAACCTTGACATAGATATGGTCTAAAATCTTTAGGCTCATCTTTCACCAGTTCTTGATAAACCCTAAGTGCTTCAATTGGATTACCTTTTATAACCCTAATCTGTGCAATCAACAACATGAAATCTCTGAAATCTTTCTTCTTGTTCTCCTTCTTGCATTTCTCTATCGCTTCGTTGATTCTACTCTCGATCTCTGATAACTTGGATTCGGATTCAGAGTAAGCCATTACTAATCCGTGATAAGCTTCGACACGAAACGGATCTTTAGCTAGAATCTCTTCGAATCCTTTCGTTGCTGATTCGAAATCGCCGCCGTAAGTTTGTACCTGAGCTTTTAAGATCCGCCATTCTTGTTCTCCGGGTTCGATTTCGATCAAACGGTTTAGAATCTCTAAAGCGTGGTCGAGGTTTTTGGTTTGGAATTTGATTTTCATTAGGGACTGAAGAGCTTCAACGTCGTTTGGATTGTTAGTGAGATGCTTCTCCAGCGCTGCTTCTTCTTCTTCTTCCTTTTGACGCGACGAGATTTGATCAGTGAGATCCGCCGTCGTGGATGGTGGAGGAGGAGGTGAGACGAGAGTTGCTGCGGTGGCGGGTTTGGTGGCGAGGTGGAGGGAAGCGGAGAATAAAGCGGCGGCTGTTGTTAGGGTTACGCAGGTGGTTTTGAAGAAAGATGGTTTAGGGTTTGATGATGATGATGATGATGAAGACGAAGAAGCTCTGAAGGCGCGAGATGGAGGAGGTTTTTGTAAGATTCGGTGTGAAACAGGCTTAGGCTGGGGTTTACGGTGAGTATCGAGTCGGAGGTGAAGTGTTTGGTCACAGTAGTGAAACTTGGTAAGAGACGCCATTGTTGAGAGAAAAAAAAAAAAAAAAAACCCTAACGCCGGCGATGAGATTTGAGATAGAAGAAGAAGAAGATACTTTGCAAATTGTAATTTTACAGAATCAAAACGTCGTCGTCTGGTATCTATTCGGGCTTAGAGGTTGTTTTGTAAGCTTAATGGGCTGGGCTCTTTGTATAATTTATCGCACAATTTATATTCAATAGTTGAAAAAGAAAACTCTTTAGAATTAAATAAAAGTTAACATCTTCCAGATGTTTCGGTTCGCTTTCTGGATCAGGTTTTAAAAACATTCGGTTAAATCCTAGTGCTAAATTAAAATGCAAATATCAAAACAAAAGAAATGCAGATGTTAGATGATTGTATTTGTTTTTGTACCTCATTTGATATTCATGAGTGATGCAATGTTCTACGTACATTTGTTGTGCTTACCAAATCTCGTGCTAGACACTTGAAAATATATGTTTCCTACTTATTTCGATATTTGACTATTTTAACCAATTAGTTTCGATTCTAAAACTCTTAATTGTCGCGACGTCTAAAAAGTTATTCCTCCTTGTGAATTACGAATTTACGATATCAGCATTTCTCAAATACAAAAGAAAATTCATTATTGATAAAACTAAAATACAAAACCCTTCCATCATTTGTTTTGTTGATTTGTTCATTGAAACTCTTCTTCGTCTTATACTCGTAAACTTGTGGCTACAAAATTTTGATTCCCTCTACACTAGTGAATACACTCTGATTGACCAAATTGAGATGTTAACGTTCTAAGACGTATATGCGAAGGTTACGCAAATAAACTAGACCGTCGAAACTCTTTTTTTTTTTTCCGTATAACAAACAAAAAATAATGTAATTGAAACGGAATGCCAAAGAGCTTGGAACTACATGCATGACACGACGTTTTCATTGGTATTTCCAGAGTACGTTGTCGTTTAGGCATTTCGTTTTCTTGTTTGCTATTTTTCATTCGTGTTGTTGATATTTATCTTCTTCTCTCTCTCTCTCTTTTTTTTTTTAACCTTATTGTTCGTTTTGCAACTTTGGGAATAAAAGAAACCACCAAATTCGAATCTTATATATTTTGAAGAAACAAGATTGATTGATTGACTTTCACATTTAAGTACTTTTGTCCTTGAATTTTGGCAAGCGGTATCAAAAACTTTTTGGCACTCCTTTAATTATTCCAAAGGTGTCTTGCAAAGCAGTTGTCCGAAATCAACAAATTGAACTAGAAATTCACAAAGTGGTTTCTGGATTCACTTTTAGTTAGAATTTTTATCTGTAAAATATAAAACAAGGTCTGGGCATAATACCCGAACCCGAAGAACCGAACCGAACCCGACCCGAAATATCCGAACCCGTTCTACTTCGGTTCCGCTTAATTACCCGATCGGGTTCTGTTTTCAAATAACTGTAGGTATCGGGTATTACCCGAACATATATACACATATGAGGACATATATGCACTAATAACTTGAATTTGTGACTTGTTTAATGATTTAAGTTATGAAAAAAAACTCAAAACAAGGTTTACTTCTTGTTTTATATTATTGTCATAAGGAACAACTTGTTATAATTTCAGATTTTTCGGGTTTTATGGGTATGTTTGGATATATTTGGACAAAGTTTGGGTAAGTAATACTCAAACCCAAAATAATTTTGGTTATTTATGGGTTCTTTAACCAATACCCGAATTACTCGGACCCGAAGTAAACCCGAACCGAACCCGACCCAAAATTGTACATATAACCTAACGGGTCCAAAATTTCTAAATCCGAAAAACCCGAACCCGAAAAACCCGACCCGAACCCGACCCGAATACCACATGTCCAGGCCTATATAAAACTAAGTAAAAGTTTGATTATGATAGAATTAATTAAATTCTAGTAAAAGTCATAACTATTAATCATGCATTCTAGTCAATGGTTTTTAATACTTTTTAAGTTTTAAGAGTACAAGATCATCTTTAAGACTCTAACTAAGAATTAAATAACCACTATATACATCCTATAAACAAATGGACCAGTCAGGTCGGTCCAATCAAGAACCGAAAATGAGGTACTAAAGAAGAAGAGTGTCTTCACCAAACAGACCAAACACCAAACTTTGGCTTCAATACTGACCAAAAAAATCGAAAGAGATAAGAAAACAAAAATAGCCACCAGAGTTTAGGGGTCATCACCAAATCATAACACGCAATCCTATGTAGTGACCCAACATTCCCACGTGCTTCCACGTGCCTTCCACGTGGCGTCTTCACCATTCGATCTCTGTCCTGCAATTTCTGTTTTCCAGCATTTTTTTTTTATTAAACACGAGTCAAACTGATTAACAATGAGGTACGACAAAATTAAAGATGTTATCGCAAATGATCTACCGCTAATCTTAATGACCATTAATTGTTGATGAATTATATACATTTTAATATTTTACGTGTTTAAGATTCTAAGGGTTTTAACTATATGAATGTCATGTACTCTGTATGTATACAGAGAGATATAGAGAACCAAGTTCGAACTTAATTATATGTTTTAATTTGTTTATCCCTATTTTCTAATTTGGATACTAAAGTTAGCTTCTAAAGACAAATTATATTAATCATTTTTGGCTACATTTCAGACTTTCATTTAAAGAGCAAAATTTAAAAAGACAACAGAAATATTTATTCAGTTATATGAGTTAAGAGTTATGAATACATAAAACCATAAACGCAAAGACAAGTATATTATGTTCCACTAATATTTTTTAGACATTAAAAATGGTTAAGATCTAATTGGTAATACGCAAATAAATCATACCGTAAAGAAAAGAGGTGCAAAAAGATTTTAAATTAAGCTGAAAACGAAAAGATTTTCTCAAAGGTGAATTATTCATTTCCTAATGAAGGTTATAATACATATTGTCTAATTAAAGAGTATATATAGAATCGGATCATACATATACACACTCACACATGCCTATAATAATATAGATGAGTGTATGTATATGTAAGTAAAAGTAGGTGTCATGATCTTAGATTGTAGTTCGTGAAAGCAAATCTCGGATTCTTCGAGCTGTCTCTTTCTCGGTCGGTATTTCTTCTCGTCTTCTCTCGTATGCCTCGAAGAACTCTTTGTTCTCTTTCTCTAGCTCCTTCCACACTGCAAAATTAATCAATTCTTCAATCCTTATCTTACATATATACTATTATACCTTATATATATGTATATCTATAATATGTGTACCTGTGGAAGTGACGATGGGCTTGATATTAGCATGCTTGAACAGAGCATCCATACACTCTTCTTTGCCCATGTTGAATACTATACATTCTTCTATCAAATGATGCACCTGCAGCCAATATATACACATGATGATGACAGGAACAACATCAGTTAAGTGACAAAAATATCGATCAAGATCAGAGATTGATTTGACAAGAAACACAACAAAAAAGAAAAAAAATTGATTGAATCGTGTACCAAATGGATGTAAGATGCTTGTGAGCTATTATGATCACCCATATGAAAATGATTAAAGAGTATCGAGAGAAATTAGAGAGAGATGATGATGGATGGGAGAAGAGAGGCAGGTGAAAATATATATAAAACGCTACACCGAAAAATAAAAGGAGTATTAAAATATTAATAAGAAAAAAAATATCTTAGAAGAAAAACAAGGAAATTATATTTTCATTGAATTATATGTAGATACACTATAGTCACGGAATGACCTAAAATGGACAGGGTTTGTTTTATTTGTGTAGTTGATTACAGAATAATTCAAAAAATCGAATCAATTTGCGAATGTTACTTTTTGCTGAGACTGATGTCGGTAGTAGTGGACAGGGTCACGGGCTCATCGGACAGAATGTCATGGAGTGAGTGCTCAGATAGGATGTTTACGGTGAGGTCAGCTTACCAAATGTTAACACGAGATGAGGAAGAGGGACCCGATATGGAGAAGTTTTTTACAAGAGTGTGGAGACTCTTGGTACCGGAACGAGTTCGGGTGTTCCTTTGGTTAGTGACACATCAAGTCCTAATGACGAATGTAGAGAGAAGAAGACGTCACTTATCTGATTCGAGTTTGTGTCAAGTTTGTAAGAGTGGTGAGGAGACAATACTTCATATTCTCCGGGATTGTCCGGCTATGGAAGGGATATGGAGGCGCTTGGTACCGCGGGGGAGACTACAATCTTTCTTTGCAAAATCTCTACTAGAGTGGTTACACCACAATATGGGAGATGAGAGAGTGATTGGTGGTAATCCGTGGGCTACGGTGTTTGGTTTGGCTACATGGTGGGGTTGGAAGTGGCGATGCAGTAATGTTTTCGGAGCGAATGGAAAGTGCAGGGATCGAGTGCGGTTCATAAAAGAGTTGGCAACCGAAGTGTCTCAAGCGTTTTCGGTGGTGAGAGGAGCGCCGACTGGTGTGGCAAGGGTGGAGAGGCAGATAGCTTGGTCACCACCAAGTGAGGGATGGATCAAGCTAAATACGGATGGTGCTTCACGCGGTAATCCGGGTCTAGCATCGGCTGGAGGGGTGTTGAGGGATGGCTCCGGTGTTTGGCGGGGAGGGTTCGCGTTGAATATCGGCATTTGTTCGGCTCCACTAGCGGAATTATGGGGTGTGTATTATGGTTTGTATATAGCTTGGGAGCAAGGCATCACGCGACTAGAGCTAGAAGTGGACTCCGAGATTGTGGTAGGGTTTCTTCAGACAGGGATAAGTGACACGCACCCTCTGTCGTTCCTGGTACGATTGTGCCATGGCTTCATATCAAGGGACTGGATAGTCCGTATTGCTCACGTGTATAGGGAGGCTAACCGTCTTGCGGATGGGTTAGCTAACTATGCGTTTATATTACCTTTAGGTTTTCATTTGTTTCCGACTCGGGTTGACGAGTTGAGTTTAATTCTGTTAGAGGATGCTAATGGGACTGCGCGCCCAAGACGTGTTCGTGTTTAGTTTTCTTTTTCTTTCGTTTTAATAAATGGTGGGAGGCATTGTTTCCCGCTCGCCTACCAAAAAAAAAAAAAATGTTACTTTTTGCTTTTTGTTAAAATTGACATTGTTTCTGTATTCAAAGGAACCGCCTAATTGTGCTAATCCCTTGAGAGTTGATATTTAGAAGAAGAGAAAAGGGAAAACTAAATTGAAGTGCAGATATGTTTTTATTTTTTTTAGAAAAAACAAGTAATATATTAAACCAATATGATAAATTTATAAATATTTTAAATTAAAATATGTTATCCTTAATCTAAACGGCGTGCTGCTGGTATCAGTTTTGCTGACTTGTAACATTGGGCTCGTGATAGGGCCCATAATCCCACGTGGGCATATGCTTATGATTGGCTGAGAGGAGATTGCAATAGATTTTACGAAACGGAAACGCATCCTTCGACTGCTTACGTGGCGATTGGCCCGTTTACCACGTGAAGTAGGACCCACCTACATAGTTAAAATCTGTATAGTAACGGTATGAGTCATACCGTATGACCCATAAATAATCATTATCGTTTAGCATCTCTTAATACAGTAATGCTAACTTTTGAATATTTAATCAATTTATTTGTATATTGCCTTGTATGCCATTGCCACCTAATCCCACCTACCAAGAATTGACCTGTATATGCTGTAATAGTTTTATTTACAAAATAAATATTGACAATAATGTCAAAAACTCAAAATAAATAAAACATTTGTGACAGTTTATCTACAAGAGTAAGTAACAACTAACAACTGTGATTTTATATACTCCTTCTGTTTCAGTTTAATTGTCGTTTTAGAATTTAAATTTTATTTCATAATAGTTATCGTTTTAAGTTTTCAATGCAAATATTTGGTAAAAATTCTAGTTTTATCCATACTATTTTAATGTTTTAGCCAATGAAATTTTTTGTAAAATATATTAATAAAGAGTAAAACAGAAAATTAAATGTTTTTCTTAATTTGTGTGAAAAAACCTTAAACGACAACTAAAACGAAACGGAGAGAGTACCATATTAATCGCAGTAACTACATGATTGTAATAACCATCCCCATTTCAAAACGTTTAGGTTGGTTTGTTGTGCTCATGTTTTACGAAAACGCAAGCAAGCAATGAATTCATGGCCTGATTTTTTAATAATTACACAATAGATTCACTTAAACCGCAATGAATTAATAAACATTACATATCTTTTCCAGTGGTGTTGGGCTAGATAGCCTAGATTTAATAATGTATTATCATCAATGATTTCGAGATTATAATAACATTATCAAAATCAAAAGCCACCCTTAACTTTTCCAAACAATAATTAAGTGAGGACACATGCATGGGAGATGGAGCACTTATGCATATGAGTGAGTATGGGTATGTCGAATATTTCAGCCCTATGGTAATGTAACCAAAGCAGGTCTTAAGAGGTTTTCTACTTTTTTCGACTGAATATTTATGTATCAAATAATTGCAGTATTAGGCTATTCGTATACATATGAATGCATATTGTTGTGTATAATTTTGTACATTTTCATCTAACAGCTAAGTCTGGAATTCCTTTGAAAATATAGCCGTAGAAATAGTAATTAAAATTAAAATAAAGCTTAAAACTATACAAACTTTAGTGTCATGTTTTTAAATGATTATCCAACATTCAATTCAGATCAATATTTCTAGCTAAAATATTTAAAGTCTCTAAATGCAATCAATATTGTAGCATTTAGAATCATTATTTATGAAAAAACGAAATAAATCAGTATTTAAAATTGGAATAAAAATATATTGCTAGATACAAGTGATTGTGCATTATTTCGGATGTAACTGCCATCTCAAACTCGCGTTGAAAATATATTATAATTACGGTTATGCAGACAGTTGCATCAATGAGATTCGTGCTACTTAAATGATATGCAAATTATATTATGTCCACTCATTTAATATACCTTATCTAGCGTTAAACGCTTAATGGCATCCATGCCAAATGGAAGAGAGAAAAAACTCTTTCGAACGACGTTTAAACAGAAAACCCGTCATACAAAGATTATGCTCGAATAGTTTATCCACGTAGCGTGAATCGAATCGCAAATATCTAAAAATGATTTCTTTCTCGAAACCTGTTGTTCCATTCTAGCAATATATACCCTACTGTTCTTTGCATTAGTACATAACCAATCAGAATAAGTAAATCAAAACCAGCCAATATGTGTTCAACAACATTTAACATTTTGATATACTTTGTAAGGTAGGAATGAGTTCGATGTACTTTGGTCTTTGGAGTTTCCCCACATCCTTGGGAAGGCTTTGGTTGGATTCCCGAACACTTTTAGGGACCACCAAGTTTGGTAACTGTATATGTCGAAAGAAGTGTTTCTTGGAAACACATTAGCTGGTACAAAGTTTACATCATCAAAAGTTCATAAAATCACTTATACTATAGTGTCAAGTATATATTATACTTCTTACGAACTCATCCATCAGCTGGTACCACTTTCACCATATCTTTTGCATGTGAATAAAGTTCTCTAAGTTTAAAATATTTGATTTAGAGAAGATATCTTCTCTCAAATGCAATTTTGGTTAACGTAAAGATATAGTACTGATCCTCTATTTTTATATTATTATTATTTTGACACATTGGTGTTCATGCAGATATAAAATACCTCACTGAAATTTATTTGCTAAGTGATCATAGGATTTGATTGGTAATCTTGTCAAACATAATATTCAAACGGCTACTAGCTAGTAGAAATCCCTAAAAAAGGAGAATCACAAAAGAAAACTTTTTATCTGACCACAAAAAAAAAGTGAATAATAAATAATAGGAAAAGAAGACTACTGGAATTTCGGAAAATGTGAAATATTATTTGATTTTCAAATGTTCCAAACGCACAAATTAATTAAACTCCGAAAAACAAATTCACGTGGCGACTTTCTCAACGGGCCTAAACTATTTTCACATATAAATATATTAGTCAAGGCCCAATAAAGCCCACATAAACCGCCGACTCCAGCGCTAACCGTTGATTAGTATGACACAATTCCTCATCTTAAAAAGACACGTCAGCGATCCATGCCATATTTCAGGATCCAATTATATATCATTCAACGAAACGTATAAATTCAAAACCGAAACCCTCAAAAATCATCATCATCATCATCATCTTTCATTGCCCAGAGAAGTATCAATCACAATCGATCAATCTCCGATTAATGGCACCGAAGGCAGAGAAGAAACCGGCGGAGAAAGCACCAGCACCAAAGGCGGAGAAGAAGATCGCGAAAGAAGGAGGAACGAGCGAGAGTATAAAGAAGAAGAAGAAGACGAAGAAGAGCACGGAGACGTACAAGATCTACATTTTCAAGGTATTGAAACAGGTTCATCCAGATATTGGAATCTCTGGTAAAGCAATGGGAATCATGAACAGTTTCATCAACGACATCTTCGAGAAACTCGCTCAGGAATCGTCTCGTCTCGCTCGGTACAATAAGAAACCGACGATCACGTCTCGTGAAATCCAAACCGCTGTGAGACTTGTTTTGCCTGGTGAATTGGCTAAGCATGCTGTCTCTGAAGGAACCAAAGCCGTCACCAAATTCACAAGCTCTTAAAGATTAGATCTAATTTTATTTATCGAAATTATAGATTATTGTTCTGTCTTTTGATCAAATCTTCGATCTTTTATGATGATACCTGAATAATAATCCATTGTTCATATGAATTCTTTTTCGATTAAAGCTTCGATTTTTCTGATTCTGTAGACCTATTTCATTGCTATTCGTAAGATTGATATAAGATTAGAATCTATATGAAACGTTGCATTTCTTATTTCTGAACATGACACATTGTTTACAAGTTAGAGATGTTATGTTCTGTCTTTACTGAGAGATAGAAACATTAGAGAGATTTCAGTTTATACAGAGGAAGAAGAACTATGGCTTCTTAGGAGATTTGGTAGCCTTTGATGGTGACTTGGGACTGCTTTGTAGCTGCTTTTTCAGACTTCTTTGGGAGGAGAATTGGGTTTTTGTTTGGTAAAACACCACTGTGTGCGATGGTTACGCCTTTGAGAAGCGTCCCTAGCTCCTCGTCGTTACTCACTGCTACGGTTCTTTTTGTTAACTCTTGCAGCGTACCCGCAAGCTCAAGAACCTAAATCAACAACATATATAAAGGATCAGGCTTGGAAACATAAAGATAGTAGCATTCGTCGAAAAGATTAGTCTGCAAGATTTTGAACATCCTAGAGATTACTGTGAGAAGTCAATTCAAAAGATGGGTTCTGGACATTTGTTGATCTGTAACATGCACATCAATCCAAGTTATTTGCAATGTAACACATCGATTCTGAGAACGGTGATACATGTTTCTCAAGGTACCTCAATGAAGTACTTGCAGATGATTTATTTAGGTGTTCAATTTTACAGCCTCACGTGATTATCAATGGAAGAATCAAGAATTGAGAAACCGTTTTAAATCTATTTGCTTCCCGAGAAAATCCTAAGGAAGAACATTCTTATCTTTGCTTTTTTCTAGGTAAATTAAGTTAACGGCTAGATTATCAACGATTCTAAAGCAAAAGGTCAAGATGATTTATTTAGGTGTTCAATTTTACAGCCTCACGTGATTATCAATGGAAGAATCAAGAATTGAGAAACCGTTTTAAATCTATTTGCTTCCCGAGAAAATCCTAAGGAAGAACATTCTTATCTTTGCTTTTTTCTAGATAAATTAAGTTAACGGCTAGATTATCAACGATTCTAAAGCAAAAGGTCAAAAAAGAAAAAAAACAACTCAATTAACGGCTAGATTATCACCGACCTAAGCTCTAAACTTTCACAAACCTAAATGAAAAAAGGAAACAACGCACAAGCGTAAAAAAAAATGGAAACTTGGAATCCCAAAACACACAGTCTACCCTATAAATATAGTATCGCGTCTCCTCTTTTTCTCTATCTAATCGTTTTAGTATAATCAAAAACCAGAGAAACACAGAGAGAGAGAGAGTTATAAAGTGAGAATGACTGCAATTTCATGCTTTGATTTTGTAGCATTATCTTCTTCGCTCGATTCTTGCTTGCGTTGCTTATATTTCATCTTTGGCTCCAACGCTTATTATTTGTTGTGGGTTTTTTCGTTGCTCTTTGACGGATGAGGATGATTCATCTTCGTTTACAAATCACTCCCATCTCTTATGTGGTGTCGAGACATCGCAGTCTCTCTCTCTCTCTAACCAGCACAAAGTCAAAGAAACTCTACGAAGAATACTACTCTGAGCGTGATGGATGCTCTGCTTCTCCGTCTACGGAGATGGCGACGGTGATTCGTTTGCCGGTGAGTGGTGATCCTATAAAGCCCAACAACAACAATTCCAGCCCACTAAAACAGGTCAATTTTTCCAGCCCTTCTCTTTTTCTCTTTTTTTTAATGTTTTTTTTTAAATTGTTTTTTTTTTTAAAAAAAACTTAATAACTAAAAATAAAACTAAGTTAAAACAAAATTAACACATAAAATTTAAGAAAATAATACTTTTAACCAAAACCACGTTAATTTCACTATTACTTTCTAAAAATTAGTTCAAGTGTTAAATTTTAAAAACGTCGAAACTAACCGCGCCTAGGCATCCTGTCCTTAGTTGGTCCGTAAGCTTTGGTGTTCGAAGTTCGGCATGTTTTCACGTAATATAGATTTAACACTTAAACTCATTTTAAAAAATTAATAATAATTTTCATTAAAATTTAAAACAAATTTAACATTTAAACTTTAAGAAAATAATGTTTTTTAACCAAAACCATGTTAATTTTACTATTACTTTTTAAAAATTAGTTTAAGTGTGAAATTTTAAAAACGTCGAAAACTACCTGCGCCTAGGCATCATGTCCTTAGTTGGTCCGTAAGCTTTGGTGTTCGAAGTTCGGCATGTTTTCACGTAATATAGATTTAACACTTAAACTCATTTTTAAAACTTAATAATAATTTTCATTAAAATTTTAAACAAATTTAACACTTAAACTTTAAGAAAATAATGCTTTCAACCAAAACCATGTTAATTTCACTATTACTTTTAAAAATTAGTTTAAGTGTAAAATTTTAAAAACGTCGAAAACTATCCGCGCTTAGGCATCCTGTCCTTAGTTGATCCGTAAGCTTTGGTGATCGAAGTTCGGCATGTTTTCACGTAATATAAATTTAACACTTTAACTCATTTTTAAAAATTAATAATGATTTTCACTAAAATTGTAAAAAAATTTAACACTTCAACTTTTAAAAAATAATGCTTTCAACCAAAACAATGTTAATTTCACTATTACTTTAAGTGTTAAATTTTAAAAACGTCGATAACTAACCGCGCCTAGGCATCTTGTCCTTAGTTTGTCCGTAAGCTTTGGTGTTCGAAGTTCGGCATGTTTTCACGTAATATAGATTTAACACTTTAACTCATTTTTAAAAATTAATAATGATTTTCACTAAATTTTAAAAAAATTTAACACTTAAACTTTTTAAAAATAATGCTTTCAACCAAAACAATGTTAATTTCACTATTACTTTAAGTGTTAAATTTTAAAAACGTCGATAACTAACAGCGCCTAGGCATCCTGTCCTTAGTTGGTCTGTATAAGCTTTGGTGTTCGAAGTTCGGCATGTTTTCACGTAATATAAATTTAACACTTAAACTCATTTTTAAAAATTAATAATGATTTTCACTAAAAAAAATTAAAAATTAAACACTTAAACTTTTAAAAAAGAATGCTTTCAACCAAACATTAATAATGATTAAACACTTAAACTCATTTTAAAAAATTAATAATGATTTTCACTATTACTTTTTAAAAATTAGTTTAAGTGTTAAATTTTAAAAACATCGAAAACCATCCGCGCCTAGGCATCATGTCCTTAGTTGGTCCGTAAGCTTTGGTATTCGAAGTTCGGCATTTTCACGTAATATAGATTTAACACTTAAATTCATTTTTAAAAATCAATAATAATTTTCACTAAAATTTTTTAAAAAATTAACACTTAAACTTTTTAAAAATAATGCATTCAACCAAAACCATGTTTATTTCACTATTACTTTTTAAAAATTAGTTCAAGTGTTAAATTTTAAAAACGTCGAAAACTAACCGCGTCTAGGCATCATGTCCTTAGTTAGTCCGTAAGCTTTGGTGTTCGAAGTTCGGTATGTTTTCACGTAATATAGATTTAACACTAAAACTCATTTTTAAAAATTAATAATGATTTTTACTAAAATTTAAAACAAATTTAACAATTAAACTTTATGAAAATAATGTTTTTAACCTAATCCATGTTAATTTCACTATTACTTTTTAAAATTAGTTCAAGTGTTAAATTTCAAAAACATCGAAAACTAACTGCGCCTAAACATCCTGCCCTTAATTGATCTGTAAGCTTTTGGTGTTCGAAGTTCGGCATGTTTTCACGTAATATAAATTTAACACTTAATTCATTTAATTAATAATGATTTTCACTAAAATTTTAAACAAATTAAACACTTAAATTTTAAAAATATAAAGCTTCGAGTAAAAATCGATGAAATTGTGATAATTCCGACGGAATCAAAAGTTGATATGAATCAGGAATTTGATACCTCAGCTGCAAGATACTCGAGGACGGCGACGAGATAGACCGGAGCTCCGGTACCAACACGCTCAAATAACGACCTTTCTTAAGATACCGACCGATCCTACCGACAGAAAACTATAGACCGGATTTAACCGACTATGAAACCGGTTTCCGGTTTCTTCTTATGACCTCCACCACTTCTTCTTCTAGCGGCTCCTTTCTTCACTTTGGTTCCGGAATCCATGGCTTGCCTTACTCTGATACGGCGAGAAATTTGATTTGATTCTGATTTTGATCTGACCGGAGAATATGCAAACAGAGGAAGAAAGAGAGCTTTGGCGTAAGATAGCAAAAGAGGTTGGTTGGTTGGTTGGTTTTGTCAGTTGATGAATGTTAGCTTTTGGATTGAAAGTGAATCAACGGCTATGATTGCTGATTTGGCAATCTTGGTTTCAATGATTTTTTCACATTAAAAGAATTAATAGATATAATATTTATGAAAAGTTTTAAGCATTGAATAATATTTTCTAAATTATTCTGAACCTATTTTTAATTTTTTAATAATTCTTCTCAATTTATATATGTGAAATTTTGGAGAAAAACAATGGTAGAATTTTTTGAAACAAGATACTAAATGCTACTTTAGAAATTATTGAAAATTATACTTATACATTATGTATTGCTTGGATGTTTGTATATATTGGACACTAAATCAGTGTCACTGATTTACTGGACACTGATGATCTATCGAATTTACTAACTAGATATCGAACGAATTTCCATATTATGTATCCACGTGTATATGTAAGTATCAATGTCCATAACTCTTCATGTGATATATCTATACCTCTTTATTTGTGGGCTTCACAATGTATTCACCAACCATATCCCACGAATTTATCATTTGTAATAGCATATTAACATTTCACAACTCAACCAAAACATATTTCGTACTCTTCACCTTACATTTCACAAAGAGAATCCATATCATACAATCGTTCACATGTATTACTCTTTGTTATTGTTCAATAAGCAAAAACTTGTAATCTTTAAAGAGTTGATGTTGGAAAACAAAACTAAAAAAAATGATATTTCATATATTTTAGATATTTCTTTTGACCAAAAAGAATATGTACCAACAATCACTAATTATATCTACTATTTTTATAACAAATATCAGCAATATACGTCTTGTAAAATCACCATCTTTTTGTCTCATTCCGATCTATCTTATCAACTAGAAATTTCAGACACGGAAAATTAAATATATGTTTGCATTCGTGTCGTATGCATGGCTCTATGGAACGTATAGTAAGTATAACAACATTAAATTCCAACGAGACTGACATCTCCTCACATGGGGGAGAAATGTTTGTCCTCTAGACAAGAAAAGTAAAAGAAAATACAATAATTTGGGTTCTTAATTTATTTCTGTTGACAAAGCTTATCGGAAATTTAAAATATTTTTTAAAAAATAAAAATAATAAGATCTGTCAGACCAATTATATATATGAATTCTCATCAAATGCAATGAACAATTTTGTTTCCACTAAATGCAATGAACCATGATGGTTCTTGGAGAGGTTTTACATTTAATTGCAATTAACTTTTTCAACATTATGAGATTGCTGAAGTAAAGACTATTCAAATACAATTAATGGTGCTTATTAAATTCTGTATCTCCCTCACCACATGGAATCATGTATGTGATGGATACATTGTAGTAACTTATTTTACCTAGAAAAATAATACTTAAAATACAAAATTTTGGTCAATCTTAATTATAGTTTACCAAACAAAAGGTAAACTTTTAAGGAACTGGTGTAAATATACTTTTTTTTTCCTTGTTAAAAAAAGTATAATTCATAATTTTATATCTGAACCATTTGACCATGCTCAGAACATTTACTGAACCATTTGACCATGCATTGAGATATTATTCTTACTACTTAGGAAAGAGTTTACAGCGCACATAATTAAAAAAAAAAATTGATAAGAAGATTTGATCTTCCTAGTTTATATATTAAAACACAGTAAGAGATGACATAATATTTATGAACGATATAGTGGTAAAAAAATAAACAGTACAAAATAGATGGTAATAATGCTTATTTGATTGATATAAAATATTCAAGCGGTTGATTGTAAAAGGTTTATAATCAAAGTTATAAACGAACACGAAATCCACATTGTGTAAAATCTATTGTACTAAATGAGCTTTTATTTTGCTACATGATTTTTCTAAAACATAAAGTCTATGCTAATTTCTTCAAATTATATGACATCCAAAATCATGTTTCATTTACTTTTTTTTTTTTTTCATGTTAGTAAAACTAACTTTCCATTCTTTTAATATACTAGGATTTACCAATACATGCTCTCAATTCGGATAATCACTGTCTACCTAAGACATTTGTTTTTTCACCCTCTTTATATAAACAGTCCCTCTCTATCTCCCGATCTCATCACTCACACAACAATCTCTCTATCTCTCTCTCTCTCTCTCCTCTTATCTCTCTTTTCCCAATCCTTTTTGTCTGAATCTGTAGCTAACCATGTCGGAGAGACCAAGCCGTCACCAGAGAAGACCTTCTCAGAGCGTTTTTCCGATCTCCCTTGACGATCTCTCCGATATCTCTCTCGCAGCAAATCCTCCCTCCTCCGTTCCTACTAACCCGCCGCGCCACCAGATCCCTCTGCCGTCTCCGGCAGCTCCTCCGGTAAACCGTAGCAGCAATGACGACAATGCTAGCAAGGATCACAAAGGGAACGCCTCTTCTAATTAATTAATATTGCTTTTTTCTTTGTTTTTTAATATAAGTTTCAGCCTTTTAATTATCGCATAAGCCTCTTTTCTCTTAATAATCAGATTTTGTCTTTCTTTACTCGTGTATGATAAATGAATCAATCGTAATTTCGTATTTCGGGTTTATGGTATTGACTATTGAATGAAGAATAACATTATTTCGTAACGAAATCTTAATTAAACTTAAACAACTGTTTGGTTATGACAACAAAATTACTGAACAAAAACTGAAATTTAGAATTAATTTTTTTCATGTAACTGTTAAGAAAATACAAGTATCGATTTATTTCTTAGAATCTAATATGTTACGGATGGACCTTATGGTTGACGTTGACCGCGAGATCCGTGGGTCTTCTATATTGAAAGATGGAAAAGGCTTTGAAGTACTACAACAATAATATTAAAATAAAAATAGACGCAAACATCAACAAGATTGATAATATATATAGATATTTAAAATTACTCAACAGTCAAATATTTTAAATTACTTTTTAAACACTTAATTACTAATTTCTTATGTGTAAAATGATGATATTTTTCAAAATTTCAGTTGCATATTCAAACTATATATTTTATTGATTTGACTAATTAGTCAACATAAGTTTTGGTTTCAAAGCTGACAATATAATATTTTTGACAAATATTAATATTCGAGTTTCTACATATAATAGATAAGCGATAAAAATATGTTGGAAAAAGAAGAAATATAGTTGATGTCTCCATTGAGTTATATGCATATACCTAAAGATCTTTTTATTTTGTCTTTTAAATGCCAAACGAGAATAGTACATAATTTAATTTAGAATGATTTAACCAAACGAAGCGTATAAGGGTTAGCCAAACTTAAAATCTAGTTTTTATTCAATAAAATGCCCAAATGCGCAGAATGTCTTTACATTTTTCTGTTTCCTATTTTTCCATGGCCTTGTAAACAGTAACCAGAAAATTTGACTTTAGTTTAGTTCATTGTTCAATGAATTTAAATACAAAATATATCAATATGATTTGTAGACAACTCATTCGAATTTTAGAAAAAGTGTGAACTAATTTTCGAGGATAGTTTAGTTGAGAGATGTCTTATCCTATAAAGGTATTATTGAGTAAACAATTATATAAATGTATATATAACGAAATTATAAGATCAAAAAGATGACATTGAATTAGAATTATTGACTTCATATGGCCAGTGGTTTTGGTCGCTATAAAGATTCATTATTTGCTGAAAAAATGAAAATTGTAATCTTTCGTCTGAATAATAAATAATGTTGCTAGTTTGTTTTTTTTTTTTTTTTTTTTTTTTTGGCAAATGTTGCTTTATTGTTTTATACTTCCTCTGTTTCATAAAAAGTATATATCGTTCTGGAATTATTTCTCTGTTTCAAAAAATTTATCGTTTTGTTATAAACCATATGGATGGACTCCATAACCGGCCCAATGCCCATTAGATTTTATCTCCTTCTATGTGTTTTCGTGTAAACTCATATATATACTCACTTATGTGTTAATAAAATTACACAGTTTATAACACGTTTTATATTTTTAATGCAATTTTTATAACTAATTTCTAAATTTGGCATTTATCCAAAACTAAAATCTTTTATATTTAAATTATTAAGATTATATTAAATACATATATGTTTATATATTTAATTCATTTTTGAATATGTGTGAAAAGTGTCAAAATGACACTTTTTGTAAAACTGAGGGAATACTATCCTCTTTTGACGGAAATTTATTAGACGGAAAAAAATATTTATAAAATGATTAAAATGGATCCATTTACCAGAAAAAAAAAAAAAAAAAAAAGTGGATCCAATTTTAGCGGGAGAAGAGTGGCTAATGCAACGGACAAGATTCCGTCGGTGCTCCCAAAGGCAAATTAAACAAAAAAAAGTCGTGAAAAAGTAAATTAAAGAAGTAAATACATCCAAATTTTTTTTTTCTGACATAAATATTATTGCCATCGATCTGACGTTTTGTCTGTCTCCGATGAGTCTGTTTCTTTTTATCCACAAAATATGTTTTAAGACCATTATTACGATTGACTGAAAAAGTAACTGAAATCATAATAAACAATTAAACATCTCTTTATATCCCCCAATGAGTCAATAAAGGTAAAAGTCCAAAGGACAAAAAAAGGTGAAAAGACCCAGTTACCGAAGCCACAAACTCATTAATAAATTCAGTTATTTTGTTTAATTAGCATGGGGTTTTGTCAATAACATGCAATCTGTTGGATTTAATTATGGATTACCACACAATACTACTTCAAAGTAAAAACCTATATCAAGTTTTTTTGCATAAAACAAAAGTTTTTGGGTACATGTATATATCATTTATACTCCCTCCGTTTCAGTTTAGTTGTCGTTTTAGGATTTAAATTTTGTTTCATAATAGTTGTCGTTTTAGGTTTTCAATGCAAATGTTTGGTGAAAATTCCAGTTTTATCCCTACTGTTTTAATGTTTTGGCCAATGAATTTTTTTATAAAATATACTAATAAAGGGTAAAACAGAAAATTTAATGTTTTTCTTAATTTGTGTGAAAAAACCTTAAACGACAACTAAAACGAAACGGAAGGAGTAATAACTTAACTCAATGGAGACATCAATTATCATTTTTTAAAACATATTTTTCTGGCTTTCTTATTAAATGTAGAAATTTGAATATTATATTTGGTAGTCGTGACTCAGCCAATTTCTCAATCTCCACTAAAGATGTGTTTCGAAATAGTACATCTTTCAAAATAAATACATTTTTGTATAGAAAAATAATATATATGCTTATACAACTTCCGAAAAAGATCATATTTGCATATTTCATTCCAAAAAAATAAGATCATATTTGCATATATATATATATATATATATAGTATTAGTTTTTCAAATCTGTCCCAATTTCCCAAATAAAAAACAGGAAAGAAAAAAGTATGGAAACGTGTGACCACGTGGTGAATCACGTTGTAATGGGCCCGGCCCAACATAATACCGTTATACGGTTATAGTATGTCGTTAAATTTCCTGTTTTTTTTTCTTTTATTAAATAAAAGATGAAATTCCTGACCAGAATATTTTAGTTCGTACTTTCATTATAAACCGGAACAAACCGAAATTCAAACTGCACGGAGGCAAAATGAAACCGAATTAACCCATCTGAATGTCTGTTTTCACCAAATCTTCTTCCTTGTACTGGCTCTTTAATGCTACTTAATTAAGATAATGAATGCTTAACTACTTAATTGAGTATATTCTTGATGTTTTTAAATATCTCTCTCTGATTGCATCTTAGTCAAAACTCTGTTTCTTGACCTCCCATGGTCCATGGAGGCTATTTAAGGCATTGGTGATGGAGAACTAGACTCTCAAGTCATCTAATCTTCAACTATGACACAATATATTGCCAACAAACATTTCCGATATCGGTTACTTAAACACACACAAACAAATTTACTCTTCTCTTTCTTGTTTTTAGCTCTTAGGTTAGAGACACTGATTATCTATGGAAAAATCAAGTGATGGACAACACTTTTTTTTTTTTTTTTTTGTATTGTCCATACTATGAAATGATTGACGCGGTTACATATTCACTCGATAAAATATTTAAGCATATAACAATGCCTCTAGTTACCATATGATAAGGTGGAAAGAAACATCACACTCTCTACTTCTTCTGACATTACTTTTGTTTTCACTCTTAGGTAGGTAACAAACAACAAGAACACCTTAGAGATTTAAGTGGTGTCACCGAAACCGAGGTAGTTCTTTTTAGAAACCGAGTTAATGAGCTTAACACTGAAATCCCAGAGTTTCTGCGCCAAAGTTTCATCTCTAGCAAGTTTGCTTGGAGTGACTTCGTTGCAATCAGCAAAGTACTTTCCTGTTACGCCCTTCACACTTGGATGCAGAGCAACATAACATGTTGTAGCTGCTCCCTGTCAACATCACATGGACCATCAAAATATTGTTCTTATATTCATTTTTATTCAGTAACATAGTCATAGAGTTAGATCTTGAATTTGGCTTAGTCTTAGGATTCTTTCTACTAGTTTAGTACCTGAGGTATATTTTTCCACAAGTAGAAGCTGAAAAACTTCAAGAACCCTGTGAAGAAAGGGAACTAAAATAAATACTAGCGAAAATAAAAAGGAATAATTTGAAGAGAAACAGAGAAATTAAGAAAATAATGTGAAATCTTACTCATTAAAAGAGCAGTGTGTTGGAAGAGATTGGTGAGAATGAGACCAGGGTGAACTGAATTTGCTGTTATGTTTACTCCTTCTTCCTACCAAACAATGTCCCCAAAAATATTTTGAGTTTTTATTTTCTTAAGTGTATATGAATTTGAGATAGTACCAAACACGTTGATATATGTGTTTGTGTGTGTGTGAAGGCGACCTGAAGTTGACGGGAGAGCTCATTAGCATGCAATATATTGGCTAGTTTCGATTGTCCGTAAGCTCGTTTATCCGAGTAACTGAGAGAAAAAAGAAGAAGATGGTTATAAGATGCAATGGGATTTCGGAACAAGTCAACAACTATAGAATTTTTTACCTGCAAATGTCATTGATGCTGTCGAATTGGATTCCTTCTTGGTAAGTATAGATATGAGCCACAGATGATACATTCAAAATCCTTCCTTCAACACCACTGCTTTTAGATGTGTTCTTCATTGTGTCCAAGAGCAAGTTTGTCAACAGAAAATGACCTATATAGTATATAATTCAATACTTAAAATTTCAATATTTCGGGTTTAGTTTCTGAAACTAAATGTCTTAACTTGTGTTTAAATTTAAATATATGAATTACCAATGTGATTTGTAGCAAACTGCAATTCGATTCCATCTTCAGAGAGTTGGTATGGACAGAACATTACTCCTGCATTGTTTCTGCAAACACCATTTTTGTACAAATGTTATAGATATACATAACTCTGTTACAGTTTTAAATAAATAATATGCACCTTTTTCTTACCAAAAAAAAATTAAAAACAGAAAACATTTTTTCTTGCTATAAGTAGTTAATAGATCTCCGTGTATTTGGTATTAATCCTTGTTCAAAAAGTCGGTCTCCGCGGCCGAGAAATCGCCGGAAAACCGCTCGGCGGCACCCAGCCGCCGCGATTTTAGTAAACTCGGCCAAAAAATCGGATCTGTAAAAAGCTCACTTTTTTTTGTTAAATTTAAGTTGAAAATCGATTATTTATGATTGGATCTATAATCTTGAGTATAAATATACTGCAAAACCGTTCAAAAAATTGTTAAAAACGCAAAAAAAAAATCAGGTTAGCGTTTTAGGGTTGTGGCTGCGCAGCCAAAGGAAGAAGAAGAAGTGAAAATACCTATTTTACCCTCTAAAGTGAATAGATCAAAAAATAGATGCAAAGTTTCGAACCCATGGCATGTGACACGTTTAACAGGGCTTTAACCACTACACCACCGGCACTTTCAACAATTTATCTGCTGATACTATGTATAAATACAATATTATTAGATATAAGACCTAAAACTAATCCCCGATTAATCCCCGTGTAATCTCCGATTAATTGATTAATCGCTAGGCCTACCTTCACCGCCCGACTAGCGCCTAGCGATTTTTAAAACATGGGTATTAATAAATGGTACCACATTGTAAAGTAACATTGATGTTGTCAAAACAAGAAAGCAGAAAGTAAAATGTTTGGCGCGAAAATAATGTCTTTTACTCTTTTTCACAGCATTAAACATCAAAAAAGAAAAGTTGGATAAATAATTATTGGATGTCGTTGTTTATTACCTAACTTAACTAACGTAAATAATAGTACTACAATAACAGAGGAATGGTAACAAAAACAGTGTTAATTAACGTTGTTAATGTGGAAACCATTCAAAGACTGTTATTGTCATAAAAATCAATAATTCAAACGCTAAAAAAAGGCGGTCCAAACGCTTAAAACTGAAAGAGAGGGAGAGAGTGTGTGTGTACATGAGGAGATTGAGAGGAAGATGGAGGGCATGAAATTCACGAACAAAGGCTTTGATGGATTTGAAGGAAGAGAGATCTAAGTGAAGAAGAGTGACACGTGCGTTTGCGTTTTGTTTGAGAATCTCAGTTTTGGCGTTTTCTGCAGCTCCCATGTTTCGGGCACCGATCACCACATGAACACCTCTCTTCGACAGCACTCTCGCTGTCTCCATACCTATTCCTCCTGTCCCTCCTTTTTACAATAATAATCAATCACATATATAATTACATTAGCAATGAATAATAAAAAGGAAAAAAGATCTTTAATCAAGAAAAAAAAATGAATGATAAAAACATAGCAGTGTAAATGCATATGTGTATATATGAACCTGTGATGATTGCAGTGAGATTAGTTGCATCAATCCCTAGAGTAACCTCTTCAGCTGTTGAAGCTGAACCAAATCCACTTGGTCCTCTTCTTCCTGTGATTAGTGAATATAATCCCATTTTTATTAGATTAACCTTTCTTTTTTTAATGGTTTTAATAGATGTAGCCCTCAAGAACCAATGTGGAAGAGAGATAGAGAGAGAGAGACAAAAGAAGAAGAAGAGAGGTTTAGGAGAATAATATGGTACGTACCATGAAAGAATCATATTTATAAGTGGCAAAGAGTCATTAATGCATTTTTTGGTACCTTCTAGTTTCGTAGACCTTATTGTGTGAATCTATCCATGAATTATAAATACACATTAAACCCATCCCCACCAATATTGAATATAGATATGTACAGTAATATTATTGTATATTTTAGTTTTTTGTGGCGGTCCATAGTGCATGCACTCGAAATCTAATTAAGAAGAGTTCGTATTTCTCTTTCGATCGAGAGAAAAAAAACTCGCTATTCTCAACTTAAGCATGTCTATTTCTCAATAAGTTGTTGTTAAGGTCTCTAAACTTTTTAGTCATTTTTCTCTTGAAAACCCTGCTATTGGTTCTAAATTGCCGACAATGGCGATTGTTTTCCCTCTCTTATTATTCGAAAATGTTACTTTACCATATAAGTTTATTAATCTTTACATCATTTACACATTTTGTATGTTTTTTTTTTTTTTTTTTTTTTAAATCGTTTGCTATCAAACACGTTAATGTACGTTGGTAGTAGTGTCCCTTCCTTTTTTGGGGGTAATTAATGTCCTCTCGTTTTTCGAAGATTACAACAAAAGAATATCATTTGTGTGTATAGAAAAATGAACATAATCTAAGTAAACATTACATTTGGGGATTGATGATTAATCCCAATTTTTGGTATTTAAAAAAAAAACTGGAGTGTATTAAGGTGACTAAGCTATTGAAAAACTAAATGTTGAATCAAAATATAGGGTTGACCAACTTATTAATGAATGGTTGGTGAGAAGCCGTTGGTTACTATACTGAGTTTTCAGCTACTTGACATCCTCCTTTCTTCACATGTTTCCAGTGAATGTATTACCACTTACCCAAATCCCTCCTAATATATAGGCGAATTTCATTTAATTAACCATCTAATTAGTTTTCAATTTTTCTTCAACACTTAGGGAGGTTATGCAACTAAAGCAATGACTTTAGTCTAAACCAACAAACTCAAAGTGGTTTGGGTTGGTTTCTTTCATGTAGAGAATGCTATAAAACTAAGTAGTTGGTCTCTTTCTAAATCGAGAAAAATGTTCGAATTCAAATGATGCGAGATAGAAACTTATTTCGAGCAGCCAAAACAAATTACATTGGAGTTCTAGATAGTTCAACGAAGTTTCTACTTAAACTATAAATCATTAAAAATTATAGCCAAGAGCTAGCAAAAAATTTATATGTAACAATCTTATGTCATGAAAGAAAAGGCTGTCTTTTATAAAGATTTTTTTTGACAAGAAAAAGATATTTCTTTATTGCAAACATAAAGCGTACTTTTCAATTAAACAATACTATGAGGAACACAAGTATGGTTAAACCGAGATTCGAACATGTAGTACATTTGTTTGTGTTAGTTTAGTCGTTTTTTTTTTTTTTTTGAATAAAATGTAAAATTTATTCGAAAAAAACGTTTTTACATCAAGTGCAACGTTTGGTTAAAAGGTTCATATACAACGTTTGGTTAGTTTAGTCGTTGCGTAATCATCCATATTCAAACTTGATAGAAAATGAAGAAGATAAATCTAACATAACAATTGTCGTACAAATTCTAAATAAATGAGAGCATTAATCTTATAAAGAAAATCATTAAAACGTAACTCTCTACTCAAGAATCCTTCATCAGTCGTTTACAAAGTTTTTGACCGGCAGTTAAAGAAAGCTTTATTTGGATAAAGAAACAATACAGAATGTATTAAATTAATTCATAGCCCGTGCTCATAGATATCGATGTTCCTTTCACATCCCGTTTCCAAGTTCAGAGAATCCAACTACGAGATTTGGATCTTTCTTTTTTTTGCCTTGCAAAATTGATTGCTGAGAGAGCCTCATAATGATATAGTTAGGTGGTAGATTTACACAAAGGTACTCACACACCACTATCGAGATTAATGCCATATTTATTATTGTTATTATTGTTTCAACATACTAATTCGTGATTTAACAATCAAAAGCTATAATTCTATCATTTTTCACACAAATTAAGAAAAGTAAACAAATTTCATTTATACCCCTTATTAATACACTAAATAATACCTTATTTCTAATTAATAAGCTAAAATAGTAGGAATAAAAAGGAGAATTATTCTTTAAAACTGCATTGAAAACACAAAACGACATTCTTTGTAAAATGAGATTAAAACCTTAAAACGACATTCTTTGTAAAATGGAGGGAGTATGATGTAAAACTGATAGTTGAACAACTTGTCGTACGTGGTAGCTGAGAGTATTTTTTTCAAAGTTGAAGTTAATTTAGCGATTAATGTAAGAGGTATCACATATTCAAGAATCAATCCAAAAACAACTTGTTAAGAACACAATGAACAACGAGTGAAATTGGTTTATCACACTTGTCATGCAAATTTTTGTTTGGCATGCAACGAAACAAATCTAATAGAATAGACCAACTACATTTATAACTACTTGAGTAAAAAGAAAAAAAGAAAGAAAAAACAGAAGTGGTTATAACGCTAGATCTAATACCTATTAGGATAGTCGAATTATATAAATAGAATAATGAAGGCATTTACTATGATCTATGGTTTTAGCGGCGGGAGTGGCTCATTGTGTGGGGAAGTGATGCGACCATGTGATCAGCCCGCTAACGTCTAACGATATTGACTATTTATTTCCTTATATCAAAGTAAAAAACTAATAATATTATTGACACAAAAGGCACTAATATTATTATTAATATGTAACGGTTATTATTCCATGGATCTATATATGAAACATTTTCTGTTAACCACATTGTATTTTCATTGATATTTTAGTGGTTTATACTAGTAGTGTTGATGTGTCACATTCGAATTAAAATCCGTATATTATATACCAAAAAAAAGTTCACTTAACGATTACAAATTTTATTCTTTGTCTGTCTTAATAGGTCCATGAAACAAGTATTTTTGTTAAATAGCGACGCAAAATGTCTTTGCCATATTTGAGTTATAACAAACAAAAATAAATTGACTTACTAATATTATAAATATGTGAATGTACGTAGTGATAATACATACACTCACATACTACTACATACAGTGCCCATACAGGTAATGCGTGTGCTTCACATGTACTTGGCCACAGCTTTGATTATGACATTGGCCGGAGAAAAATAACGGAAATTAAAGAAAATATAATATATACGCCGGAAAATTAGTGGATAATGCCACTGAATATTTATGACTTCAAGAGGCCCATTAGCTAAAAGTAAGCGTGGCATTTGCCGTAATTCTTCCCAACAAAATGGTTTATTAGTCTCAACATAAAAAGAGAGGAGAGAAACTTGGTGGGTTTTGTTGGGAATTGTTTGGGCCGTAAATATTTATGATTCCAATTGGCCCATTAAGAACGGAAGGTCTATTTAGTAAAAAGTAAGAGTTTAGGGCAACAAAACAATATTTACTAAAATTGAGGTGTTTATCGTAATTCTCCGAGAAGATAATACTCGTAGCTCTCTCTCTCTATCTCGCGGTGCGTTGTTGTGAATTTTCCTCTTTTCAAATCTCACAGCAACAAAACCCTAGATACTTGCTCTACTTGATATCGGAGAAGAAGATCCGGCGAAGATGTCAGGTGGCTTGGATATGTCACTTGATGATATCATCAAATCTAATCGAAAACCTACTGGATCTCGCGGCCGAGGAGGCATTGGTGGTGGTAATAACACCGGTGGTCGCGGTGGTTCCGGTTCCAATTCCGGTCCGTCTCGTCGATTTGCTAACCGCGTAGGAGCCAGAACGGCGCCGTATTCAAGGGTCAGCCATTGATTTTTTATCTCCCTTTACCTTCTTCCTTCAAGAATCAGAGAATTCCTTTTAGGGTTTTTATGAAAAAAAAATTCAAAAAAAAGTTGAGATCTTTTTTCGTTTCTTCTTTGACGAACAAAACAGCCGATTCAACAACAAGCTCATGATGCGATGTGGCAAAACGATGTCTTTGCGACTGATGCGTCTGTGGCGGCGGCTTTTGGGCATCATCAGACTGCTGTTGTTGGTGGTGGCTCGTCCATCGAGACTGGAACTAAGCTCTACATTTCCAACTTAGATTATGGTGTCTCCAACGAAGATATCAAGGTTTGTGCTTTACAAGTTTATTATAGTTCCAGTCTTAATTAGCAGAAAGATTGTGGCCCTTTCCTGATCTTGAGCTGGATTTGTTTGTAGGAGCTTTTTTCTGAGGTTGGTGACCTTAAGCGGTATGGGATTCACTATGATAGGAGTGGAAGATCGAAGGTACTTGATAAGCTTTATAGTGCTTCAGTGATTTGTTTATCGAATCGCCTTGTCATGTTCAAACCTAAAAACGATGCTTTCAGGGTACTGCTGAAGTTGTTTTTTCGAGGCGCGGTGATGCCTTGGCAGCTGTCAAGCGTTACAACAATGTTCAATTGGATGGAAAACTGATGAAGATAGAGATTGTTGGGACTAATCTTTCAGCTCCTACTCTTCCCCTTCCTGCTCCAGCTCAGTTTTCTTTTCCTACTAATGGGATACTTGGGAACTTTAATGAGAACTTTAACGGCAATTTCAATGGGAACTTCAATGGAAACTTCAGGTTTGTCTTGTTTCCTGTCTTGTTCACCATGGAATCTTCATAATATCAATAATATCATTAGCTAGGGTCTATTAATCAATTGCAAAGTCAAGTTTTTTTACTTTCAATTTTCATTGAAATGGCTTATGTTTTGGTCTTGAGTTAGAATCTTGATAAAATATTTTTTTGGTTAGGCTGGCGTTAGCTAAGTGGATTCTGATAGGTTGATTACACGGACCCTTGTATTAAATATTTTGGATAACCTGTTATGCAACAGGGGCAGAGGAAGAGGTGGTTTTATGGGGCGACCTCGTGGTGGTTTTGGCGGTGGTAATTTCCGAGGAGGTAGGGGAGCTAGAGGACGTGGTGGTCGTGGCAGTGGTGGAAGAGGACGTGATGAAAACGTATCTGCAGAGGATCTTGATGCTGAATTGGACAAGTACCACAAAGAGGCAATGGAAACAAGTTAGAAAGGGGAGACTAATCCTATTGCATGCCTACATGTATTCCTTCCCTTAGTGCACGATATGCTTTTGTATTAGTATGATCTTTAGATTGATGTCAATGGGTCTGACCTTATCAGAGGTTTAGCTATTTTTTTCTTCTCTATGTGAGCTTTTTAGCTTTTGCAGTTGAGTTCAGAGAAACAGCATTGTGTGTACCGTGGAACTCAAACTCCTCTAAAGTGTTTATTCGAAACATCATTCCATCTACTGTCTGTTGCTATAGTGTTTTAAGGCTTTAAGCAGATGGTGAAGCTGGGAACGTTCTGATGGCAGAGCACAGTGAATTCACAGCATTGTTGGCTTATTTTTTGGGCAGCCTATGAGGTCTTCAGAGATTTTGGTTGAACAATGTTAATGTGGTAGTGTATGGTTTTAAATGAAGATAAATCTCATATTATTTCATCCACAGAACAAAATTTATCCAGATTCTGTAATCATTATAAGCTTTGGCATTAAGTTGTAGTTCCAAATTTTTGAGTTTGGTCGTTGAATAAATTCATAGATATTATTAAACAATAGAAAAAGCAAAATAAATATTACTAAGCTAGAAATACTAAGAGAGTTTCACGACCCAACAAATTGATTACAGGGTCAGAGACCATAACACCTAATTAATTACCAAAGTTTGATATAGTTTATGTGATTTTCAACTTCTTGGCTTTTGAGAATTCGATCCTTTTCCTATCAAGAAGAAGACAGAAAAAATTTGTATTATATAGTGAAGCCCCTTTGCATCAAAAACAGCTTTATAGAACGAACCTTTAGATGGAGTGGAGTTAGTCTCACTCCCATCCTTTACTTGGATAAGGTTCCGATCCTGCAAAACCAGACAATGTTAAGACTTTGTTCCCATGGTTGATGTAGTGTTCAAGTATCCAATCACAAACCATATCATAAACAGGAATTTGGTTGCGCCAAAACTCTAGTGATGATACAAGCACCCTTCCTGCATAACATTAAACAAAAACCCTTTTAACTAAATGCTTTCAGCAGAGCCCTTTGGAAGTGAAGAAGTTCTACTCTCTAATTAACCTGATCTTGACCGTTTCTGTCCCACTGAATCAGTAGACGCCGCATTGGTCTTCTGCTTCTTCACTTCTTTTTCCGGTGTTACCTTTGAATTACATAACAACAAGAGCATCAAGTACTATTAACAAAAACATGAAAATCAGAGGATTATTGGTTGAAAAGTATCATTATGATTCATATTTGAATTGATGATAACCAGAATGTAAGAGGTGACAAAAGGGGAAGTGGTTACCTCCACATCAAAGTCGATTTTCCTCTTTATTTTTTCCCATGACAAGTTTTCTTCAGCTTCTTCAACTTGAGACCTCGACTGATTCATAGGCTCTACCACATTGCTGTCACTTTGAAGGGTCTTCTCACTTTTCCTTGATTTTCCTTTCTTTCCAGGCTTGCTACTATTAATTAAGTCCTTCGACAGGGGATCTTGAGATGCCTTTGTTACCTTCACTCTACCTTTTCGCTGTTCTGACGGCAGTGATTCTTTAGTAGCATTCTTACTTTTCTTCGATATTCCTTTCTTTTCAGATTTGCTACTCTTGTCTAAATCTTTAAGCAGGCATTGTGGAGATGCTGTCGTTCCCAGTACACCTTTTCGCTGTTCTGGAGTCAGTGATTCTCCAGTAGCACTCGCACTTGTTACTTTATCAACATTATCTGCACCGGTATACTTAATACCACATCCAACCGCTGGCGATATCACATTATTATCGATAACTTCGCACTCATCTTTTTCTACATCACTGCTCTTAGCCTTAATTAAACGTTCACTACCATGAACTCCATCATTAGTACAATTCTGGAGCTCACTGCCATCGAGTTTCCATTCGTTGTCTTCATTATTGATAGCCACACATCCATCTTTTTCTACATCACCGCTCTTAGTAGTGTTCTGGACATTACTCGATTCAAGTTTCCTTTCCTCCTCTTCACTTAGATGAAGAGACTTTCTCCTTGCAGTTTTTTTAGCTCTTGCTCTCGAACCATCTTTATCATTAATCTCTGTGATATCCGTCTCAGTCACACTGCTTTTATCTCTGCTCTCAGATGGATAATCCTCTACATTCCCGTTCGAGTACTTACATGGTGATAAAATGGGAGGACAAGCTGCAAAAGAAATCATAAAAGAACAATATTTCAAACACAGATGCATCACAAAAACACACACATAAAGACGTTGCTTCAAGTCCTAACCTTTATCGATTGTCGAAGGGACAGTATTAATATCAGTGCCACAAGAGTCTCCAAGAAAGCAACTGTTACAAAATCGTTCCCAACAAGGAGGAAATCCGAAGATGAATTCACGAGAAATCTATTCCCAAGACCAGACCACAGAACAAAAGAGAAAGAACAAATCAATACACATTTGTATTATTAGCTCTTTAATAGCTCAAGTTCCAACAAGTAAGCTATGTTTAGATTACCTCAGGGGTAAATCCATTATTAACAACGCGTTCTTTGTTAAGAAAACCACGGAGAGTTATATAGATTCCATCAGATGCTAAGAGTGTGAAAACATCCAAAGCTCTGATGATTGGGGAAGATTTAAACACACGCATTGCTCGAGTCCTATTAAGCCAAAATCGAAAAATTCAAAAACTAATCTCATACAGAAATTAAAATCGAAAAAGTCCAAGTCTCTTCTTACTCGACGGAATCTTCGAATCCAGCAACACCAAATCGTTTGCCGTCGAATTCCTTTGGACATTTAACCAACCACCAATCTCTCAGCACCACCTTTTTCATAAACCCAGATGAAAAAGAGGTTTTTAGAACACTGATTGAATCAAACACGAGGAAATTAAGTAAAAAGCTCACTCACCGTTTTCTGGAAATACGACTTCGAACCATCGTCGTCGGGATTTGGTTCCGCCATGGAGCTGGAAACTATCTCAATTGAGAAATAATCGGAACCCTAGGAGATTGTGGAGAAGAGTTCGTGAGATTTTTAGTGAGCAAATCGGAAAAGTTTTTAGGGTTTTTAACTGTTTGGAACAATGGGAATGAAAATTGCTTTGGCGGGGAAAACTTGATCCGGTTTAGATTACCAGTTTGGTTTAAAGCTTCTGCTGTGTGTATTTTTGTCCTCGATTCCTAGGTTCTAGATACGCCGGTTTAAATAACCGGTTTGGTTTAATCCTTGTGCAGTTTCTTCGGTTTTAATCCAATTTATTTTTGACGTATTAAAAATTAGCATTTTGATTTTTTAAAAACAAAATATTTGTTATTATTAAACTTAGTAAAATGAAATAACCTTATTTGAAATTAGTTTTTAGTCCAATTTATTTTTGACGTATTAAAAATTAGCATTTTGATTTTTTAAAAACAAAAATATTTTTTATTATTAAACTTAGTAAAATGAAATAACTTTATTTGAAATTAGTTTAAAATCAGAAAAAAGTCAAAAAAAAAATTAACTTGAAAAAACTTTGAAATGAAAACACATTTTGTATAGGCAAAAATATAGTTAAACAAATAGTTAACATAATAAAAATATTTGCAAAAAACTATAAAAATTAGTTTAAGTGTACATTACATGAAAATCGATTGAACTAAATAACATCTCTTACAGACCCGTACGATGAGACGAGATGCTTATCACGGTTTATTTTCTATGTATTAAAATTTAACACTTAGATTTTAAAAACAAATGTATTTTTACATACTGAAAACTTTAGTTGAAATAAAAAACTATTTGGAAAAAGAGTAAACAAAAAACCTTTGAAATGAAATCATTTTGTATAGTCAAAAGATTGTTCAAAAATAGTTTACATTATAAAAATATTTGCAAAAAACCATAAAAATAGTATAGGTGTTAAAAATTTACATTACATGAAAATCGGTTGAACTAGTAACATCTCTTACGGACTAGTAGAATGGGACGGGATGCTTAGTCCGTTTTATTTTCAATGTAATAAAATTTAACACTTAGATTTTAAAAACAAATATACTTAATATAATAAAAACTTTAGTCAGAATAAAAAATATTTGGAAAAAAAAGAGTAAAATTTTTAACTTGAAAAAACCTTTGAAATGAAAACATTTTGTAAAGTCAAAAATACTGTTCAAAAATTTTTACATCTACTATACATTTTTGCAGCAGTTTTTGGCGTACCCAAATCGGGTCAAATTTGTTTAATTTTGACCCGGAAATCTTCAATCGGATCTTTCCTTAAATTTTGGCAAAATTAAAAAACGAAAATAATTAATAAAATCTAAAATATATATACTTTCTCAACTAATTACTATATTTAAACGCTTTATTTATGGTATATTCTCTACGATTTTTATAGATAAAGAAATCAAATATGATGATTTAATGCTAATATAACAAATTTGCACTAATTTCCTAAAACCTCTCTACCTAATTTAAACATAAATATATGATTCTTATTTCACTTTTATTTGATCTTATATTTATATTATTTTAAATTATTATAAAATATGTAAATAGTTAGTAAATTTTAGTTTTTTTTTTTCTGCATATGTTACAATTCAAATTTTTTAAAACGGACATATATTACTCAATCGATGAATAAAAATATGTGTGTAATCTATATTAACATTTTTAAGAACAAATTGAGCATTTAATCATGTCGTTATTTTATTCAGACCCGAAATTGAGTCATTCGGATCTTTCTTTAATTTTTACAATTATCTAAAATGGGACAGTATATCACCGGTGAAATCCTAATTAGTATTTTAAGATACAATTATAAATTGTTTTTACGGGTTGGTCCAAAAACACACACTAATTTAAAAATATACATGGAAACTATTTGAAAGCAACTTTCAAATTAACTCGAATTATATGACATTTAAATAAAAGTGTTATTAAAAAAATAACAAAATGATGTTTAATTTCATTTTAGATTATATGGTTGGATGGGTTTGGGTCAATATTAATACGAGACAATATACCACAGGTGAAATCCTATAAATAACAAATCAAAATACAATTATACAATCTTAAACACTAAACAAAACAAATACAACTTAAATTTTTTTATTTTAGATACAACGCATGTGACCCGCGTTATACAACAAAAAATATTATATACAATAAATTCATCAATTTATAAAAATAAAAAAATCAAATAATTAACCCGCGGTGTACCGCGGGTCATATCGTAGTAATAAAAATATTTGTAAAAACCATAAAATTAGTCCAAGTTTTAAATTTACATTACATGAAAATCGGTTGAACTAATAACACCTCTTACGGACCCGTAGGATAGGACGGGATGCCTAGTCCGATTTGTTTTCAATGTAGTAAAATTTAACACTTAGATTTTGAAAACAAATATATTTATATAATAAAAACTTTAGTTAAAATAAATAATATATGCAAAAAAACGGTAAAACATATTTTTTTTTACTTAAAAAACCTTTGAAATGAAAACATTTTGTATAATCAAAAATATTGTTCAAAAAAATAGTTTACATAATAAAAATATTTGTTAAAAACTATAAAAATTAGTCTAAATGTTAAATTTACTTTACATGAAAATCGGTTGAACTAGTCACACCTCTTACGGACCCGTAGGATGGGACGGGATGCTTAGCTCGATTTATTTTCAAACACTTAGATTTTAAAAACAAATATATTTTAAAATCTATATATATATATTTTATACAATAAAAATTTTAGTTATAAATAAAAACATTTGAAAAAAAAAGCAAAACGTGAAAAATAATTTTACGAAAAAACCAGTGAGAAAAAGAAACTAGGGCCTAACCCATAAAGCGGGCGGCCAACTCGACCCGCGGGAATACATAGGCCGACTTATTTAGAAATTCATTTAAAATTCGGGAATACAGAATGGGCCGTGGCTATAAGCCCAGTTAATATCATGATTGGGAAGCGGATGCATTAATTTATAGTACATGTTCGAAGGACCTCTTCCTCCCACTAAACGGTGTGGGACTTATTGTTAGGCCGACTTATTTTTTATTTTTCAATAAGTCCAGTTTCCTTTTCTATTTTTCATGGATCGGGCCGTTGGGGTCCAAGAATACATACAATCGGCCCAATTCGGTACATTTGAAACTGTTGAATTCTAATGTTTTCGATGTGGGACGAAGTGAAAGTGTAATAACTAATCGAAACTACGAAAGTGTAATAACTAATACGAAACTACGAAAGTGTTTTTTGTCCCACATCCTAGAATTCGGAAATAAATATCTCTAATTATGATGGAGAATCTGAAGGATGCTTTACGTTTTATCTGCTCATGTTATTTCTGGAGGATGGCTTTGTTTTGGAACATTGCCCTCTTTCAATTGCTTAAAAAGAGTATCTTTGGCTCAGAAAAACATTTTGTATATAATATTTCAAATTCAACATTGGTCCACACACAAACACTAGGCAGTAACTTTCATCTATGAAACTAAACATTAATTATAAATAGATCTCCAACGTGCTCACAAACAGTTTCAGAAGAAGTCAGTACTTAGAAGACTTGGAAACTTCTTCTGAAGCTATAGAGAGATTCATGAGTCGCTCTGTTATACATAAGATTATGTAGTAAACAGTCATATAGTTTTAGTAGACGTCTGGAGGCAAATTCTCTGAGAAAGAAGTCTGTTGTTGTTGTTGTGACCGTTGAAGATGGAGTTTCATGGCGTAGTTGCTAAGCTGATGAATGATATTCACAAACGAAAACGAAGGGAAAATCAGTAAGATTGATGTTCAAGAGTTTCTAATTGCGTTAGGCAATTTAGTTACCTCTAGCTTATGAACTTGGTCTTGGTATTGCCCCACCACGCCTTTCAAATGCTGTACTTGTTTGGCCTTCTCTTCGTTTTCAGAGCTACGCTGGTGTTGATTCGCAATGACCCGCTTCAAGATTTGGTTATCATTGATCAAACTCTGTAGACTCTCCTTCAACGACGCATATTCAAGCTGCAATGAATTGGGAGAACTCTTTATTTGCTATCATCTAGACCCAAGAAAACCTGAGCATTATCAATGTCATCATTTTATACCTTGTTCGAGGCATTGGTGTTCTTTTTTATGATTATCTCTAAAGCTTCTAAGATCACTGCAACACGTCGCCTCATATCATCAACGTTTATCGCTTTTGCCATCTCGGATACAAGTCTATCAACCCATTTAGCTCCATCGATCATATCCTCATCCTTCCAACTTCCCACAGATCCATCAAATGAGCCAGCTTCTGTTCTGTCTGAATCCCCATTGAACAAAATTGAGCTTAAACTCTCTTTTGCCTCTTCAAACACGTAATTCTTGTTGCTCAGAACCTCTCTGACAAACTAATTCAAAATCCCACCAAAAACAAAGACTACATTAGCAACTAACTCCAAAAGATTTTTGTATCAAAACATAACCAGCAAGTTCCATTTTCACAACACAAAGTAACAAAGACTAATGTTGAATCAAGTTTCTCTGCAATGCAGGGATTTGGTTATTACAATGTTAATCTATAGTTCTCCTTTAGATTCAATAGTTGAAGACATATCAATCGATGGCTACACAAAACTGTCACCTAGGAACAATTCAATAGTATATGAAAAGAACAATTAGGAAAAATATTCATCAGTTAAAAATGGAAACTTTACTACGCAAATATTTAATGAACCTCAGGATCCATGGAAGGGAACATATGGATCAAAGATGCAAACGGGTCATCGGATCCAGACCCGACTTCAGATGAACGGATCGGCGATCCAAAGCTTGACCATTTGGATCTCTTATTCGTCGGGGATGATGAAGACCCGAAGAAATCGTCGTACCCGACCCGTTTACCGCAAACTCTTGTAGACATTTGTAACACCGAGCAATTATCCTAAAACCCCCAAAAGATTTTGACTTTTAACAAAAGAGGAAAACCCAAGAACGATCTGGGATAATTATCGATAAAACTTGTTTAAATCGATTCGGAAAGTTTTGTGATTTATATAAAAGGAGAAGATTTGCGTTAAGATGAATAGACAAGAGTGTAGACGTTCTGTGATGCGGTAATGTTCCCGACCGTCGTTAAAAGTATTGCAGTGAAGAAGAAAGACGACAACGACGAACAATACAATTATGAATAATCGTTATTTTGATTAAGGTTGTCAATCAACCAACAAAGTGGCTGTAGTTTAGTGGTAAGAATTCCACGTTGTGGCCGTGGAGACCTGGGCTCGAATCCCAGCAGCCACACTTTCTTTTTTCTTTTTTTCTAGAATTGAAACGTCATCGTTTACCATCTAATGAAACGACTTTGTTTTGAGTCAACCACCTCCTTAACCAGAGACTTTCTTCTTCTTCTTCTTCTTCACTTGCGATCTGCTTCGTAGAGTCGATAGAGGGAAGAAGCAAGTCTGTATTTTTTGAGCTCTCGAAGGTAAACACTCAGAGAATTAATTTGTTTTTGGGTCTTTTCCTTAGAAATGTCGTTTTCCAGATGGTGGTGAATTTGCGGATCTTAGGCTTGAATCTATTGCCTAGGATAGATTACGTAGAGATCTGATGATTCAATCAATTTCGTTTGATTGTTGGTGTCTTTGATTTTATACTCATATCTGGATTTCGAATCGTATTGTCAAAGTTATTTACTTTTTAATGCTGCATCTTGATTTCAGTATAAAAACTTGTTTTGGATTTATCCTGACGTATGAACTTAATTCTGTTGGACTATTTGCTCCATCTTTGATTTGGTGTTGAGATAGGAAATGGATGTTAAAAGTGTAGATTCGTTGTGATTTTAACAAGTTTTGTTTTAAGCCTAATACCAAGCTTCTCATACTGTTAATTTCTGTTGGTGTTACAGATGTTTGATGACCAAGACCTCGGCTTCTTTGCCAATTTTCTGGGGATTTTCATCTTCGTAATGGTCATTGCATACCATTTCGTGGTGGCGGAGCCAAAATTCGAATGAAAATGAGGTTTCATCTTTGTTGATTTCTAAAAAAACACTTATAAATGTGTCAGAATCAACATGTCTTAAGCATTCCATAGGCTGTGATGTTTCGCCAATAGATGAGTAATCAATGTATTTTGACAATGTGGTTTTGGTTTGGATGGATAAAGAGTTACAGACATCTTTTTCCTAGTGGTTCAATCGTTCATGTTTTAGTATGCAAGTTTTGTGTTTAGAGCATATTGCATACATGGGCAAATATCGGCTACCCGGATTTCCCCAGTTGTTCAGGTCTTCTCTGTAGCTCTGTTACTTGTATCACAGTCTTGACAGGTTCTCGAAATCAGGTATTTGAGAAAACAGACTTAGCTTTATAAATTGTTAAAGCTAAAAAGCTAAAATGAGGTTCTTCATATAATCATGGTTTACTTGTTTCACGTTAGCTTAATGTGCATCCAAAGTTTAGTCCATTATCTTTATCTCATCTGCGGTACAGTTACTATGTTTATACAGTCTCTGATTCACTGGACTACCTGCGATTATGTTGAGTACATTCACATTCATCCTTTGGTAGCTCTCAAGATCAGGTTGTTTGAATTTGCACCTCTGTTGTGATACTTATTGTCTATTGCATCAATCTCTTTAATGCACCACCCTAGAGTACATATTGAAAGAATGTTCATTCTTAAACCTCGTTGCTTCTCCGTGCTCCATGTTTAGGTAAATGTTCATACTTTAATGTCATCACCTGTCTTTCTCTTCTATAGCTATGTAGTCTTGCTAGATAGTTCTATTTCTATAGCTCTCTTTTTGTAGTCTCGCTAGAGAGTTAGTTGAGAGATTACCTCTTCAAACTATCCTTGAACGCTTTCCGGTTATGACCAATTTGTTGTAGCTCCTTGAGGACGTAGAACTTGGGATAGGTTTTGGGAGTCATCATAAAGAGAGTGACATAGAGCCCAATATCAAAGATTGTAGGCTCTGTCTCGGCTACTGTGACGAAACTCTCTGTAGCTCTGAGTTTTGTTGTTCAGAACAAAGAACCAGAGATGGGATGATTTGTCCTTCGAAACTGGACCTAACAACAGTCAAGAAGAGAAGTGCTGGCTTGAACTAAGCCACAACAATGCCTATTTGAACCGTCCATTTCATTTATCCGTTTTAAACCTCCCATTACAATTGTCCCATTGATAACCAAAAAAAGCGGTTCAATCAGATTATGTTTTACCAATTAAATTATGTTTTTCCTTTTTACAACAACAACAAGAAATTGCTTTTTTCTTTTTTTACAAATCAAGAAAAAAACTGTAACTTTCTATTTTGTCAAGAATAAGCAAGAGAAAATTATGTAAACAAAGAAAAAAAGGAAAATTTTGTTACCATCTTCAAATAAGGTAAATTTTGTTTTTCCTTTTTACAACAAGAACAAGAAATAACTTTTTACTTTGTCAAAACTGAAAAAGGAAGAGGAAATTCTGTTAACAAAGAAAAAAAGGAAATAATATCTGACCGAACTCTCCTAATTACCATCTTCATATAAGGAAAATTAATTATGATCCGCATATTTTGGAAGATCAATGTATAAACCAACTTGCACGTGGTAGAGAGAGACTATACGCTCCACACAACTTGCCCTCATTGCACCTCACAAACCAATCAAAACACACCAAAACGCCAACGTGTACAAATTAGGGTTTTACCTCACAGCAATCGAACATTCTCGAAACTTTTTAAACAGCCTGGCGCCATAGATCTAAACTCTCATTAACCAATTTTTGACCGTCCGATCAAACTCTAGCCTCAACCCAAAACTCTATATAAAGAAATCTTCTTCTTCATTAATGCTTACCAAATACAAACCCTAGCCGCCCTATTCGTCTTCTTCGTTCTCTATTCTTTTTTCTCAGTCTCTGTTCTTAGATCTCTTGTAGCTCCAAATCTTCCGATAAAAAATGTCGGGTAAAGGAGAAGGACCAGCTATCGGTATCGATCTTGGTACTACTTACTCTTGCGTCGGAGTATGGCAACACGACCGTGTTGAGATCATTGCTAATGATCAAGGAAACAGAACCACGCCGTCTTACGTCGCTTTCACCGACTCCGAGAGGTTGATCGGTGATGCCGCTAAGAACCAGGTCGCCATGAACCCTGTTAACACCGTTTTCGGTACGTATCTCGTTTTCATAGCTCTCTTATACTTGAAATCTAGATCTAGTTCATCGTATATAGATCTATAGTCGTGTTGTAGTTAGATCTATGATCTGGAAAACAATTGAATATGTTGGATTTAGGGTTTCATCAATAGATCTAATTGGTTAGATCCTGTTTATATTGATTCAACTATGCTTATTTTAGTAAGTTCTTGCTTGGACTAGTAATAGCTGTTGATTTTTTTGAATTGGTAAGTCGTGTCAGATATTTATTACTATTTTTGTTGATTATGCTTCAGATCTTTATTGCTTGTTTAATTATTATCAGGTTACTTAATTTGTTCATTTTTTTTGGTTGTTGCAGATGCTAAGAGGTTGATCGGTCGTCGTTTCTCTGACAGCTCTGTCCAGAGTGACATGAAATTGTGGCCATTCAAGATTCAACCAGGACCCGCCGACAAGCCAATGATCTACGTCGAATACAAGGGTGAAGAGAAGATGTTCGCTGCTGAGGAGATCTCTTCCATGGTTCTCATTAAGATGCGTGAGATTGCTGAGGCTTACCTTGGTGTCTCTATCAAGAACGCTGTTGTCACCGTTCCTGCTTACTTCAACGACTCTCAGCGCCAAGCTACAAAGGATGCTGGAGTTATTGCTGGTTTGAACGTTATGCGAATCATCAACGAGCCGACAGCTGCCGCTATTGCCTATGGTCTTGACAAGAAGGCTACCAGCGTTGGAGAGAAGAATGTTCTTATCTTCGACCTTGGTGGTGGTACTTTTGATGTCTCTCTTCTTACTATTGAAGAGGGTATCTTTGAGGTCAAGGCAACTGCTGGAGACACCCATCTTGGTGGGGAAGATTTTGACAATAGAATGGTTAACCACTTCGTTCAAGAGTTCAAGAGGAAGAGCAAGAAGGATATCACTGGTAACCCAAGAGCTCTTAGGAGGTTGAGAACTGCCTGTGAGAGAGCGAAGAGGACCCTTTCCTCCACTGCTCAGACCACCATCGAGATTGACTCTCTATACGAGGGTATTGACTTCTACTCCACCATCACCCGTGCTAGATTCGAGGAGCTCAACATGGATCTCTTCAGGAAGTGTATGGAGCCAGTTGAGAAGTGTCTCCGTGATGCTAAGATGGACAAGAGCACTGTTCACGATGTTGTCCTTGTTGGTGGTTCCACCCGTATCCCTAAGGTTCAGCAATTGCTTCAGGACTTCTTCAACGGCAAGGAGCTTTGCAAGTCTATCAACCCTGATGAGGCTGTTGCCTACGGTGCTGCCGTCCAGGGAGCTATTCTCAGTGGTGAAGGAAACGAGAAGGTCCAAGATCTTCTATTGCTCGATGTTACTCCTCTCTCCCTTGGTTTGGAAACTGCCGGTGGTGTCATGACCACTTTGATCCCAAGAAACACAACCATCCCAACCAAGAAGGAACAGGTCTTCTCCACCTACTCAGACAACCAACCCGGTGTGTTGATCCAGGTGTACGAAGGAGAGAGAGCCAGAACCAAGGACAACAACCTTCTCGGTAAATTCGAGCTCTCCGGAATCCCTCCGGCTCCTCGTGGTGTCCCTCAGATCACAGTCTGCTTTGACATTGATGCCAATGGTATCCTCAATGTCTCTGCTGAGGACAAGACCACTGGACAGAAGAACAAGATCACCATCACCAATGACAAGGGTCGTCTCTCGAAGGATGAGATTGAGAAGATGGTTCAAGAGGCTGAGAAGTACAAGTCCGAAGATGAGGAGCACAAGAAGAAGGTTGAAGCCAAGAATGCTCTTGAGAACTACGCTTACAACATGAGGAACACCATTCAAGACGAGAAGATTGGTGAGAAGCTTCCCGCAGCAGACAAGAAGAAGATCGAGGACTCTATTGAGCAGGCGATTCAATGGCTGGAGGGTAACCAGTTGGCTGAGGCTGATGAGTTTGAAGACAAGATGAAGGAATTGGAGAGCATCTGCAACCCAATCATTGCCAAGATGTATCAAGGAGCTGGTGGTGAAGCCGGTCCAGGTGCCTCTGGTATGGACGATGATGCTCCTCCTGCTTCAGGCGGTGCTGGACCTAAGATCGAGGAGGTCGACTAATCTGTTGGATCGTGACCTCTCTCTTTCTCCTATCTCTATCTTTTTACTTGCTTATTTTGGATCTCTTAAGACTTTTTATGTTGGGCTTTTTTAATGGAGCCCATTTTGTGGTGTTTTTTGGTTAGTACTTTTTTGAACAATGGCTGGTTTGATCCCAGCACAGCTACGATGACGGATAAAATTAAAAGTTTCTATATTCCCTCTCTGAATTTCTTTATGGTTTTAGTGTACCCCTCCAAGTCTCGTACGTGGTACATGTTTTGTTGTTTGAGTATTTTCCCATACGTGGTAAGGCTTTTATAAGTTTTAAGAAGGTCAAAAACATCAAAATGTAAACCAATATCTTGACCTCAACCCAAAAGTAAAAATATCATAAGAACACTCATTTTTATTGTTCGTTTACTCACAAAACTATATCCAATAAGAAATTCAAAAGTTCACGGATTAATGTTGTTGCAATTTTTAATATTTTCTCCAACAATTTCAAGTTCGTATTCCATAAAATATCATGAAATCTGTCATTGTAAAAGTTCCATAAACCATGTTTTGTCATTGTAAAAGTTGTATGCTTCTCTATTTTAATATTTTTATCAAGTAAAAAATTGCAAAATCAAACATACATGTTTCTTAATTTGCAAGTAACGTATAGCGAAAGTTTTGTTTTCACTCAAAGACAAATTAAAATGAGTAGCTTCTCTTCTAAGTTCTATCTATGCCCAATCAATTAAAAGAAAGTCCTCACCACGGCCCACAGCCAATGACCGGCCTTTATTATTTCTTAATTCTTACTAGGCCCATTACCACTGCCAAGAAATCTTACGTGTCAATTAATAAGCCGACCCCACATATGAACGTTAGAGCAGTTTTCCAATTTTCAACACGCGCTTTTCCGTTTTGGGACAATATCACTTTTTTCCTTGTTTTTTTCCTGGAACAAATTTGCCTAGGATTTGGAAAAGGAATCTATCACTTAAACACCGTCAGATCAATCTCAAACATAATCAACGGTTAAAAATACAATCCCGGAACATTCTGGAACCATTAGTCTCAGCCTTATAAAAACCAAGACTTGGACGCTCTTTCTTCACAAACCTAAAAACCTAGCTCTAAACTTTCGCTTCGCTGCCCTAAAACTTTTTTCAAGCTTTTTCTCTGTTAGTGTGATAATGGCTGGTAAAGGAGAAGGTCCTGCGATCGGTATCGATCTTGGTACGACGTACTCTTGCGTCGGAGTATGGCAACACGACCGTGTTGAGATCATCGCTAATGATCAAGGAAACAGAACTACTCCGTCGTACGTTGCTTTCACCGACTCTGAGAGGTTGATCGGTGATGCTGCTAAGAACCAGGTCGCTATGAACCCGGTTAACACTGTTTTCGGTATGTATATCTCATCTTATACTCTGGTTGGTTGGTATTATGAGTTAAAGTACGATTTTTAGGGTTTATAGGACGATCTTAGACGTTTTTGAATCACTTGTTTGCGTTATACGGTACCCTTAAGCTGATTATGAACTGTTCATGTGAGTTTGTTGGATTTAGGGTTTTTAATTAGTTTGAACAAAGAATTTTAGATGAAGTTGATGTTTTGGTCTGGAATTGTTTTGTTGACTAAACTCTGTTTTATTTTTTGCTAATTGTGACAGATGCAAAGAGGTTGATTGGTCGTAGATACAGTGACGCATCGGTCCAAAGTGACAGACAGTTATGGCCTTTCAAGATCATCTCCGGAACTGCAGAGAAACCAATGATTGTCGTCGAATACAAGGGAGAAGAGAAACAATTCGCTGCTGAAGAAATCTCTTCCATGGTTCTTATTAAGATGCGTGAGATCGCTGAAGCTTTCCTTGGCACTACGGTCAAGAACGCTGTGGTTACTGTCCCTGCTTACTTCAATGACTCTCAACGTCAAGCCACAAAGGATGCTGGTGTGATTGCTGGTTTGAATGTTTTGCGTATTATCAACGAGCCCACCGCTGCTGCTATTGCTTATGGTCTTGACAAAAAGGCCACAAGTGTTGGAGAGAAGAATGTCTTGATCTTTGATCTTGGTGGTGGTACTTTTGATGTCTCTCTTCTTACCATTGAAGAAGGTATCTTTGAGGTCAAGGCAACAGCTGGTGATACTCATCTTGGTGGTGAAGATTTTGACAACAGAATGGTTAACCACTTTGTGCAAGAGTTTAAGAGGAAGAACAAGAAGGACATCACCGGTAACCCGAGAGCTCTCAGGAGATTGAGAACAGCTTGTGAGAGAGCAAAGAGGACTCTTTCTTCCACCGCGCAGACGACCATTGAGATTGACTCTTTGTTTGATGGAGCTGACTTCTATTCTCCAATCACCCGTGCTAGATTCGAAGAGATGAACATGGATCTCTTTAGGAAGTGTATGGAGCCTGTTGAGAAGTGTCTTCGTGATGCTAAGATGGACAAGAGCACTGTTCACGATATTGTCCTTGTTGGTGGATCCACCCGTATCCCTAAGGTTCAGCAATTGCTTCAGGACTTCTTCAACGGCAAAGAGCTTTGCAAGTCTATCAACCCTGATGAGGCTGTAGCTTACGGTGCAGCTGTTCAGGCTGCGATCCTAAGTGGTGAAGGAAACGAGAAGGTCCAAGATCTTCTATTGCTCGATGTCACTCCTCTCTCCCTTGGTCTTGAAACTGCTGGTGGTGTCATGACCACTTTGATTCAAAGAAACACAACAATTCCAACCAAGAAGGAACAGGTCTTCTCAACTTATTCAGACAACCAGCCTGGCGTTTTGATCCAAGTTTTTGAAGGTGAGAGGGCTAGAACCAAGGACAACAACCTCCTCGGCAAATTCGAGCTTTCTGGAATCCCTCCTGCCCCACGAGGTGTCCCTCAGATCACTGTCTGCTTTGACATTGACGCCAATGGTATCCTTAATGTCTCTGCTGAGGACAAGACCACTGGAAAAAAGAACAAGATCACTATCACTAATGACAAGGGTCGTTTGTCTAAAGAGGATATTGAGAAGATGGTCCAAGAAGCTGAGAAGTACAAGTCTGAGGATGAGGAGCACAAGAAGAAGGTTGAGGCCAAGAACGCTCTTGAGAACTACGCTTACAACATGAGGAACACAATCCGTGACGAGAAGATCGGTGAGAAGCTTCCGGCGGCAGACAAGAAGAAGGTTGAGGACTCGATTGAGGAAGCAATTCAATGGCTAGATGGTAACCAATTGGCTGAAGCTGACGAGTTTGAAGACAAGATGAAGGAGTTGGAGAGTGTTTGCAATCCGATCATCGCTAAGATGTATCAAGGAGGAGCTGGTGGTGAAGCTGGTGGTCCTGGAGCTGCTGGAATGGACGAAGATGATGCTCCTCCTGCCTCAGGTGGGGCTGGTCCCAAGATCGAGGAAGTCGACTAAGTGTTCTCTTTGTTATTGTTTTTTTTATTTGAACTCTCTATTTAGTGTTGGATTTTATGTTCTACTTTTTCTCTGATCTAAGTACTTTCTCTCTACTAGTTGGTCATTGGTGACCCTTTCTCTTAAAAACTTGGTAGAAAGCTCTCTTTATGAAAATTTCTTTACATGTCAGATTCACATAAGTGTGTTGAATTTTTCACAAAGCTTCGAAGAAATGGGATTAAACTACCAAAAAATGAGAGACGATAAAAAAAGTAAAACTACATCATGTTTGATGATCATAACATATGTTTTACTTTATTTACATAGGAAAACCTTTGTATAATAATATTTTTAGTTGTAGGCAATTTAGCCTTTTTATAAATAAAATAGTGTTACTAATCAAATAAAATTATGGTTAAATACAACTTGCTCAGAAGAAAAAAAACTAAAGTGAAAAAAGTTATTACTTAAAAAACAGCACTTCTGCTTTTGCTTATTTTTCCCATTGTACACAACAAAATGCTTCTACAAACACTTAAAACATGGTTGCATCTTTTATCCGAGGTGGTGTGACCGTAGACAAACTCTAACCTCGTGTTCTTCCTCCACTCCTCCTCTCAATTTTGGAACCACAATCTCTAAAACTGGTTCAGTCCCATCAAAATATGCTTCGATGTTTGCTTCTTCCGGAATCCGATTTGGCAACTGTATCTCCCTCATGAATTCCCCTGGAGGACAATGCTCAGCCGTCTGATCAACCAGCTTGAAAGTCCGGTCCCGTCTCTTCACAAACGAAACTCTAGAAGTGCTCATTCCCGTGACCTTCACGATTCCATTTGTGATATTGTTCCTCCATGAAACCTTCACGGTGTTCAAATCAACAAATGGTAGAGTAATTACGACTAGATAAGCTTCTTCGTCCTCGTAGACGGTTTTTGCTGCAGTTACGGGTCCGCAGCTGTTCTTCATCACTCCAGTGAAGTCGTTTACCCAACTGGGCGGGTCCTTGGCGTGGTGGGTCTCGATGTTGTTAACAGTTAAACAACATTCTTCTTCGCTGCTTCCCGGAGATAGGAACTCTTTTCTCTTCTTGTTGTTGATAACTCCTCCTGGAGATTGATCTGACGAGTCCCCATTGCTACTGAAAGACGCATTGCTTGTCAAATGTAAGCCCGAGCCGCTGAGAATCTTCTTGGTGTTATTCTGTGCCGGTTTTGTAACATGAGCTGGTCTCTCTAGCTCGATATCTGTGTTGGGAAGATTTCTCCATGAACCGAAATCACTAGCATCAGGAGGAATAGTGAACTTCAAATCCCGACCCGTCAGCTCCATCCATCTCTTCTTATCTTCTTCACTGACACCAAACAAACTCGGCGAAGCCACAAACTCAATCCCGTGAAGACACTGAGGATTAGAGAGTCCCCTGTAATGCTTCCTCTGCATTCTGTGAGACCGAACAAACCCTTTCTCGGCGCTAAACGGAAAGGGACGCTCACCTTGACGAGAATGCCCATTCATATAACTTCTCAACTGCATTTTACCAAGCGCATTCTCAGGTTTATCCTTAAAAGCCCACATATACATGTTCTCCATATCATGCTGAACAAGAAAAACATCGAGCTTGAGATCAGATTTATCAAACCCAGTAAAACATCCTCCTCCTCCATTACTAGTTTCCCTAATGACCTTAGAATTCGATTTCTCATTCAACGCCGGTTTGAAGTAGAAGCTAAAGAAAAACCAAGCTCCCCACATACTATCCCCTCGTTTCAAGCATTTCTTAGCTACTTTACTCGGAACCACATTGAGAAACGTCTCGGTCTCATAGACATGAGAGCTAAGACCAACATCCAAAATGTTATCACAAGAATCCAAGTTCCATGAAGGAGAGCTTCGTCCAACAGACAAAGGCAGATTGATGTCTGGTGGATTGTAAAGTGTGATTTGCCTATTACCATTGTTCATCTCCAGATCAAGTTCTTCATGAGATGAACCACTAGAATCCATTGATAAAAGCGTTGAAGGATGATGATTCTCCATTGACAAAACGGTGAGAATTGAACCTTTCATCTCACAAAAAAAAAAAAAAGACTTCACCTTTCACTTCTTCTCCATTCTTAAATCTATGAGCTTTACTTCAATTATCTTCAATCCTCCACAAGATCTCCCAAATCCCAGATCTCCCAATTAACCCACATATCGATTAAGATCCAAAACCTCGAATCCAGGAACGCAAAAGAAACCTCTTTCAATCTCAGGAAAGGAGAGAGATGAAGAGATTTAAAAGTGGGAAGACTGCTAGAGAAACACAATATCCAACCCTAACCCTAGAATTTCCCGAAATCCCCCAAACAGCGGCGGGAAACTCCGACTCAAACCCATCCGAGAAATATACATATCGAAATTAAAAAATCTTCCTTTTTTGCAATTACATCCAAAGTATCAGACCCCAATTAAAAAAAAAACAGACTTTTAAGAAGAACCCTAAGAATCTGAACCCAGAAAGTACCTTTTGAGATAAGCAACAATGAATCGAGACGAAGAGATTGGTGAATTCAATGGTAGACAACACAAAAGCTCCCCCATTTTCACAATATTATCAACTAAATCTCTTTTCTTCCTCAAAAGATTGGACCAAGTTTGTGTTTTTTCTGTGTTTTTGTGAAAGCTTTCTCTTTTTGGAAACGGTGGGAATGAGAGGTGTTTATGTAAGAAGAAGAAGATTGGTTAATGGGAAGGTTCGTGGGTGAGTGAATGAGAAAAGAGAACGAGCCTGAACTAGATACCACCTGATCCCCACTATTTCTCTATCTAATTATTAATTAATAGGGTTCATCTACATACAAATTAAACAATTTTTATATGTGTGCTTATCGTGGTGTTCCATGTGCTTATCAACACAACAATTCCCAAAAATAAATATAAGCTTTTAAAACATTTTCAAATGGCAATAAATCATTGAGGGGAGAATAAACTTTTTTCTTTTTTTTTCTAGACTCGGTCGTTTTGTTAACTTTTGTGTATTTAATTGATCTTACCGTTAATCTTCTTGTAATAAATAATTTAGTGTTTTAGTTAGCACTGTATTATATTATATATATATATAGATATAAACGTATAGTATGGTGAAAAAATGTTTATCAGAAATAAATCGTATGTTTTTTTTGTATGTATCACATTCACATCTAGCTTTGTGCTAGGGGACGTTGTCAAAAAATACATTGTTGGTGATTAGTTGAGTGATATGATTACTAAGTTATATATTAATATTTTAAATCAATTGTAGTGACAAATTGCATTATTGTGCCCCTAGTGAGTGTAACAAATTAATTTTTTATATATAATTATTTATCCACTAGAATAGGATTATGCGCATCATCAGTGTTAGTATCCAACGGCCTACGAATTTAATTAATTAATCCAGCTTTGTTGACTACCTAAGTGCATTATAAATTCTAAAACAATCGAATCAAAGGGTTCGAGGATAACTACGAGGACAACATATTTGAACTTTTTTCAAAAACATATTTTAACTTTTTTTAAAACACATTTCGGGTCAATTTTAAAATATATTTCGAGTCAATTTTTTTTTTTAACAGTTTATAATTTAAATACGAACTATATAAGAAAATGCTATAGTGTGATATGTAGGATTTTGCTAGTTTATATGCATCGATGTGTTGTTTTTAGTGTATATGCATCGATGTGTTGTTATCCAGATTTAAATCCATGCAATACATGTTATTGATAACAAATATATATTTAGTTCAAATCGCTCATCTTGAATATAATAGATGAACAATTTCTTATGAATTTTCAAAGTGCCGTGTTTCATTTAAAATGGTGAAATATTAGAAGAATGCATAATTTCATTATATTTTATTACTCTAATTGTATAACTATTTGCACCCAATCTTATTTATAAAACTTAAATAATGTTCCTAACTTCGATTAAAGTAGGCAACTTACATAACTCTTTTTATATTTGACACATATTGCACCTTATAAAAACTACCGGACATATTTAAGAAAAAAGACTAGTGGACTAAATACGCAAATCATATTACACGGTAATATTATTTTGTTTACCGCATGTTCGGGTTCTCAAGGGACACCTTGAACATTGTATAATAGACTATATTTACTTGTATTTGATTTGATATGAAACGAAGTTGACAAAAAAAAAAAAAAAATTTAAATATGAACCCAAAAAGAGAAGAAGAAAGTATCAAAGATGACTTTAAAAACTCAAATAATTGAGATCTGAGAGGACATTGAAGATGACCCCAAAAAGATATTGGGAGTTGCCACCTCTCATCTCCAAAACAACGACAGATAAACAAACAGCAAATAAACATTTAAATAACTGACACTACTATTAGTATTTTTTTTTTAAATAATGGCTTCAAATTTATTTATATTTGTATGCCTCACAACACACAGTAAAATCAAAGTAAACAAATCAAATTTTGAAGTTTACAATGTTATAAAATCTTCTGATAGTACAAAGGTATGAATAAAGATCATTACGATGGATTGATAAATCCAGAGCCCCGACCGGTCTGATTAATGTATGGTAGATTTCGTGGTCTTCATTCCTAGTTTTGAGGAGTTTAGATTTAGATTGGTTCAGAACTAATGCAATTCAATTTACGGTTAATCGTCAGTTATAAAATGAAAAAAAAATGTTTTAATGTGCTTGATCTAGTTTTGATCGGGTCCCAGTGGGCCAATTATCTTTCGCTGGGCCAACTTTTGAAAGACCATTACTTTACAAAACAAACTAAACGATTTGTATTCGCCTTTTGATTTTCAATTTATAGAGTAATTTTAATTTATCATTCTCGCGAAATTTTCACCAGTCACCAGAAGATTGCAAGAAGCTTTTCTCTCCATCGTTCAGATCCTTTCGCATCAAATATTAATCAATTGAAATTTACGCAGGTTCCAAAAAATCTCGAGAAGCTAAAAAATGATGAAAAAGTTTGGAGCCTTATTTGAATCAGTAAGTTTACTAGTAAAGATGATGAGAAATTTAACCAGTAATGAGTATTACAATTTGATCATTGCGTGAGTTTTTCTTCCTCTCGTTTTTTCATTTTTTTCTCTTCACCATGATTTATCTCACACTTTAACATTTCTCTTGTTCAAAAAATGCACTCATCTCAAAATCTACAAAATTAACCGAGATGGAATTGAGGTACTCTTTATTTTTTTTCCTTCCATCATTTACAAATGCTATTAGTTTTTTTTTGTAATAAACATTTTTATAACTGACACTACTATTAGTTTTTTTTTGTAATAATGACTTAAAATTTATTTATATTTGTGTGCCTGACAACACATAGTAAAATCAAAGTAAACAAATCAAATTTGAAGTTATATTGTTATAAACTCTTCTAATAGTATAAAGGTATGAATAGAGATCATTATGATGGATTGATTAATCCAGAGTCCAGACCGGTCTGATTAATGTATGGTAGGTTTTGTGGTCTTCACTCCTGGTTTTGAGGAGTTTAGATTTAGATTGGCAGCATTGATGCTACTCAGAAGCATAACGTACTCACTATTCCCCTTGGAGAGTATGCTTCTTGTATCTGCCATCAGGCGCAGACATGTACATATGGTATCTGCACTGGTACACATTCTGGGACGCATTTTGTCCGTCTGTTAGAAGACCAAACTTTCAACGTTTTATCAGCTTATACCTTGGATCCCTATGAACGTGGTTTATCCATAGTGAGCTGTTTGTTTACCGCTGATAGTAATGAATACTATTGCGTTGGGACCGAATATGTCTTCCCCGAGGAAGAAGATACTGAACATGTCTCGTGAATATATTATTTTGCGTTCACATACCTCACACCAGCCTGAATGATCACTTGCTTCTTTCACTTTGCAAATATGAGGAGATGATTGTCGTGCTTATATCGTGCCTTGTATGGTAAGATTGCGCACTTGAAACATATAATAAAATCGCATTCGATGCAATTCAGTTTTCGGCAATGAAAATCTCCTCCATTTTGCCGATCTTTCTACTTTTGGCTTTAAAGCTAGAAAAGGATGCTCATGGCCTTAATATTCAAACGGTTTGAACTGATTTTATTAAGGCCCTTTGGTCATTTACAAATTCCTTATTCTCCAACACATACAAGCCTTCACGACAAGGCCCTTTGGTCACTACTTTCTGAGTTTGTAGATCAATCACATACACAACATTAGCATCAAAAAAACACACCACAAGGGTAGTCATCACACAGTTTTGAAACCGAGAGTAAAGACTTCTGCATTGATGGACAAACAAGCTGTTATGAAATGGTATAGCTCTGATACCACTTCTTGGAGGATCTTTTTCTTTTGCTTGAAGAACTTAGAACAACTAGCTACTAAAGAAACAACACACTTGCGAGATTTGATCCGAGTTCACGGATAATATCCGCTACCTCTCGGGTGGGAACCCTCTCCCACAACCTTCACTATAACTTTAGTGATTACATACAAACACACCCTAATACCGCTAACACTTTGTGATGTTTCCCTTTGTGTTTGTAGGTACCATACAAAGAGTTGGTACCAAAGAGATAATGAGAGTTACAAACCCTACTCTCACCACTCCAACCCCCATGAAGCAAAAGCTTAGAGTATACAACCATGAAGAAGAGACTATAACCCCACACGTTGAAGTCTTTCTACCAATGTCTCGTACTCTCTGTTGTCCCCTCTATCATACCAAGAAGGGCTCTTTCTTTTCAGAAAACCCATACTCTCTTGTCTTTACTATGTCCTCTCCTTCTTGTCCTTTACATGTCTACACCATAAACATGTTGTAAATGCACAAAACATATGGTATATCCCTTTGGGTGGCCCATGTAGGCCCAAAGACAAGTGTTTTTTGTCAAATCCACTGCACATCTAATAAAGGAAGACTACCTGTAGCTGTAGTGAGTGTTGGTGAAATTGTGTTTAATATATAATAAATAATTTTTTAGTTTTTAAAAAATAGAAAACTAAATAATTAATTTCTTAATCTATGTGTAAAAAGTTTCAACATCTTTTATTTTTATACGAATATAGTATTTTTTAATAGGATTAATGCATAAATTGTTTTAAAAATTGCTTTGTTTGTGTTACAATAGCTATAAGTATTACTCCCTCTGCTTCAGTATATTAGTTGTTTAAGGTTTTTGCACACACATTAAGGAATCACTTAGTTTTATTTATTTTTAAATTAAAATATTACTTATTATCTATCTAAATATGATTCAACCAATGATAAAACAATCTGTAGAATATTAATAATCAAAACCAATAAAAACTAATTAATTTTGCATTGAGAATTGAAAACAACATATAATTTGAAACAAAAAAAAATATTCTAAAACTGCTTAGAAAAAGGAACAGAGGGAGTATTGTGGAAGTCGGATTCACACACTCAAGTATTTTGTTAAATGGGAAAGATTATTCTTGAGGGACAAAAATGAATACGTAAGAACTTGTAAATTGATACGAAAATTGCTATATTATTTCTCTCTTTTTTTTAGATGGTCCCCCCTTTACATGGCCACTGGCCTCTATATTTATACATAGCTAAACGACATTTAAAATGAGTAATTAAGTACAATTATTCCTTCTTAAATGTGTCCGTTTTGATTCTTCGGCTTTAATGCTCAACGTTTGAATTTGAGTTGACTCTGATCTTCACGGGCCTCGCCTCTTCTGGCCCAAATGTCTTCGAACCGACTTACCCGTGTCTTCTACACCGAACTCGCG